TCACACTCACACACACACTCACAATCACACACACACTCACATACACACACACACCCTCACACTCACACACACACTCACAATCACACACACACTCACATACACACTCACACACACACTCACAATCACACACACACTCACATACACACACACACCCTCACACTCACACACACACCCTCACATACACACTCACACACACACTCACAATCACACACACACTCACATACACACACACAGCCTCACACTCACACACACACTCACAATCACACACACACCCTCACATACACACACACACCCTCACACTCACACACACACTCACAATCACACACACACCCTCACATACACACACACACCTCACATACACACACACCCTCACACTCACACACACACTCACAATCACACACACACCCTCACACTCACACTCACACCCTCACATACACACTCACACCCTCACATACACACTCACACACACACACCCTCACATACACACTCACACACACACCCTCACACTCACACACACACTCACACTCACACACACACCCTCACACTCACACACACACCCTCACATACACACTCACACACACACTCACAATCACACACACACTCACATACACACACACACCCTCACACTCACACACACACACTCACACTCACACACACCCTCACATACACACACACACCCTCACATACACACTCACACACACACTCACAATCACACACACACTCACATACACACACACACCCTCACACTCACACACACACTCACAATCACACACACACCCTCACATACACACTCACTCACACAATCACACACACACCCTCACATACACACACACACACCCTCACACTCACACACGCACCCTCACATACACACTCACACACACACTCACAATCACACACACACTCACATACACACACCCTACCCTCACACTCACACACACACCCTCACATACACACTCACACCCTCACATACACACTCACACACACCCTCACACTCACACACATGCACATACACACTCACACACACCCTCACACTCACACACATGCACATACACACACACACCCTCACACTCACACACATACTCACAATCACACACACCCCCTCACATACACACTCACTCACACAATCACACACACACCCTCACATACACACACACACCCTCACACTCACACACACCCCCTCACATACACACTCACACACACACTCACAATCACACACACACCCTCACATACACACACACACCCTCACACTCACACACACACCCTCACATACGCACTCACACACACAATCACACACACACCCTCACACTCACACACACACCCTCACATACACACTCACACACACACTCACAATCACACACACACCCTCACATACACACACACACCCTCACACTCACACACACACCCTCACATACACACTCACACACACACTCACAATCACACACACAGATCTGCCCTCATACACACACACACCCTCACATACACACACACCCTCACACTCACACACACACTCACAATCGCACACACACCCTCACATACACACTCACTCACATACTCTCACACACACCCTCACACTCACACACACTCACATACTCACCCACACACTCACATACACACCCTCACACACATGATCACACACACACTCACATACTCACAAACACACCCTGACACACACACTCACATACACACCCTCACACACATGATCACACACACACTCACATACTCACAAACACACCCTGACACACACACACTCACACACATGATCACACACACACATACTCAAACACACCCTGACACACACACACTCACACACATGATCACACACACACATACTCACAAACACACCCTGACACACATGGTCACAAACACACACACTCGCATACTCACATACACACCCTCACACAGACTCATACACACATAAACATATATACCCTCATATATACACACTCACCTACGTACGTACACCCTCACACACACTTTCACACACTCAAATACACACCCTCACACACACTCATGCACACACACACATCCTCACATACACCCTCAAACACACATATACACACCCTCACATATTCACACACACACACCCTCATACACACATGCTCACATACACACGTTCCAACATACCCTCACACACACCCACACACAGACTCACATACACACACACAGACATCCAAGCAATAAATTGTTGCAAGAAAGCTGATCGGGAGAGTCTATCCACAGAGTACGTGGTCTCCATGGAAACTGGCGCCTGATAAATAAATAATATCTGGCTCCTCTTTTGGCTGAGCGCTCCACTCCAGTGAGATGTTTAGCTGATGGCGAGCGACAATTTAATGGACTGACAACCCTGACAGACTCAATCCATCTCTCAATGTGCGTGCGGATGTGCAATTGATTAAACTGACAATATGGCAGTGAAAGGAATAGACCCCCCAAATAAATCCAGCCCCTCTCCTGATCAGTGAGATTATATTTGCTGATGATCCCTGCAGCTTACTCTCTTCAAACTGTATCAAACTCTTATTTACACCCTATGTGGCTTGAATTCTCTCATCCTTATTCTATTTCTTCTCACATTCCACACAAAGGATGAGCGATGACTGGGAGCGGCCTGTACACAGGCTAAGACCCAGAGAGTTGTGTTACATAGAGATGAAGAGACGGCCAGGCTTGTGTCCTGTAAAGGATGAAAGCTGGAGAAGAGAACAGTGAGGCTGATCCCTATCATTCGACACTGAGCTCTTCAGTCTCAAACACCAATGTCTCAGAGTGGATCTTACACAGGCATTTCGGATGCTTATCGGGAGAGCGAAAGGTAAACTTGGAATATATTCAGCTAAGCCAAGGCAGTAGGATATAAGTTCCTGGCTGTGAAGGGCAAGCTGAGGGTAATAATAATCCTTACATTTGGTACAGAGCCTTTCATGTCAGGAGACCATCCTAAACGGCACTGACTGTTTATCTCATGGACGATCACAGCAAACAGAATATCTTTAGGCAGACGATAATCAGCAGTTGGAGTATGTTATCAGGAAGCCATGCTGGAGGGCATTTAACAAACAACTAGAAGTTGAGCTGCAAATGAAACTGTGTCCCGATTTATGTAACAACCCCTGAATTTATGAGGCTTTTGGTAGAGACTGGGGCACCCCTTGCCCCACCCCACCCCCCCCATTGGTGGTTGAGCCTGGGGACCATTTAAAGTTTTGCATATGCCTAGTGGGGGCATCTGACAGGAAAAAAGAGGGGGCTGGGGGGTTCACGGGAGGGTTTTCAGGGAAAGAATAATGGCTGGGTGAGAATACCTGAAGGGAAAAGATAGCTCAGTGACAAGATCTTTCTGTGTGATCCTGTCCATAGGGTGCACAATAAGAGTAGACCCCCAGAGATGTTTGCCTGAGTGATACCAGGGCTTAAAGGTTTAACAAATGAGGGCAGTTTCCTTAAACTTAGCTTGTATTTTGTCTGCAAGGCTGAGGAGCGATCTGATTGAGGTGTTTAAAATGGTAAAGGGATTTGATCGGGCAACTACAGAGAAAATATTTTCTCTGGTGAGGGAATCAAGAACAAAGGGGCATAATCTTAAATTTAGAGCTGGACTGTTTAGGAGTGAAATCAGGAGGCAGTATTTCACACAATGGGCAGTGGAAATCTGGAACTCTCTACTAAAAGGCTGTGGATGCTGGATCCATCACATTTTCAAGACTGAGGTTTTCTTTGACCGTGCCTTCAGCTCCCCTCTCGACTCTCTACCTCCTCCTCGCTCCCTCCCTTCCCTCCCCTCACCCTGACCATTTCCCCCCCAATGCTCGGGTCCTGACCCAACTGTACAGCGCCTTGGGACGTCCTCCCGATGTGAAAGGCGCTCTATAAATGGAATCTTGTTGTTGTTGATAGATTTTTGTTAAGTCAGAGTATTAAGGGATATAAGGCAAAGGAGAGTAATTGGAGTTGAGGTACAGATTAGTCATCATCTAATAATTATTATTATTATTAGTCATCTAAAAGAATGGCGGAAAATGTTTATCTATACTAATAAAGACTGCCTGTAAATAAATAAATAAAAATGTCTGCCTGTGTGTTTGACTGTCTGATTGACATAGAGACATGATTTATACCTCACCGGAAAGCTCTTGCATGGGGGATTGTCATGGACATACGTTTGGGGGAAATCTCCTGTCGTGACCTAAACAAATTCATCACACATGTATGGATTCCAACCAGGAGTCCTCCCAAAAGGATATGTGTGCAAATGTGTGAACAAGGGATGCTAACGAGTTCAACAGTACATTTTCTTAATCTTAACAGATAAAGATACCTAAGAAGCGAAGATCAAGCCTTTCAAGGACAAATAAAAATGCCAGACAAAAGAGAGAAAGTCGATGAAATTAAACTAGTTGCAAGCGAAGCTGCAACGGGTACAGCTAGTAAGAATATAAGAGCATATGAATTTGCTGGCGAAAGAACACCAAGGTCCATCTCGTTCGCCTTCCACTATCCTGGCAGTCGCTTGACATGCCGTGTCCCAAACTATATACTGTATCCCAAGATATTATTTTCTAGCGGAAATCTATCTCATTTGTTCTTGAAACATACAACATATTCTGCTTCCACCGTCTGTCTCCCTAGGGAGCCTGTTCCATAAATTTATTATTCGCTCACTGAAGTAGTGTTTCCGCAGATTTGTTCTGAATTTACCCCCCCCCCCCCATCGAATCGCAGACCGTGTCTTCTGGATGTACTGTCCAGCACATAAAACAGCTTACCGTGGTTTACATTAAACGCTCTGGGATGCCGCTCAGCCTGGAGGGCGCTATATAAATATAAGTTGTTGTTGTACATTATCTGTTCCCTTCAGAAGCTTGAGGGGCCGAATGGCCTACTCCTGTTCCTGTGAGTGAATGGCACTATTGTAAGTGTGGTGGGCTGTCTTCTTGTTTTTGTTGATGTGGAACTATCTCCCAGTTTTACGCCTCCGTTCCCTCTTTTCCTTCCTCCAGCCTTCACTTCATTGTTTTCCACACCGAAGCCATCCACGACGTGCTGAAGCTGTGGGACGGGGCTGTGGAGAGCGGAATTCTGCTGAAAGAGCTGAGTGGCTCCGTGCTCCCTCCCGACGTCCACAGCACCTTCAACTCCATCAGCCTCCAGTTCAACACCGACTTCTTCACCAGCAAACAAGGCTTTGCCATTCAGTTCTCAGGTACGTGTCCGCATCGCCCTCCAGATTATCATAATAATAATAAGCCTTGTATTTGACACAGCACTTTATCACGTCTTCAAGACGCCTCAAAGCGCTTCACAGAGTATACTGTCAAGTGAATTGACTATATTTTGTGGGCGAAACTGCGGCAGACAATTGCACACAGCAGCGTCCTACAAGCAGGCATGGATTCAAGTGACCAATTTATTATTATTTTGTTATTAAATATTTTTTAAAAGTGTAAGCGATCTGCCAATCGACTCAACAACCGGGTTCCTACTTACTGCTAGGTAAACAGAGGAGTGTGGATTAAGGAAACTTGCCTAAGGATTGGTTATCTCTTTGAGACTTTGAACCAAAGTGCCTGTCCAGTTGGACATTAAAGATCCCATGGAGCTGTTTGAAAACAGAAGCAAGTTTCTCCCAGTGTCCTGGCTAATAATCACCCAGATAAAAATGATCAGTCACTTCATGGATGTTTGTGGGACACTGCAATGTGCAAATTGGCTGCTGCATTTATCCACAAAATACCCAGCCACTACACTTTACAGTAAATCCTATGAAGTGCTTTGAGACGTCAAAGATATTTTTGTGGAAATCATTGTTATTTATTGAGACTTCCTTAGATTCAGTTACAGTTCTTGCATTTTCTTAGCATTTCAGAGTCCAGAATGTGGCAAAGTCTGAAACACGGCCTTAACCTGGAAGTCATTTCTCTAAAGTTTCTTTTGAGAACAGCGGAAACCAACTGCAATGTTGAGGCTGAATTCAATACTTTGCCAAATTCTGTCCGCCCTGAAATGCTAAAAAATTAGAGTAAATCTAGGCACAAAATATACAGTCAATTAATTTTACAGTATATTCTGTGAAGCGCTTTGAGATATCTTGAGAACGTGATAAGTCGCTATATCAAATGTAAGGATTATTATTATTATTGTGGCAGCCTTTAACCTTGGACACATGTTAACAGCAAACACTTGCACCTGATGGCAGGATATTGGATCTGAAGGTTTGCAACAACTCACATTGGAACAGCGCCCTTCACATCAGGAGAATGTCTCAAAGCGTTTCACGAAGCAGACTGGGAGACCAAGATGGGGGTGGAGGGAGCTGAGAAGGGTGAGGGTCTGGGAGAACAAGTCAAAAGTAAAGGTCTTAAAGCAGGCTTTACAAGTAGGAAGGGAGGGGCGTGACAGAGGGACTTTGGGTGGAATAGATCGGGCCCGGGACCTGAAGTTGAGCGAAGGGAGAGGCCAGGGCGGAGATCATGGAGGTCACAGGATCGCGAAGGTAGGGTAGGCGAGACCATGGGTGGGATTCCACTTCAGCACAGGGGGATTCTAATGTCCATGGAGGGGATGGTTTGGTGGTGAAGCTGACTTTACTGAGCGATTTGGAAGACTTGGTTGTGAACGGCTGATAATTATGGTAATGACAACCTGCACAGATTCCATAACTTTAATAAGTTCAGACGATCTGAGTCTGAGAGAAGCTGCAATTTCATTATTAATCTTCAAAAGAAATATTAACATATTCTAGTCCAGCGAATTACATCTTTTCAACATTAACACTTGTGTGTGTACATACCTGTGTGTGTGTGTACATACCTGTGTGTGTGTGTACATACCTGTGTGTGTGTTTGTATATATGTGTGTGTGTGTGTAATGATGTCTCCAGATTATGAAACAATTTTCCAAATTGGTAAAATTATTAGAATAAAGGTAAACTACGTGGAGCGTATTTCAAAATGATTTGTTTTAAAAAAAAGATCAAACCATGGCATGTGACCCATCACCCTCACAAAACGCAGGAAATTCATGTGCAAAGAATTGGCTCTTAAAGAGAATGAGTGACGGGAACGTTTAACAGGGATTGAACTCTCTTCACAGACTGGCTCACTTACAGCTTCTTCTGAAACACACTTGATCCCATTGAATTTAAATGGAATTCCTCGAAATTGACCTCAAGGGAAACAAAAGGAAAAGAACAAGCTAAAATTGAAACTTGTGAGGAGCCGTACTGTGTAATCTATATCGAAACGCTTTGATTTTAACACATAAAAGAACAGATATTAACATTACAGCCTTTCAACAGCAGCTGCATATCATTCAGTGTATCTCGATATAAATTAAACTCACATTGAGTTGGATAATGGCTGTGCTCCAGTATTGTGCTGGGGGAGAGCTCCCTGATCAGAGGTGCTGTCCTGCAGATGAGATGTTAAACCAAGGTGCCCTCTCTGCCTGATTCAGGTGGACATTAAGGATCTTGTGGTATTATTCAAAAAGAGAAGAGAATTTCTTTCCCTGGGTCCTGGCCAACAATCCCGAAGATTAAATCAGTCATTTGCTTCGTAGCTATTTGCAGAACATTGCTGCGCGCGAATTGGCTATCCCGTTCACCTACAAATTACACAGTTACTACACTTCACAGTAAATCCTGAGAAGCACTTTGTGATGTCCTCCCGAGGTCAACAATAATAATAATAATAATAATAATAATCCTTGCATTTGATATAGCGCTTTTCACGTCGGGAGGACGTCCCAAAGCGCTTCACAGAACACACTGTAAAGTGAATTGACTGTATATTTGTGGGCGAACGCGGCAGCCAATTGCGCACAGTAGAAGGGTGCTATATCAAATGCAAGGCTTGTTATTATTGAAATTAAAATTGTTATTATGTATCAATTAATAATTATTAAGATTCAGTCCCAGTTCTTGCGTTTTCTTTTTCTTAAGTGCACTTTACAGTAAAATCCTGAGAGAAAAATATTTTGTCATTTTAGTTTTGCTGTGAACACTGTGTATTGTCAAACGCGATGGCTCACTGCTGCGTTCAGGCTCCTGAGACAAACATAATGAAAAGTGCTGTGATGAAGAGCAAAAGGGATGGTCCAATCGCACAGCTGTGTTGTTTAATTAGTGCAACGAAGACAACGGAGAGCCATTAATTACTGCGCAGGGCATGTCAGCTTGTGATGTGGCCTCATTCTGTTCACGTTCCTCGCGGTTTACTGGAGATGCTCTTTCACAAGTTAATTTTGTTTGTGAAGAAAACGCCCGGGTCTTCACTCCTTATATGAAGTGGGATTCTGTGGCCTACAAAATACAAGGCCATTCGATTCCCCGGTAAATTCTGGGGAGATTTTGAAATGTTTCGACAAAGCACTGTATCAAGTGAAAAATCTTCTTGTTTATTATTATTATTATGCTATCAGGTGGTTTAATCAAATCAAATAGATTATGTTTAAATGTATGTGTGTGTGTGTGTGTGTGTGTGTGTGGGTATGTGCACATGACCTTGTGCGCGCGTGTATATGCATGCGTGACCCTGTGTGTGTGTGCGTGACCCTGTGTGCATGTGTGACCCAGTGTGTGTGTGTGTATCCCAGTGTGTGTGTGTGTGTGTCCCTGTGTGTGTGTGACCCAGTGTGTGTGTCCCAGTGTGTGTGTGTGTGTGTGACCATGTGTGTGTGTGTGTCCCAGTGTGTGTGTGTCTCAGTGTGTGTGTGTGCGTAACCCAGTGTGTGTGTCCCAGTGTGTGTGTGTCCCAGTGTGTGTGCGTGACCCAGTGTGTGTGTGTGTCCCAGTGTGTGCGTGTGTCCCAGTGTGTGTGTGTGTCCTAGTGTGTGTGTGCGTGTCCCAGTGTGTGTGTGGTCCCAGTGTGTGTGTCCAAGTGTGTGTGCGCATGTCCAAGTGTGTGTGCGTGTGTCCCAGTGTGTGTGCACGTGTCCAAGTGTGTGCGCGTGTCCCAGTGTGTGCGCGTGTCCTAGTGTGTGCGTGTCACCCAATGTGTGCGCGTGTGACCCAATGTGTGTGTGTGTGTCCCAGTGTGTGTGTGTGTGTGTGTGTCCCAGTGTGTGTGTGTGTCCCAGTGTGTGTGTGTGTGACCCAGTGTGTGTGTGTGTGTGTCCCAGTGTGTGTGTGTGTGTCCCAGTGTGTGTGTGTGTGTGTCCCAGTGTGTGCGTGTGTGACCCAGTGTGTGTGTGTCCCAGTGTGTGCGTGTGTGACCCAGTGTGTGTGTGTCCCAGTGTGTGCGTGTGTGACCCAGTGTGTGCGTGTGTGACCCAGTGTGTGTGTGTCCCAGTGTGTGCGTGTGTGACCCAGTGTGTGTGTGTGTGACCCAGTGTGTGTGCTTCACTGACCGGGACAGCGAGTGTCCTCATTATAGGTCACTGTGCCCAGTTGAGGCGGAAGCTTTAATGTGACAAATTCTTTCAGTTTCCACAGCCACCTCGTGTAACGACCCCGGGGTCCCTCAGAACGGCAGCCGGAGTGGAGAGAGCAGGGAGCCGGGCGACGCGGTGACCTTCCAGTGCGACCCTGGCTATGCATTACAGGGCCACGCGACCATCACCTGCTCTCAGATCGACAACAGATTCTTCTGGTCGCCCGACCCGCCCACGTGCAAAGGTATTTCATTCCCGATCCTCAGTGCTCCCCTCCCCCCATCCAGGAAAAACGGGAGCGGATAAACACTGCACAAGGAGGAGGGGAGGTGACCACAGGTGCAGTTGAAGAGGTAGACCTTCAAGGGGGCTTCAAAGATATAAAGGGGGGCGAGTGGGACAGAGGGATTGAGGTGGGGAATTCAGAGGCATCGGGGCTGAAGGCTTGGCTGGCAGGGGTGGTGCAGAGCGGTCGGGAGATGAGCAGCAACACTGTGTTAGCTCAATAAAGGGAATTTATAGGTGGGGGTCTTCAAGTTGATTCTTCTGGAGACCGGGAGGCAGTGGAAGGAAGCTGGCAAGGTTCGGAGTGGTGCTGGGGCTGCAGAGTTTGCTGTGGGGGAGGGGATGCTACCCTGCAGGAGGGGCACTATATAAATGCTGTTGTCGTGAGGACTCGGGTGAGTTTTGTATTTTTTGGACCTGATGAATAGTTGGAACCAGGGAGACTGGCGCTGAGTGCATTTGAGAAATCAAGGCAGGAGGTGATAATCAGCACACACGGAGGTTGCGAGGCGGAGGGAGGTAACTATAAAATGAGGACCACTGGTGTCTTTCCTGTAAGTGTTGAGTCGGGATGCCAGCCATTCATTGAGCATTTAACAAATGGTTCAGTACAACATGACTTTGTGATTTTTAGTGAGTTGTAATTAGCGATTCGACAGGCAGAAATGGAGAAGAATTTAGGCAATATTGACATCTCCTCGGACCCTTTCTCCAGGGTGTAAGGAAGAGAAGAATAGTATCTCATCTCCACCTGCTGTCTTGGAGTCCTGCCAAATTCAATAAGTGCATCAAAAATTCATGAAATGCACTGAAAACTACAAAGATTCTGGATAACGATTCTCTTTTTCAGCTCTGTTGTTTAACGGTTTTCCAATGAAGTCTGAATGGAAGACCTTCCCACAATCCTGCACCACCTTGAATTTTTAAGACACACCAACAACAACTAACATTTACACAGTGCCCTTCACGCCAGATAGCGTCTTGGAATCTGCTGCACATACTGCTGTGTGTGTGTTGTGTGTTGAGCTTGTGTTGTGTGTGTGTTGTGTGTTGAGCTTGTGTTGTGTGCGTGTTGTGTGTTGAGCTTGTGTTGTGTGTGTGTTGTGTGTTGAGCTTGTGTTGTGTGCGTGTTGTGTGTTGAGCTTGTGTTGTGTGTGTGTTGTGTGTTGAGCTTGTGTTGTGTGCGTGTTGTGTGTTGAGCTTGTGTTGTGTGTGTGTTGTGTGTTGAGCTTGTGTTTAGTGTGTGTTGTGTGTTGAGCTTGTGTTGTGTGCGTGTTGTGTGTTGAGCTTGTGTTGTGTGCGTGTTGTGTGTTGAGCTTGTGTTGTGTGCGTGTTGTGTGTTGAGCTTGTGTTTAGTGTGTGTTGTGTGTTGAGCTTGTGTTTAGTGTGTGTTGTGTGTTGAGCTTGTGTTGTGTGTGTGTTGTGTGTTGAGCTTGTGTTGTGTGTGTGTTGTGTGTTGAGCTTGTGTTTAGTGTGTGTTGTGTGTTGAGCTTGTGTTGTGTGTGTGTTGTGTGTTGAGCTTGTGTTTAGTGTGTGTTGTGTGTTGAGCTTGTGTTGTGTGCGTGTTGTGTGTTGAGCTTGTGTTGTGTGTGTGTTGTGTGTTGAGCTTGTGTTTAGTGTGTGTTGTGTGTTGAGCTTGTGTTGTGTGTGTGTTGTGTGTTGAGCTTGTGTTTAGTGTGTGTTGTGTGTTGAGCTTGTGTTGTGTGTGTGTTGTGTGTTGAGCTTGTGTTGTGTGCGTGTTGTGTGTTGAGCTTGTGTTGTGTGCGTGTTGTGTGTTGAGCTTGTGTTTAGTGTGTGTTGTGTGTTGAGCTTGTGTTGTGTGCGTGTTGTGTGTTGAGCTTGTGTTGTGTGTTGAGCTTGTGTTTAGTGTGTGTTGTGTGTTGAGCTTGTGTTGTGTGCGTGTTGTGTGTTGAGCTTGTGTTGTGTGCGTGTTGTGTGTTGTGCTTGTGTTGTGTGTGTGTTGTGCTGTGAGTGAGTGTGCAAGTGAAATCAGGCTATAGCAGTAACAGTAACAGCAGCAGAAACAGGCTGCGTCCTGTAGGCTATCACCGTACATCTCCAATGAGAGAAAGGGGGGGATGAAGAAATGGATCTTAAAGTGAGATTTAAAGATAGATGAAGAGGGGTACGGTGGAGGGATTAAGGCAGTGAGCCCAGAGGTAGTGGCTGAAAATCTAAGATTAGGGGGAGTTTGGGGCTGAGGTACTTGTTGCGCTGGTGCCTGGCTCACACTTCATCAGATACCAGCTGCTATCACTCGGGGAACAACTACTTCCTCCCCCCTGACCGGGTTTCACAGCAGTGAAGCTATTAAAGGTCTCTGTGCTCACACAGTCCTGGGAATGATCAGGACAGCACTGGGGAGCTGACGGCAAGGCTTGGAGGTTTTTCTGTTCGGAGCTTCATACATACACACACTACATACACACACACACACAAACACACACACAGAAACTACATGCACACACATATAAACTACACATACACACACACAGAAACTACATGCACACACATATAAACTATACACATACAGAAACTATATACATATATAAACTACATGCACACACACACAGAAACTACACACACGCACACATACAGAAACTACATGCACACATGCCAATAGAAACTACACACACATACACACACACAAACTACATGCACACACACATACACACACACAGAAGCAACATGCACACACACACACAGAAACTACATGCACACAGTATGCACACACACACATACACACACAGACACATGCACAAAACTGCATGCACACAATTGCACACATACCTCACGCATTGCACCGCACACAACCACATGTACATAAACACAGAACTGCACAGGTGCACACCCATGCATACACACCTGTGGAAACAACAACAATTTGCATTTATATAGTGCCCTTCAAGTTGGGTAAAGCCAAATTGGGAGATTTTTTGTCAAAGCGTTGTTTGAATCGTCCTGTACACAGCACAGCGCAGCAGTACAATGTGCGCTGTTCAGTAGATACGTTGCTGACCCAGTTAGAATTCAGTAGCCAACGCACGTGGAATCATCGATGTGATCGGCAAGCAAATGCAGCCTTGGAACAGCCTGTCCAGCTTCCAGCAGCTTGGATAATAATTGAGTTCCATCCACCTTCCCTTCAGAAGATGAAGTCAGCTTTATTCTGTTGCTGGTAAGGCTGCATTGCAGGGGAAGCGTACAGCCACTGCTCTTTATTCTGTTCCATTGAAGCACGATGGTTCATCAGCTTTATTCCCAGTTTTTATTATAAAAAAGCAACATACTCCATTCGGACTCTTTTGATTTCAGGCTGTTAAAATATGTTAATAGAGAAAGGACATGGCAATTTCAGGCAAGGTCACCTTATATCACTGGGAGTGCATCTTCAGGCCTTAAGGAATTAAGATGAGAGGCTAAGTGCAACGAGTGAGTTGATGTGTGTTTGTAATGGGATTTTCTCACTGCAGCCTCATATCACCAAAATCTCTCTGTTCAGGATCAGAAGGATTTTCATCCCCTTAGTGCAATATTAAGCTAATGGGAACAACACGTCCCCATTTAATTGTCGCTCTGATCTGATTTCCTCTTAAGGGTAAACTCTGGGAAAGCTGTCTGACAACAAAGGACAACTCTTTCTCTCATCCCCAGTGCCATTTGGATCATGGGACTTGGAACTCACAGCCAATACCAAGACTTCATTGTCGGAAGTGCTGTCCTTCAGCTGAAACTTTAAACTGATGTCCCGTCTGCCTGTTCAGGTGGATGGTAAGATTTCACTGGTGCTTTTGGAAAAGGCAAGGGAGTTTCTCTCTCCCAGTGTCCTGGCCAACAATCTCTCAGATAAAATTGGTCACTGACTTCATGACTGTTTGTCGAAAATTCACTCCATCTGTGACCAGAGCTCTCTCTGCTTCCTTCTTTATCTTCATCTCGCTGTGGTTTTCAACACTGTTGTTCACTCTACCCCCGTCCCCATCCCCCCTCCCCCTCCACTCAGCTCCAGCTTTGTGGTTCTGTCCTCTCCTGGTTAAAAGCTTATCTATTCCAGTGTCTCCACCTTGTCTCTTCTAACGGAGGGTTTCTCCTCCCGTCACCTGCGCCCTCCAGTTCCTCAGGGCTCTGTCCTCTCCTCTTCAATCGACATGCACCTGCTCAATTATGTCATTGGATACGACATGTCGAGCGACTGACAGGATGGTGGACTGCGAAATGGATGCACCTTGGTTTTCTTATGCCTAGAAAATTCTAATGTGCTTATGCAGACATGGAGTTGACTTGCACATGTATGTTGTACGTTCCACCACACAGAGCTAGTGTGGAACCTCAGTTTCATGTTGGACTTTCAACTATCCTTTAAACTCCACATCCATGCCCTGACCCTTCAGCTTTCCCATCCTTGCCTGGATCTACTGGCTCCCCATCCTCCAACTGATCAAATTCAAGATCCTTCTCCAGTGCGTTGGGATGTCCTCCCAATGTGAAAGGTGCTATATAAATACAATTCAATGTTGTTGTTGTCCCCACCTTTAAATCCACCCATGGTTTTGGGCCACCCTACCTCTCTGAACTCCTCAACTCTTCCCGAACAACCGTCCTGCTCCCCCTGCTCAGCATGCTTAATGTTCCCTGCCCTATCCGCCGCACCATTAGCAGTCAGATTTTTAGCCTATCTGGCCCCACTGACTAGAACTCCATCCAGGAATCCCTCCATCTTGTTCCCTCCCTCATCTCTTTGGAGGGGTGTCTCAAGACCTTCCTCTTTGACCCCACATTTGGTCTTTCCCCTTCCCACCTACCTTGGCTCTCACCCGCAACTCAAGTGGAAAGCCAGGACTGTCAAGCACCTTGTCATGTCCTCACAATGCAGAAGGCACTGTGTAAATATAAATTTGGATTGTGTCTGAGACCTGGCAGAGAGAGGAAGTGTGTGCCTGGCCAGGAATTGAAGGTGAAAGGCTCCTCCCAGTCTATTATTATTGCCTGGTTTGGAAGCACAATCTTTATTTGGAAACAGTGCAACTCTGCAAAGGGAAGGCGGTGGAGTTGTCATTCTGGAAGGTTGAGATCAAATGGGCTGAAGGGTCTCCTTCATCCACAGCTCTCTTGCGAATCTTTAAGAAATGCAATACGCCCACTGAACTGTGACATAAACATGAGGGATGAAATCCCCCAAAAATGCAAATCCCTGTGTGTTAGAAGCGAATGAGCGAGCGAGCTGTTTACCGGCCAGCCTGAATTATCATGGAGAGATACCCCAATTATAGTTTTGTGATTGTCGATTGTGTTGTCGGGCAAAGTAAATATAGTCTCAATCTACCCTTTGTCGGCAAACCTTAAATATTTTTCCAGCTTTCCTCCGAATGCTGTGGGAGTGATCATTCACGGACATGCCTCGGTTTTAGATTTTCATTGCATGAATTTGAGAGTTCAAAACAGTTTTAAACAACTTCAGGTACTTCATTCCCAAAGTCAGTGAAATGCATCAAGTTTAATTCCACATATCGGTGAGCCGTCGTTTTAAAGGCAGAATTCATTCCTTTGTTGAACACGGAATTGATTCTCTCATTTACTGATCCAGGGAACATGCAGCAGCCCGTGTGAACATGTTTCAGAAAGGGTAGTTGAGGCCAGGACTCATTAAAAAACAAACAGCTCGATGATGTGATGGGAGGATGGTAGGCTGGGTGTTCTGGAGGCATGAGATCAGATGGGCTGAAAATGTTTCTTCATCCAAACCAATCTTGTGATCTTCTGATCTTTCGATTTGCAATGTAGCAAAGTACCTCCCGGTTTCTGATGGACACTTTGGGGCGGGGGGTGGTCATGTGTTTGTTGGATAGACTGAGCAAGTGTCTGTCGGAAATGCTGTCAATCAGTTTGCATTGATGTCTTGTGTTTGGAGTCTTGTGAAATTTTCTTGCCTCTTCCTGGAGCCCAGCCTCCAGCCCTGAAATGATTTACTTTGTTTTGTATCATTCTTTGCGTCGGTGAAATATTTCAAGATCACTGTCAGAATCAGACATGCAGCCAGCTATCAAAGTGCTGTCAGAACCTTCAAAGCCTCATGATTTTATGTGTCTGGGCATTCCATACAACAACAAGGACTTACTGTTTAATTGGTACAAGTCATTGGTTAGACCCTAGCTGGAGTATTTGGTGCAGTTCTGGGCTCCCTATGTTAGAAAAAGAGTTACAAGGATGAAAGAGCACAGCAGGGATTCACTGAGATGATACCAAGGATGAAAGCGTATGGGTAGGTAATGACAATTTAAAAAGCTGGGAGAGTTTTTAGTGAGGCAGAGAAAATTTATGGGGTTAAGTGTTTTTGAAAACTTCTGCTAGATAGGGTGACTGGAGGGAGATTACTTACATTGATCCGCAAGTTAGTAACAAGAGAATCAATCGAGGATTCTCACCAGAAGATAAAGGAGAAGTCTCGAAGGATTATGTATGTGAGAGAACACAGAGTGTTTTAATGATAATATTGAAGGTAATGGGGAAAGAGGAGAATGATATTATTGGGCTCCAGTGGGGGTGCGAGCACCAGTAGTGACATGATAGGGAAGAGGTTTAGAGTAGAAACCTTCATGGAATTGTTAGCAGGAGCGGCGATTTCATGGGATGAATGGTCTCCTTCTGTGCAGTAAAATGTCTATTATTCTAGGGCTATTCTCGGTCTATTCACCTAAATATTAACAGAACAAAGCCGAGGCAGGTTGCCAAGTCCCAGGTTTCCCACTCGATCAATGGTCAGCGTTCACTGGCTGAAGCCTCAAGTCCGCAGAGGTGAGCTGTGGACAGCTCAAGCAAGAGTTTGCAGTTTTTAACCAAATAAGTTAAGCTTTTGCAAGAGCAATATTGACAAAAATAATCTGAGAACAGCAAGACACAACGAACAGAGTGGCCTCTCTGAGTGCTGGAAATCTTCTGTGGTGCTGTAAGAATCCCTGGAGTTGAGAGCAGTGATATGTTAAAGCAGAGTTCTTCATTCAAAAGGCAATAATACAATTCACAAGATCTGAAGAAGGCCATCCAGCCCATCTGATCTCATCCCTCCAGAATACCGATCCAACCATCCCCCAATCACAGCAGCAAGCTGTTTTTTAAATGAGTCCTAATGTCCTGGCCTGAACCACCTACTGGATAAAGAAAAATTCCCTGGTGTCTATCCTGACATTGTTAGAAAATAAAATCAGCCAAATCTGTAAGAAAATAACGCTAATTCCTTTAACCAGATATCAAACTGTTTTATTATTAATCGTTCGTTATTCCCCAATATCCCGATGGGTCAGACCAAAGGATGGTACAATCAACAGATCTTATAACAGAATAACACCACTATAGATATCTCGAGTTCAAGAGTTCAACACTGTGTCTTTCCAGCACACAAGGTTGATTCTTCATGCTTTCAGTCTTCTTGCTTCCAGCTTTCAATCTTCCATCTGATATCCTCAGTCTTAGTGTTTCCAGCTCTCAGTCTTCCATCTCCGTATCCTTGTCTCCGCAGCCCGGGACGGCCCCATCTCCCGTATCCTTGTCTCCACGACCCGGGACGGCCCCGTACACAAAGTTAACGGAACTTTTATACCAATGTTCATCCAATCATGGTGTGGACATTAGATCACCAGGTTGAAATCATGCCGGGTTCACGTGAACACCTCATGGGGTGTTCGTGCCTCACACACATACACATTGTCCTTAAGACCCCTGTTATCTGATCTAATTGTCTAAGATAGAGGATTGATCAGTTTAGGGCTGTATCTGGTGCTCATTATTTTGTGGTGTGGGATCATTCCTTTTAAGTGACTGGTTACTGCTTATCAGTATCCCGGGATGGTACCGAGGCCCTCTAGTTTAAGCAACTTGCTCATTAATTGCTATTCTTGAGGGTTGCCTTCTGTCGCTCGGCCCTGTCAGAATCTAGCGACTTATTGCTCAGTCGAGATCCTGTGTTGACTGGTACCTTGGACCGTTACCTCTGTGGCTTGTTGTCATTTACTGATAAGAGGTGACCCCCGGCCCCCGTCTGTTATTCTTTCAAAAACAGAGAAAACCAGATGTGTCCTATCCCATGACTGTCAGTCCAGTTGCCCCCCACACTTAACTTAAAAGTTAACCCATTCACAACATCTATTATGATTCTAGCAGTATACAAAAAGTGTATATTCTAACAACATTGAACTCTCAACCTATGTCCACGTGTGGTCAAGTGAGGGATCAGAAAGGGTAGTAATTATTGGTTAATGTAGGGCTGTGTCTTTCTAACCTACCCCAGAGCTGCAGGGTTGATGACTATTCTGGGATTGCTGAATACCACAGAGATCGCATCGCGCACAGATGTTCAAACAATGCAAACAGCTTAATGTGTGTCCGCAATGTGACGAGCAACTGAGAGAGAACCTGGAAATATAATCAAACACAGCGCTTGCCTTTAATTCTCTGTAATCTGAATGATCTTCAGAAAAGAGGGTCAGGAAGAGAGGACTGACTCCAGAGGAAAGAATTGGAATCCAAAACTGGGGCCTCACATCAAAGCATATTTACAGATATATTTAATCTAATGATGTTCGCGGTTCCATTTTTTGTTTTAATAACTTTATCTCTGAGGTACTTTATTTGAGTGTTTTTTCTGAATGAATTAGTTTTCTAAACTGTTGTTTATTGGAGTGCCTCTGCTCAGTGCCTTTCCTTTTCCCACTCCTACCTGTCACCGCCCCGCCCCCTACCTGTCACCGCCCCGCCCCCTACCTGTCACCGCCCCGCCCCCCTACCTGTCACCGCCCCGCCCCCTACCTGTCACCGCCCCGCCCCCTACCTGTCACCGCCCCGCCCCCTACCTGTCACCGCCCCGCCCCCTACCTGTCACCGCCCCGCCCCCTACCTGTCACCGCCCCGCCCCCTACCTGTCACCGCCCCGCCCCCTACCTGTCACCGCCCCGCCCCCTACCTGTCACCGCCCCGCCCCCTACCTGTCACCGCCCCGCCCCTACCTGTCACCGCCCCGCCCCCTACCTGTCACCGCCCCGCCCCCTACCTGTCACCGCCCCGCCCCCTACCTGTCACCGCCCCGCCCCCTACCTGTCACCGCCCCGCCCCCTACCTGTCACCGCCCCGCCCCCTACCTGTCACCGCCCCGCCCCCTACCTGTCACCGCCCGCCCCTACCTGTCACCGCCCCGCCCCTACCTGTCACCGCCCCCTACCTGTCACCGCCCCCTACCTGTCACCGCCCCGCCCCCTACCTGTCACCGCCCCGCCCCCTACCTGTCACCGCCCCGCCCCCTACCTGTCACCGCCCCGCCCCCTACCTGTCACCGCCCCGCCCCCTACCTGTCACCGCCCCGCCCCTACCTGTCACCGCCCCGCCCCCTACTGTCACCGCCCCGCCCCCTACCTGTCACCGCCCCGCCCCCTGGCTGTCCCGCCCCGCCCCCTGGCTGTCCCCGCCCCGCCCCCTGGCTGTCCCGCCCCGCCCCCTGGCTGTCCCGCCCCGCCCCTGCTGTCCCTGCCCCGCCCCCTGGCTGTCCCTGCCCCGCCCCCTGGCTGTCCCCGCCCCGCCCCCTGGCTGTCCCCGCCCCGCCCCCTGGCTGTCCCTGCCCCGCCCCCTGGCTGTCCCTGCCCCGCCCCCTGGCTGTCCCTGCCCCGCCCCCTGGCTGTCCCTGCCCCGCCCCCTGGCTGTCCCTGCCCCGCCCCCTGGCTGTCCCTGCCCCGCCCCCTGGCTGTCCCTGCCCCGCCCCCTGGCTGTCACTAACCCGGACCGGAGATTCACATTTGCCAGTGATGATTTAAAGCTGTTTAGTGTTTTAAGGCCAATAATCTGAGGTGTGATTTTCTTGCTGCTTTTCCAGCTCCTTGTGGAGGGAACCTGACGGGTCCCACAGGCATCATTTTATCCCCATATTACCCAGAGCCCTACCCCCATGGTAAGGAGTGTGACTGGAGACTGACGGTAGCTCCTGACTATGTCATCGCTCTCACATTCCACAGGTAAGTTACACCTCACGATGGGGATTCTATTCACTTCATGGTCCTTGTGCTTAACTCACAAAAATCACACTCTAGAATGCATGTCAGAGCCATCTTCAGTCAACAGCGACAACTTGTATATTTACATAGCGCCCTTCACGTGGGGTAGCATCTCAGAGTGCTTCACATTGGCGGAGCTTGACACTGAGGCAAGGCGACTATAGAGGAAGATCATCAGAGAGAGGAACATCTTCAGGGGTGATCTGCAGATAGGCAGGGAATGGGCAAAGCTGAGGGATTGAGGCAGATAGTTTCGGGATGTAGTGGCCGAAAGCACGGTTGCCAATAGTGGAAGGGACGAGGTTCATGCAGGAGGTTGGAGCCAGCTTAGAGAACAACAACAACACAATTACATTTGTAAAGCGCCTTTCCCGTGGGGAGGACATCCCAAGGCCCTGGACAATCAGTGTTTCGGACCCAAGCTGGGGTTCGGGTTTGGGGAAGGTGACGAGCAGGCGGGAAGGAAGGTGACCAAAGGCATAGTTGAAGAGGAGGGTTTTGAGACTCATCTTGAAGGAGAAGGGGGTGGGTAAGGTCAACTGTCAGCCTTGCTCACTCAGCAGCACTCTCACCTCTGAGACAAAGGGTAGTGGGTTCAAGCCCCACTGTCTTGGTTGGCACATCAATGCAGTGTTGGGGTTGTGCTGCATTGTTGGAGGAATCGTCCTTAGCATGAGACGTTGAACCAAAATCATGTCCGTGCTGCTTCAGTTGAACATTAAAGTTACCAGGAACACTATTCAAAGAGAAGGGAGCTTCTCTCTCCCAGTGTCCTGGCCAACAATCCCCCAAATAGAAAATGGATTATTCACTCCATGGCTGTTTGTGGAACATTGCTGTGCGCAAATTGGCCGCTTCATTTGTCTCCAAATATAGTCACTACACTTAAAAGGTATTTGCTGTGATGCTCTTTGAGGGACATGTAAGAGGTCAGAGCCAACTCAGCAAAGGGGATCAGTCTTGCTCAGTCAGTATCACTCTCACCTCTGAGACAAATGGTTGTGCAATTGCAGACCCTTTACAAGAACAAACAACAAATTATATTTACACGGCGCCTTTCAACAACAACAACTTGGATTTATACAGTGCCCTCCACGCCGGATGGCATCTCAGAGCGCTTTACAGTAACGGATCCTGGGACCGAGCCAGGGGGAGGGGGAGGAGGGATGGGGAGGAGCCAGGGGGAGGGGCCAGGGGAGGGGGGGGAAGGTGACCAAAGGTGCGGTCGAAAAGAAAGGTCTTCAGCAGAGACCTGAAAATGGGAAGGGAGGGATCGAGACGAAGGGAGTGAGGAAGGCAGTTCCAGACTCGGGGCATAGTGGCTGAAGGCACGGCCGCCGAGGGTGGAGCGGAGGACTCGGGGGACGAGGAGGAGGCCAGACCCGGAGGAACGAAGGCAACGGGAACTGTTTTGAAGAGAGAGGAGGTCAGAGAGGTCGGGGGGTGCAGAGGAGTGCAGGGCCTTGAATACAAGGCTGAGGATCTTGAAGTCGATCCTCTCTGGGACAGGCAACCAGTGCAGTCTGGCCAGGACTGGGGGGATCGGGGAGTGGGGTTTGGGGGTGGGGGTGGGGGGGAGGGCCAGGACTGGGGGGATCGGGAAGCGGAGTTTCTTGCGGGTGAGAATGCGGGCGGCAGAGTTTTGAATGATTTGGATTTTATGGATGGTAGTGGAGGGGAGGCCGGCGAGGAGGGCATTTTGCGTAGTCCAGCCGAGAAGTGACAAAGGCATGGACCAGGGTTTCAGCGGCTTTTGGGGAGAGGTATTGGTGGAGACGGGCGATGCGTCAGAGATTGTAGAAGGCGGTGCTGTTGAGGGACTGGATGTGGGGGAAGAAGGATAATTGGGGGTCGAACCTGAAGCCTAGGTTGCATACGGGTTCGGAGAGTTTTAGGGGGAGGTCGGGTAGGTGGAGGAGGTGAGAGCCGTGAGATTTTAGACGTTGACAAGAGCCAAAGAGTATGGCTTCCGTCTTGTCAAAGTTCTGCTGAAGGAAGTTTGCGCTCATCCAGCCCCTGAGGTCTGACAGGCAGCTGAGTGAGGTGGAAAAATAGAGTTGGGTGTCATCTACATACATGTGGAAATGTACCCCATGTCAGCGGATGACATCCCCAAGAGGGAGCATGTAGATCAGAAGGAGGAGGGGGCCAAGGATGGATCCTTGGGGTACCCACAGGTGATCGGGTGAGAACGGGAGGAGAAGCCGTTTGTGCAGATGTACTGCTGGCGGTTTGTGAGGTACAACTCGAACCAGGCGAGTGCGGTCCCACTCAGGTGGATGACGAAGGAAAGATGGTTAGGGTTAGGGAGCCCACGTCAGGAGGACGTCTCAAGGCGCTAGACAGTCAGGGATCCGCACCCGAGCTGGTGGTTGGGATCAGGAGGGGTGGAGGGTGGGGAGGGAAGGGGTAGCAGGGTGACCAAAGGCACAGTCGAAGAGAAAGGTCTTGAGACGGGTCTTGAAGGAGGCCAGGGAGGCTGAGAGGTGGCGGTACTGTGGGATGGAGTTCCAGAGGGTGGAGGCAGTGAGGCTGAAAGCACACCTGCCAACGGTGGGGCAAGCAAGGATGGGGACATGAAGCAGGAGGGAGCCCACTGAGCAGAGGGAGAGGCAAGTTAGTAGGGGGGATGGAGGTCACAGAGGGATAGAGGAGCAAGGCCATGGAGGGCTTTGAAGGTTACAGCCCTCAGAGACCTGATCCTGTGTGAAAGGGGGCTGTATAAATACAATACACATTGTTGTTACTGTAGCCACCGTTGGGATGGGGTCTCTGTTGGATAATGAATTGCGTTGATTGTTTATGCTTTCAGTTTCAACGTGGAGCCCGGCTACGACTTTCTCCACATCTACGATGGGGCCAACTCGCTGAGCTCTCTGATTGGCAGCTTTCAAGGCTCACAGTTACCAGAGAGAATCGAGAGCACAAGCAATAACCTGTTCCTGGCTTTCCGGAGCGACGCCTCAGTCAGCCTGACTGGCTTTGAGCTTGAATACACAGGTACATCAGCCATCACCATTAGACAGTCCTGGGCAGCAAGCTAGATGGCCATTGGTGAGTGGCAACCAATATGACAGTCATCCAAAGCACCTTTCAAATCAGAGAGATGAGCCCATGTGTTTAGCTGTTTCTCTGGGTGTCAGCATTTTCAGCATTGCTGTAGCGTGAGGTTGCCTTCAGCTCATTCTTGCCCTTGGATTGTAATTATGTTGAAATAACATTGCAAGGAGGCCATTTGGCCCATCAAATCTGCTGTGTTATTTTTTTGATTCACTCCTGATCCTATTCCCCACCTTTCCGTTCCTTTCTTTTGCTCCACACCTTATGTCTGGAATTCAGCAGAATCATAAACACAGCCTCAAAGCTGTTTTTCTCTGTTTCTTTTTTATTAAAGAAAACAGCTTCAAATCCTGGGTGCTCAAAAAAGCTAACAAAACAGAATATATCTAGAGTCCAGATTCCACCACTCGGTCGATATTAAGGGTAAAATTGTGCTGTTGGCTTGTGTGTTGCTTCACCTTTGGAAGAATAAAGCAAGTGTAGAGACGTATAACTTTACTAAAGATTCCAGTGTAGCAGAAGCAGTAAGGTAATATCTTACAACCTGAGTGATATTTTGTTTCTGTTAGACTTTATCAGTTTCGCCTATATTTCACTTGTGAAATATTTTGTGAAGCTAGTAGCATTTCATACTGTAAATTAACAAAGGAAGGCATTAAGTCATGCAGCAACCAACAGACTGCCAAAAAGCTCTGTTAATCACATCATCTTGGGTCTCGTTGTAAAAATGAAAGGGGTTTGTGTTGGTGAAATGAAATTTTAATACTTGGTGGTTTTGTAGCACCAGTGTCATAGAATCATAGAAATTTACAGTGCAGAAGGAGGTCATTCAGCCCATCGACTGTGTCCTAACTCTCAGAGCAAGCTGTCTGGTCAATCCCACTGCCCTGCCCTACCCCCAGATCCCTCAAGCCTCTAATCTCTCATATTCCTGTCTACTTCCATCTTGAAATCTACAATGGACTCTGCCGCAACCATCTTACTTCTCAGGCATTCAACATCTCTTCTATGAAAAAAAATTATCCGAAGATCTCCTTTCTCTCTTCTTACATATATCTTCTTATATCTGTGTCCTATAGTCACTGACTCTGACCAGTGGAAATAGCTTCTCCCTATTTACCTTACAGATCAAGGTGGAATGGGGAGATAGATGTCTATAAGCATGGTCAACCAGGTAGATCTTAAATTAGTGTAAGCTGAAAGGGCTTCCTGATTGCCCAACACCTGATGATTGTTTCACTGCATTTGTTGTTTGTAATTAAAGAGAATCCCCGAGAATCCTGCTTTGACCCGGGGACTGTGAAGAATGGCACGAGGGTGGGCACCGACCTGAAGCTCGGATCCACAGTCACATTCTACTGCGACAATGGTTACGAGATTGTGGGCTATTCCACCCTAACCTGTATCATGGGGAGAGATGGGAAGCCTATCTGGAACAAGTTTCTGCCATCTTGTACCGGTGAGTCTCTGAACCCATCAAAAGTTTCATGTTCTAGCATCTCTCTATCTTTGCATGCTCTGCCCTCCCCCTTCTCTCAGCTAATACTCCCCCTACTCTCAGCTAATATTCTCTCTCCTCTCAGCTACTACTCCCCCTCCTCCTCTCAGTTAATACTCCCCCTACTCTCTGTTCAAACAGAAATCATTCTTAACCTCAATCTGTCTCCCATCTTAACTTACCCTAAATATTTGTGCCTCTGAAAGGGTTAAAGCATTTAACCAAGGAACTCTAGTTTGCGGACAGGAGTCTGAAAGAAAACCATGGGTGAAACAGAGACTTCAAATTCCTATTAGCAAAGGACAATGAAAATCATGTTATTTTACAGGAATTTTTTAATATTGCGATTTCGCAGTAATTAACCTGGCATTTCTGAAGGGGCTTTGTTTTGTGTATCGAAGTCCATGTATTAACACAATTTTATCTGACTCATCTGAGTCTAGTGTTTAAGATGCAATTAACTGCATTTATTTATTAATCAACCTAATTGCTTCCTAGCACGTGATCATTTTATAATTCGGTCAAAAAAGGCACATTTAATGAGATTTCGTTTCAGAATGCATTTAAGCTGGCTGGAATAAAAATTAACATGAAAGGCTGACTCCTTTGATTATTATATTCCTCCTGCAATGCATTCTTCGACATGTAAGAGCAGGGGTAAGACGGGGAGTGAAACTTTGTTTTAAAAAAAACCCGTTGTCAACCTGGCTCAGTTGGTAGCATTCTCATCTCTGATTCAAAAGGTTACGGGTTCAAGGACATCGAACTCAGAGCATAGACTGATCTCTCGTGCAGTGCTGAGTAAAACACTGCATTGTTAGAGATGCCATCCTTTGGATGGAATGATAAACCCATTTCCCGTCTGTGCCTGTTCAGGTGGAATTTAAAGACCTTATGACATATTCGAAACAAAGAAAGGAGTTCCTTCTGGTGTCCTGGCCAACAATCTTCCAGATAAAATCAGTCATCCGCTCCATGGCTGTTTGTAGCACATTGCTCTATGCAAATAGTCTGCCGCATTTGCCTGCTGGGCATTTGTAGTCAAACACTTTACTGTAAAAGCATGTGAAGTGCTTTTGCTTTGAGATGTCTTGACGATATGATAAGGCACTGTATCAAATGCGAGGATTATTATGTGGAGTCCCGTAGCTTAGTGGTTAGAGCACTCGCCTCACAAGCAAGAGGACCTGGGTTTGATTCCCGGGCAGGGTGAAACGTTGGTCAAGTTTCCTTGCTCCACCCGCCCGTGTTTACCTGGTAATAAGAAGGAACCCAGTTGTTAGTCGATGGCGGATCAATTTTTCCAAGGGTAATAATCCCTTTTGAAAAAATTGGTCACTCAATCCACGACTGTTTGTGGGACACTGCTGTGCGCAATTGGCATTTCGCCCACAAAATATACAGCCAATTCACTTTACAGTATATTCAGTGAAGCAGTTTGAGATGTCTCGAAGACATGATAAGGCGCTAAATCAAATGCAAGGATTATTAATATTATAAATGATTGGATGTCTGTTCCCGACTGTGATTCCTTGCTTGGCCAGTTCCTAATGTGCTTTAAACCAAAGACAGGACTGACTGGATGTGACAAAAGTGTTGATTTAATTTTATTATTTTATTTCTGAAACCTGTATTTGTTTTTCCTCAGCACCATGTGGGGGTCAGTACGTCGGGTCAGAAGGCGTTGTTCTGTCTCCAAATTATCCTCAGAACTACACCGGTGGGCAGACCTGCTTGTACTCCATCATTGTATCGAAGGATTACGGTATGAGCTGTCCATGACTTTGTCTCATAGAATTATACAGCACAGAAGGAGGCCACTCGGCCAATGCATCTGTGTCTTGTCTTTGAAAAGAGCTGTCCAAATCAATCCCATTCCCCCGCTATAGAATTATAGAATTAATGTCATGACTGCATCTGAACCAGCATTTCTGCCACAGTTCCTGTTCCTTGGCTTTATGAAGAAGCCCTGCGCCAACAAGTATTCCCAATGTTCTGTGGCTAATCCATTATTTACCAGGCTTCACGTTGCACCCCCGTCGTGTCCCTATCCAACCCACCTGACTGTCGGCGAGTTAGCTTTCAGCCATTCGGCCCCCTCTCTGTGGAACTCCATCTCGAGGTCCTTCCACCTTCCTCCCTCTCCCTCTCTCCCTATTCCTGTACAAGCTCTTCCCCCAGGCAGGTATATAAGCTGTAGCAGCGACATGTCAGGACTTATTCTCGCGTGCTTTCCTTCAGATCTTTTAGTAAATTTCTATGATAAACAATAGCACTCTCACCTTTCTGCTCACTGTGGAATGTTTGGTCATGGATTACCCCTCCATAACCTCCCAGCTTGGGCGGGCAGGCTCCCAGCTGAGGCCAGATTTCATCACACAAAGGGAAGGAGCATCACAACAAGGAATGTCGCTCCCTGTGCCTCACCTTGTGCCAGCTCAAAGCTAGCATCAGCCAGTGAGACAAAACCACCTCTTCACTTTATTGGCTAAGTGGCTGTTGTGAGACCTGGAATCGACAGCGGGAATAAAACAAAAACTTTGCTTGTTGATGTTATGGTTAATGACTTCAAGATACCAGACTATGTTATCTTGTGTCTCTTGCAGTGGTGTTTGGACAGTTTGCATATTTCCAAACTGCGTTGAACGATGTTGTAGACGTCCACGATGGCCCAAACCAGCAATCCCGTCTCCTCAGCTCACTTTCCGGTTCCCATACAGGTAACATTTTATATAGCGCAGAACACCCTGAAGCAATGCCTCACTGCAAATAGCTGGGAGCAGTGGATTTTAGTGACAGATGAGGCTAGTCTGTATCCTGTTACAGTGAACTAACATTCACATCAGTGCAATGGGAGAGATGCAGGTTTGTATCTGTGTATGTACAGTGGAGTGTTTTGAGTCAGTAATCAATGAGTTTGTTAGTTAGTCAGGCTCTCAGTGAGTTTGTCAATCAATCCCTCCATCCCTCCATCCATTCATCCATCCATCCATCAATTAATTCATCAATCCACCAATCACCCATCAAATCAATTGACAAATCAATCTTTGCAATCACTTTTTATATAGAACTTTATTACATTCAAAGAGCTTCAATCAATCCTTCCATCCATCAATCCAACCATTTATCTATTGACAAATCAGATAATCAATCAATCATTCTTTGCATTTGCTTTTTATAAAGCTTTTTTTTTGCATTGAATCATCTCAAAGACCCTCAAAGTAATGTTATAAATCTCGGAGGCATTGTCCATGTTAAGTAGGTTAGCTGATGGGGAACCACAAGTGCCAGCATGTCCGAGCATTGCGTTTATTCATTCCTGACATTGAGCCCATGTTTCAGAATTCTGTGTGATCCAAAATGTTGCCAGACTGGGTCCAAAACTCCACTGACACTTAGTCTGTAAAACCATCCACTCTTCAGATGCCATACAATATACAGAATTTTGGAAAATTACACAATTTAGTTTTCATTTGGAAGATAACAACAATAAAATTACATTTGTAAAGCGCCTTTCACGTCAGGAGCATGTCCCAAGGCGCTGGACAGACAGAGTTACGGACCTGAGCTCGGGGTCAGGGAGGGTGGAGGGCAAGGGGGGGAAACAGGGAGATCAAAAGCACAGTCAAAGAGCAGGATCTTGAGATGGGTCTTGAAGGTGGCAAGAGAGGAGGGCGAGGTGGAGGGACTGCGGGATGGAGTTCCAGAGGGTGGGGGCACAGTGGTAGAAGGCCCACCTGACAATAGTGGGGCAAGCGAGGCGGTGGACGTGAAGCAGGCCGGAGCCCACTGAGCAGAGGGAGCAAGCGGGATGGTAGGGGCTTAGGAGATCGCAAAGGTAGATAGGAACAAGACCCTGGAGGGCTTCTTTTGTCGGTTTCTTTGGCAAGAACTGCGGAAAATTACAGCCCCTGTATACGATAAGATTGAAGGTGATCAGCCCCAATCTTCACACTAAAGACAGTGTCCTGGGTTTGAGTTTGTCAAATCAGGATTCTTGTTGCTCAATTTTGTCCATTCTCTCCCCTTTTGCAGGTGAATCGTTGCCCTTGGCGACCTCCAGTCAAGTTCTCATTAAATTCAGCGCCAAGAGTGAAGCTACAGCCAAAGGGTTTCATTTTATTTATCAAGGTTTGTGTTTGTGTTTACCCCAGCGACGCAACCAACACTTGGACAGTCCACGGCTTTTTTAAGTGAAATTTTTGCTTTTCAAGGGTCTGTCCATCAGGTGAGACATTAAACCGAGGTCCCGTCTGCCTGTTCAGGTGGATGTTAAAGATCCTGTGATGCTATTCAAGAGTTTTTCTGGGTGTCCTGGCCAACAATCCCCCAGATAAAATTGGTCACTCACTCCATAACTTTGTGGGACATCATCACTGTACAAACTAAAAGCAAATGCCCTCTATAATAATAATAATCCTTGCATTTGATATAGCGCTTTTCACGTCGGGAGGACGTCCCAAAGCGCTTCACAGAACACACTGTAAAGTGAATTGACTATATTTGTGGGCGAACGCGGCAGCCAATTGCGCACAGCAATGTCCCACAAACAGTCGTGGATTGAAAATGACCAATTTATTGTTTTGTTTTGGAGGTATTATTAGGCTCTGTGTGGAGTAAGGAAACTTGCCCAGGGTTTTGCCCTCTGCCTGGAATTTAACTCAGGTCTCTCACTTGCAAAGCGCCTGCAAGATGGCAAATTTTCCTGTGAAATTCAGCAATATGGTGTGCCACTGTGCATCAGAGAGGCTTTCGTTTACAGTGTACAGGTATATCAGCTGGCCAGGGTCATCTTCAGCAGCATAAATTGCAAAGATGTTGTCACCAAATAGTGCTAGGTAAAGAAGTCCTTCCGGTCTTTCCCGAGTGATAAAAAGCATTCCAGACTCTTCCTTAGTCTTGAAGGTCAGTCCGAACGTTTCCATGATGTTCTGAGGCTGAGTTATGTTCAGCTGAATGTAGGAGTCTACAGCATAAAAGTGAATCCCTTCTTCCACCTTTTGGGGGCAGGTGTCAGGCGAGACATTCCTGTAGTCCGTACTGTCTGATAACTCCCTTTTCCTCAGCTTACTCCTATTGCTGTGCTGGAATGTAGACACGCAGCCCGAAAACCACCCAAGCCTTCAAATGTAAATATCTTATTTGTGTACTTCCCATTGATTTTAACATGATTTCCTCTTTGATACTATTCCTCACTGCCCGTCATTCACCTCAGATCTGAGCCTGCCTCTCATCGTGTTTTGCTTCCTGGTTCATTCTGGGAGAGAAATTCGTCACCAGTAATAATTATCGCACATACACTGCAATCCTCCCCTTTCTAAAGATATATTAACACAAGGGTTTAAATCTCGCCCATTGACTTGTCCTATGAAGTAAAATAAATAATACTTACATTTGATATAGCACTTATCAGGTCGTCAGGACGTCTCAAAGTGCCTCACAGGATATACTGCAAAGTGGCTTTGACTGTGTATTTTTGGGGTGATAAATTATATTCTTATGTGCTTTTAAACTTTTTTTTAAAAAACAATGTTTTTTCCCCATCTTCTCCCCAATATATCCAGGGATGATTCATCTCTCCTATAGAGTAGTGACCAGCTCCTGTACAATCCCTCAGGCTGTCAACATTGGGCTAAAGTTCAGAGCCAGACGCCAGACTGAGTTCATGGCAGCTTGTTGCTGAGCTGAGAACTTTGTGCTCTGCACTGACATTGAGCAGGAGTTGAGTTTATAACCTTCAGAGACAGAGAGAGGAATGCAATCCAGCCAGGCTGGCCTGCCTTTTAACCTAGGTACAATGACAATATTCAGCTTGGACCGTTGACAACACTCAGCTCCACATTTCCATATGATTTATTCATCACACAAACTTTTCTGCCTTTGTCCTGCATATAGAAGAGGAGCTACAGTGAGTGTAACAGCAGAACCCTGTTACAAGGCACTTCCCCTTCCCTAACACGGGTCTGTTTATGATATGGGCATCCTATGAACATACACCCTAAAGTGACTGTCTTCTGGGTTATCAGAAATCCACCGACATCACTTCCTGCACACTGAGCTATACATAGGAAGTTCCTGCGCAGGGTGACTATGCGATGCTCTCAGTTGTAACCCATTATCAAGTGGGCCGGAATTTGACTCTGATAACCACAGGGTTATATCAGGGTTCTACAGTGTATAAAGCAGTAGGTTTGTTTCTGGATGTTTTTATATCTAACTTTTGTTTTGTGTTAAAAACACTCACCTCACAGACTCTCGTAACAGGGCTGCCTTTATTTGGTATAAATGTCCTGCCCATAAACAACTTTCAGACTGATCTCTGTAATCTCAAGACTCCACTGCATGTAGTCTGGGATCAAATGCCAGTGATTGTCTTTCCTGCTCCACAGCTGTTCCACGGACAAGTTCCACCCAGTGCAGCTCAATCCCGGAACCGCGGTTCGGGAGAAGACTCGGCAACGACTTTGCCGTTGGATCCATTGTGCGGTTTGAGTGCAGCCCTGGTTACGCCCTTCAAGGCTCCAGGAACATTGAGTGTCTTGCCGTGCCGGATGCCTTGGCACAGTGGAACGACTCTGCCCCGACCTGCTTAGGTGAGAGGACTTCTTACAGCTCAGCGCTGACGCTTACTTATCATTGGTCAGCACACGCAGAAACCCGATCACCTGTGTTTAAAAGAATCCAAACCAGACTTGGAATTCCATGCACAAACCCACTCAACACTCAGCTCCACATTTCCTCAATATATATTTTATCGCCTTTGCCATGTGAGTCCTGCAGATATGTGAGGAGGTGCAGCGATTAGAATAGTTAACCCATTGGAAATTTCCCCATGTCTGGAATACAACACGCACTCTCTTCCCCCAGAGGAAATATTCATCTAATCCCGAAAGTAATAAGGACAGGTTGGAGAGAGCCAAGGCTTGGGGACCACAGAGTGCGTGTTGGAGTAACTGCTGGAAAACTATGTTGCTTGATATTGAGCTTGTCCGCTGCTTGTCCAGCTATGACCAACAACATCAACAACAAATTACACTTGTATAGCCCCGTTCAGGTTGGAAAGATGTTCAGGACACTGGATAGTTACCTATTAGGGCTTTGTGGGTTAACATAACGATGTAATGTTGGCAGATTCCAATTTTCACATCCTCAATGTTCCAAGAGGCCTTCCTTCTCTCCAAACACAATGCTTCTCTGTCCTTCTAGCCGCAGGCAAGAGCTGGAGCAGCTGTCATGTTCCAGTCTCGGGAATGCATTTTTGCACAGTTATACACAAGAGCAGCACAAACCCGGAGGGGGAGAAGGACAATCTTGCCATTTTGCTACCTAATATGTGGGAAGCACATGGGAACTGGCATACAAATCAACTTCTCTCTACTCCGGACTCCTGCACGGTGGAGTTCTGAGGCCTTGCCCGATTGATTAATCAATCAATCAATCAAGTTAACTAAAGCTGAACACGCAGATTTTGAAGTTACTGGGCAGTGTTTATTTTCCCCTCTGGCGTTCTTTGTAACCAGAGGCCAGGAGATTCTCAGAGTAATTGTTCCCTGTGATTTATCAGGTGGTGCCAGAAATCAGAGAGGAGCCTGTTTAAAACTAATCAGTGTCAGTCATCGGACACCATGGCAGCTTGTGCTGACTTCAGTGGCAATGTAATCGTCAGCAGCGAATTTAGAAAAAGGGATTCGGTGCTTAACTGCTGAGAAATACTAATCCCAATACAAAAGTTACAACCTGTATAGATATATATAATATATAAAGAAAAGAAACAGCAATTTTACAGCGAGAGGCAATGAAAACATTTCACGACTATTCTCAATCAACACAACTCGCTGTCTGCATAAAAGGCGAGGAGGAAGCAAGACAATGCCATTCAGGCTGGATTAGGAACTGCTCAGCCTGGAAGATCCGAAGAGAAGCACAGCACAGGGTGTTATGGCAATCACACAACCACAGTGTTAATACCAGATCGGTAGGAATGAGATTTCCTATTCCAGTCATGTTCCAGACGATGCTTAGTGCAGTATTGTGATATAAGCCTGGTTTGTTAATAATAATAATAATCCTTGCATTTGATACAGCTCCATATAACATCTTCGAGACGTCTCAAAGCGCTTCACAGAATATACTGTAAAGTGAATTGACTATATTTTGTGGGCAAAACATGGCAGCCAATTGCGCACAGCAGTGTCCCACAAACAGTTGAGTGACCAAATTTTTTTTGACATTTTTTTTGATGGACTATTATCTCTGGAAAAGTGATCTGCCAATTGACTAACAACCATTTATATTTGCTTCATCCCATTCTAGCTGTGTAAAACCTGAACCATTTCAAATTAAAATTAATATTCACCGAGTAGAGTTTAGGACTTTCAACTCGTGTAGTCTAGGCTGTTGATGCAGTGCAATGCTGGGGGAGCAATGCTTTGTTGGAGGTACCATCCTTCAGATGAGATGTTAACTTAAGCTCCCTGTTCTGTGCCTGTTCAGGTGGAAAAGATTCCCCTCATGGCACTATTTGAAAAGACAAGGCTATTACTCCTAAAACCAGATAAAAAATTGGTTCCTGGCTGTGTGCAAATTATGTGTAGTATTTGCCTTAAAAAATTGTATAATCAAAATACAATAAATCCTGTGAAGTGCTTTGAGATGTGAAAGGCACTGTATTAAAAGTAAGGATTATTATTATTGTGGTGTCCTAATAATGGTTAAGTGAAGGGAGTTTCTCCCGGTGTCCTCCCCAACAATCCTCCAGATTCCTTTTGAGAAATACCTGCATTTCGACTATTTGATCCAGTGTCTTAGAAAGGGCAGGTCCGTGTGTACAGCACCATGAGAGTCACAGGTAATTATCTGATCCATCATAAAAATAAATTTCTGATTGTAACTGTTCAGTTGCAACACCAAATCTCTCCTGCCCATTCCTGTGCCTCTTCCCAAACACACCACACAATCCTGCACACCTCGTCATTCTGTGTAATGTCACCCTTTCTCTCCTCCCCACCCTCGGATGATACATAACAGTTAAGGTGGACGTTAAGATCCCACGGCACAATTTCATCTCTGCTCATATTGCGCAATTGTCCTCTGCGCTTGTGTTTGAGTTTCTGAGCCAACTTTCTTCTCAGCTTACTTTATCCTTTTTATGCCAGAAGTGTCAAACAAAACGTTCACACAAAACGTTATCCAAAAATCGAAGCGTTAATAAATGAGAAGACGTCAGTGCTAACGATAATCCTGTGTGACTGGCCGGTACTTTAGGAGAAGCATTGAGGTTGGCACTCTTTAAATATTTACAGTACAACATGAGGAAACATAAAATAGTCATTACTTTTATTCGGTGCTGACTCTGCACCAGGCAAAGCTGCTGACCCACAGCCTGCAAACATGAGTGAGTGTTCCTGGCATCGCGCCCAGGATTTACACTTGTACATAAACCATTGTGACTACCGCACTGACTTTATTCCAGAGATTAGGTTTAACCCCTAAAGTGACAACACTTTGACTGAGACTCGGACCGAAGGAAGGGGGATTGAACATATTTTAGCTTAAATTGTGGTGCTGACCTTTCCCCTCCCCCAGCATACCCATTACACCAACAAATCTACTGGGACATAAGATTAAAAATTGGCAGGTTTCAATGTTAGTGCCAGGACAGCGGTTAGGACAGAACAATTGGCAATAACACAATGTACATAATTTAGTTTGAGGTACAACCCAACACAGCCCAACTCAATCTAACCCGACCCACCTCAGATGAGCTCAAACCAACTCAATATAAACCAATCCATTTCAGTTTAACCCTACTCAATCTCAACAAAGCCCAACTCCATGTAAAGCAACACAAGCAAACTCAACCCACACTGCACCAGATATTAATGCTCAGATCGCACTGCATAAAAAAAATCTTTGCTGGTGAATTTCAAGAGTTAATGTAAGTGATATGATCTCTTTTATTGAGGAATTATTGGGATTCAGATTCTGAGAGTGGAAAAACAGCTTGAAGCAAAACAGACTTTGGTTGGATTTATGGCGAATTACAACCGAGAATTAATAGCATTAATCCTTCTCTGATGAGATCTATATATATCTTATTCTGCTTAGTTGATCCAATCTTCTTCTTGTCTCACTTTCAGTGCCTTGTGGAGGAAATCTGACTGAACGAAAGGGCACGATTCTCTCTCCTGGTTTCCCCGAGCCTTACCAGAACAGCCTGAATTGTCTCTGGAAAATCACAGTGCCCGAAGGGGCTGGGATCCAGGTATTTCTCACTGTAGAGATTGTACGTGTGACACCAACAAACATTCATTCAGAAATGCACAGCCTCGTTCCAAGCAAATCATTACCTTGTGGTTTCTTTCTTGAAGCATCCCCCATTGATTGTTTTATTGGGTGTGATAGTCATCTAACACACATGGGAGGGGCATTGGGGGATGTGAGAAGAAAATTGATAATTATCACCAGTAACAAAATGCCCAGAGAAAGATACACCAACACCTTAACTAGAAATCTCAGTTGCAGTGGGTGAGGGAGGTTGGAGTCACACTCTGAAGCTTGATGTTGGCACAGACTGTTATAATAATAATAATAATCCTTGCATTTGATATAGCGCTTTTCACGTCGGGAGGACATCCCAAAGCGCTTCACAGAACATTCTGTAAAGTGAATTGACTGTATATTTATGGGCGAACGTGGCAGCCAATTGCGCACAGCAATGTCCCACAAACAGTCGTAGATTGAAAATGACCAATTTATTATTGTTTTTGGCTTTGGAGGGATTATTATTAGGCTCTGTGTGGAGTAAGGAAACTTGCCCGAGGTTTCGCCCTCTGCCTGGAATTGAACTCAGGTCTCTCACTTGCAAAGCGAGTGCTCTAACCACTGAGCTATAGGACTCCACGAGAGTTGAGGGTGGAATGAAGACTATGAAGACTATGTTTTTTTTGTGTGTTCTCAGACATTGCACGACATTACACTAAATATGTATTAGATGTTTTAATGATTTAGGCACAGGACTTCAATTAGCATCCTTCACCGAGCTTGTAAAGGGTGAACTATCATGCAGTATTTATTTAACTTTTGTTTCATTAGAGGAGAACACTGCTGGAATAATCGTTTCAAAGTCCTCGCTTAACGAGTTTAATTGATATGGTTAGACAAGATCAGGAACTGCAGGCTGAGATGCATGTCTATTACAGGGTTTAACTTTTAATTTGATTTCATTGTATAAATTATTCATAAAGCATGTTGAGCAGGAGACGTACATGTCCAGATTGGGGCTGTCACTCCTGGTCAACTAAACCAGCCAGAAAAAGGTTTGCTCAACAGTGAATAGTGAGGGAAAAAATCTTTTTCAATGGGTGTTGTTTCTGGGGAGAGCTTTCGGTCAGAGTTCGTCTGAATTGGTGACAACATTAGTTCAACTTTAGAAAATCCCTCTGTTGTTTTGCTTTGGTTGCTCCTCCATACCATCACTCCTTCACACACTTGCATTATATTAATAATAAATACCTTTCCAGAACAACAACAACCAATCCATTACTGCGTCAAACAGAGTAAACAATAATAAGAAGGATTCTTACATTTGAAATAGCGCCTTTCAGATCAGGAAGATAAAACAAAGCACTTTGCAGGATTTACTGTAAAGTGTAGTGAATCTGTATGTTTGTATGTTGAATGTGGTAGAGAATTTGCATCAAACAATATTCCACAAATAGCCATGAAGTATTATTTGGAGGATTGTCGGCCAGGACGCCAGGAGAAGCACTTCTTTAATACGTCAGAGGAGGCAGAGGAGACCTCACCTTAAAATCTCATCCAAAAGACAGAGTCGCTGACAATGCGGCATTCACCCAGCACTGCACTGGTGGGTCAGCCTCGACTACGTGAGCTCAAAGTACCGATGTGGGGCACCCACTACCGGCTGAGCCAGGCTGAATGGCTTTCTGGACATTTAGGTGATGTTACAATCCACAAATAAGATAGAAAATAATAGAAATCCCACAGGAGTAGTGAGTAGGTTGTAACAATGGAGAAACATTATTGTTTTAGCAGAGTGACAATAGAGAGCAAGGCAGGAGTTGTGACTTTAATAATAATAATAATAATCCTTGCATTTAATATAGCGCTTTTTACGTCGGGAGGACGTCCCAAATTACTTCACAGAACACACTGTAAAGTGAATTGACTGTATATTTGTGGCGAAACGCAGCAGCCAATTGCGCACAGCAATGTCCCACAAACAGTCGTAGATTGAAAATGACCAATTTATTATTTTTGTTTTTGGAGGGATTATTATTAGGCTCTGTGTGGAGTAAGGAAACTTGCCCAAGGTTTCGCCCTGACCTGCCGGGGATTGAACTCAAGTCTCTCACTTGCAAAGCGAGTGCTCTAACCACTGAGCTACAGGACTCCATAGTCCAAAGAAAGACAAATGTCTTTGGAATGGAATAGCATTCAAAATAATTTTTATATCTGGGACCCAACATGCTACAGTGGAAGGTGTTGAATGGAATCAGTGTCATCAAGATGAGCCTTAAGGGTCTGCAACTAAAAATAATGTTGATGAAAAGCAAAAAAGAACTTTGCAACTTAAAATGTATAATAAACCCCTCTATTTGTCCCCAGATAATATAGAGAAGGGTTTAAAACAGTTTATGAGAGAGAAAAAGATCCAACTTTTGCTGGAGTGCTCTATGATGTTATTCTACATGAAGATTGCTATCTGAAAAGCAAGTTGTTATTAGTGATGCTGTGAAAGCAAAGACTTGCTGATAGCAGAACAAAACAATCAAAAACAAGAGAAAAATGCATCAACATTCTTTTCTTTGCCCTAAATTCCTCCTCCCCCACCAAAAAAAAATTAAGCCACTCGCTGGCACCAACTGTACTGTGGTTGGGAGTACAATAGCCGAGATCTCGCTAGGACATTTCCGTGCTGTGTGGAGACAACACGATCATATCACACTCCAATTAATGCAATTATTTCTTCCACTGAACATTTGTGAACAGTGTTAGCTTTCGCCACCTGCACCTCACAGTAACAGCTTAATTAATTTGCACTGGCATCACTTCCATTCACGCTATCCCATTCTCAGTGTGAGAGCAAAATGGAGCAGCGTTAAGCTCCCTGTTCAAAACACAATCTCTCCGCCTGGGTCTTCACTTAACTGTTTGATGCACAAACAACATTCATGGTGTGGAGTCCTGTAATAATAATAATAATCCTTGCATTTGATATAGCGCTTTTCACGTCGGGAGGACGTCCCAAAACGCTTCACAGAATACACTGTAAAGTGAATTGACTGTATATATGTAGCTCAGTGGTTAGAGCACTTGCCTCACAAGCGAGAGACCTGGGTTCGATTCCTAGCAGGTTGAAACCTTGGGCAAGTTTCCTTACATCACACGCCTGTAATAATCCCTCAAGAAAAAAACACAATAATAAAATGGTCACTTCAGTCCATGACTGTTTGTGGACACTGCTGTGCACAATTGACTACTGCATTTTGCCCACAAATATACAGTCAATCCACTTTACAGTATATCCTGTGAAGCGCTTTGAGACGTCTCGAAGACATGATAAGGTGCTATATCAAATGCACGGATTATTATTATTATTTATTATAAATAGATGTGAACATTAGAGCCTTTAAGACAAATTCATGTGTTGATTATCACATCAAATCTGTGTGAAAACATCACACTTTCCAGTGGATTAGTGAAGTCCGCCTGCAGACTATAGTAATATATAGACAGTAACTGCATAAACATTTGAAGAGGGAAATATAAAGGAGTTCAAGGAAAGAGCAGGGAATTGGGATTGGAGTACTTATCCCAACAGAGGAGCTGGTATCATCTCATTATGCTGCCTGGAATATCAGCTTAACTCAGATTTCCACCCGCAACATTGGCCAATGTTCACTGGAGACTCACTCCCAGGTCAGCCAACTCGTATGTGAGGCACAACCCTCGGTTCCTATCGTATTGCACATTCCATGCAGATTTGGGGAGAATGCGCTCAGGGCATCTTTATAGAGTGTGTTTGAATTTACTCATGTAATACCATCTAGTGAGTTTCACCCAGACTCTTAGCAGCCAACCACAATCAGCTAATACAAATTGATATGATATGACTTATAAGAGGTTTACTGTAATGTTCTATTGGTTTGAATGGAGAGAGGACAAGAAGGGGAGGTTAGAGATGATGGAGGGGTAGAGAGAGAGATGAGGGAAGTGAGGAAGAGTATAGTGGACTCTTTTCCAGGGGTTGTTATTGTTGTTGTTGTGTTGTAATAATCCCTTCAACAAATAAATAAAACCAAAAATTGGTTACTTAATCCACGACTGTTTGTAGGACTCTGCTGTGCACAATTGGCTGCTGTACTTCACTCACAAATACAGTCAATTCACTTTACAGAATAGTCTGTGAAGTGCTTTGAGATGTGATAAAGAGCTATATCAAATGCAAAGATTATTATTATTTATTATTAAATCCTTCATTGTTGGCAATGGGTTTCAGACAGGTTAACAGATCAGTCACTGAACAGGTCCACAGGCCCTTGTGAACGAGGAAATGTAAAGCAGCTTTCTGACAACTCCTAAGTGTGCGCCGTGTTAGTGAAAATCATCCCTTGTCGCCTTTCAGTGCAGAAGACCTCTCCATTCCCCCAATAACCTAACACTCAGCCTCCCTCATCACTCGCTGCTGCACCAGGTGACATTCTCAGAGACGTTACGTGGTGTAATGGTTACACTTCATAGTTCAGGAGGTTCCTCTGCAGTTAATGGATTCCATGACAAACTGCACAGCAACGGATACTCAGTACATGGAAAGGATTTAATGGATTGAAAACACTTTACCTCTGATGTGTATCACTGAAGCACATCCCCCCTGACCCAAGCAGTCACTCACCAGCTCAGTAGCCGGGGTTCAATGCTTCACTTGTGAGGAAGCAGCGCGTGTGGTAATTGGGTTTTTAATCCGAGGTTTAAACATAAAGAGTTCCCTAAACATAAAGAACAGTTGCTCATGTTCTCAGGTGGAACAAAGCCACTTTTGCTTTTGAGCCACTATCCTCTGCTCAGCAGTTGCACACCGTGCAGCCTGTGTCCCAACCAACAATACTCCATCTGGTTACTGGCTGGTCTGGAGGCACTGAAAGAAAGAGAAATGCTGTGGTGATAAAAAAACTTGGAAACTGAGGACACTCAGCTTTTGTAGGGCGGAGGATAATGTCAGCTTTAACAGCTTAAAACACAGACCATTCATCAATCAAAGTAGTGATATGAATAATATTAATAATAATCCTCATATTTGATACAGCACCAAAACACCTTGAATTGCTTCAGTTTCTCTTTCATGTGTAGAGTGTTGTAACATTCTTCTGACCACGTGTAGCTTTTATTTCCGAAATCCGTCAACTACATTTCTTGTAATATTTAATTTATTTACAATTTGTATTCACACAGCTCCTTTCATGTCTCATGTCTCAAGGCGGCTTCACAGTGCTGGATCAGGAGTTGAGCTGGGGTGGGAATCAAGGGGAGGGAAAAGGTATGTTTTGAGACGTTCCTTGAACAAGGGGAAGGAGAGAGATGGAGCTGAAAGTCTACCTGTCGATGGTGAACAGATCGGGTGGAGGACATGAAGCAGCGCATTGAATTTATATGTAGAGAGTCTTCCATTTCCTTTCCTCTTGGCATCTCTTTTACAATTGAAATAAGTGACAGGATCCCACAGTGTGATCTGGAGTAACAGGAGTGTAAATGGGACAATACAGTGAGATGCACTAGGTTTGTCAGGCATCACTGTAAATCGGAGAGAATGTGATAAGTTCAGTGTCACCTTTCGGGTACCGGAGCCTCAGTTCAGCAGGTGTCACTCTGATGAGACAAATCATCGAAGTGGTCACCAGAGGACAGTGATAAACCCTTTGAAGAGAGAGTGAGATTAACGCCAGAAATGCATTAGCAGTGCAAGGTCTCAGCGAATGCTGTTCTGCGCTGCTTGTGAAATCTTTATTGTTACCATAAATTATTCCCTGAACATTTCCAGTCAACACAACACAAAGATACTCGGGGACATTTGACTATATAAGTGGAAGGAAGTTATTCCAGGGATCCCTAAAGTAGGTTGTCAACTGATTTTCCCTTTAAATTCTCAGATTTAATTTTGTGTAGAATTACAATAGAGTAATAGCGGATCCTAAACAGGCCATTTGGTCCAACTAGTCCATGCCTGTGTTTATACTACACACATGCCTCCTTCCTCCCTCCCAGCCCCCAGTCCTCTATATCACTCTCCCTCGTGCATGCATCATATTTGCTCTTGAATACACTGATGCTTTTTGCTTCAACCACAGTTTCTGACAGTGAGTATTCCATGGTATGAAGAAAAGACTGGTAAATAGGACTGAAAGGATCGCTTTTTAAACAATAGTCACAGTGGGACAAATGGCCTTCTTCTGTGCCGAATGTTTCTAAGGATCTAAGGTTCTCATTACCCTCTGTGTGACAAAGTTCCTCCTAAAGTCTCTATTAGACATGCTCACGGCTATCTTATATTTATCCCCTCTAAGCTTGGACTCGCCAACCGGCGGAAACAGTTTATTAATGTCCATCCGACAAACGCTGGCACAATTTCAACAACCACTATCAACTCGGCTCTCATTCGTCTCATCTCTGGAGAGAAAAGCTCCAATCTGTCCAGTTTTTCCTGAATAGCTGTAAAACGGAATTCGGTAAAAATAGATCTTAGTTTGAAAAAAATTGAATTTAACAACTTTTATGTCTTTCAATTTTCATGGTGCTTCATCCAGGATAGGAATGTTCAATACCTGACTCTCTCACCTTACCCTCCACCCCCAAACAACTATTTGCTTACAAATTCACCTCAGTCACTCCAATTTACAGTAAATCCTGTGAAGAGTTTTGAGACGTCCTTGTGAGGTGGCAGCCCTGTATCAAATGTAAGGATTAGATTAATATTTAATCTGCTCTTGAGCAGTCCACTTGACTTGCCCCCATTCCCCCACTGAACCTACAGCTTTGGCTCAGTGTCTCGGAACATTACCCTGTAAACAGGGGCACTGTGTGTGTGTGTGTGTTTGTGTGTGTGTGTGTAAATTGTAAAGCTGCTAAAATGGGCCATTGAGTCCTGTACAATATGTAAATTGGGAGTAATTAGTAGAAAAGTAGGTTTATAAAATGTGAAATGCTTCTGTTCAGCCACTTAAAGTACAGTAAACAGGCCTCCTCGCTAATAAGCACAGAATATTGAGGGGGCAGTCAGCCTGCAATGACTGTACAGGGCATCTCACCTGGGGAGATAACAAGCGTATAGGATGGCTATCCATTTAGTAATTATCCTCTGTTGGTGTGGGCATCCGGTTAATTGAACCGATTTCTTTTCATTTATCGCTTATTAGTGGGTGTTATTGTTTAACGGGATTCCATTAAGAAGACTAATGGGATGTAAATGCTTGTGATTCATTGGTGCGAAAGACAATGCTAAAATAGATTACAGAAGGGACGTTTCTCTGGAGCAGAAATATGGAAGCAATTAAAGGGTATGTCCAGGAAAGGATGTGTGGCTTCAATTTTGGCCCCAAAACACAATAAATCATACTCTAGGTCGAAGTGTGACCTCAACCTGTATTGGAGGGAGGCATTTACTGTGATCTGCAGTATCAGCACAGAGTTACACAGAGCCATTTGGCTTGACCAGTTCATACTCCACACTAGTTTCCACTCCTCCATCCCCTTTTCAATTGTCTTTGTATGAAGCTGAGTTAAATACAAGGATTTTTTTGGGGGGCGATTCTCACCAATCTGTTTTTTTGGGATCAGCCGGGTGTCTGTCACATGCGGAAGCTCCTCATCATGCTTAAGAGTATCCAAACCAAAGCTGAGAATTACGTGCATCCCACCTACACATGGGCATTCCAGAGGAATGGAATCAAATGGAATGTGTACTCTCTCCCCAGAGGGATGTATCCTGCTTATTATTTTTTCCACAAATTGCATCAGTTTCACTGAAGCCTCCGCTCGGTTTTAAACCATTGTTTGTTGTTTGATTTTGGTGCCAGATTCAGGTCATCAGCTTTGCCACAGAACACAACTGGGACTCGCTGGAGGTGTTTGACGGCGGAGACATTACGGCAACGATGCTAGGCAGCTTTTCAGGTAATGTTCAACGCTGGGTTCAGTCACAGAGAGAGAATCAGTATCAGCCAGTGCTTCATTTGAAGGGGTTTTTAATATTTATCTAAAATCAGGCAGATTCTTCGATTCCTGTTCTTTTAAGACACAGGACCTCAGCTTACCATGCAATGGCTAGGACCTGGGCATCATTGCCATCCATTGACACCTCTCAGGCTTTGTGTATCAACTGCTTCTGCCACCTTCTACCAACCTGCCCTCAATAGATTCCCTCACAATGGCAGGCACTGGCCTGCTTCTTCCCTCTGCCCTGCCCGCCCCACCATTGGTGGTTGGAGTTTCAGCCTTTCTGCCCCCACATTCTGCAACTCCATCCTTCTCGCCCTCCCTTCACCTACTTCAAGGTCCATCTCAAGACCTTCCACTTTTTCCGCGCCTTCAGTCATCTTTCTTACCCCCACCACCCTTGGCCCCCACCCCTCCCGAATCCAAACCCAAGCTCTAGTGCAAACCCTCGACTGTCCAGCACCTTGCGATGTCCTCTCAACAGAAAAGGTGCTATACAAATGCAATTTGTTGTTGTTTTTCTCCGTGGGGATTGGAAGGAAAGACTTGACAGGCAAAAGATATGTTTTTGCTCTGTGTTTTCACTGTCTTCTGCTCTACATTGCCCGAGTGCCGAGTTTCCTCACTTTCTGGCTGGAAGTAATATATTTTGAGGAATAAATATTTGAGGTTAGGCATCTCTGAGTCAGAAGGTTGCGGGTTGAAGTTGCACATTGGACTTGACCTCACAGTCCAGGCTGACGTTCCAATGCAGCACTGGCGAGTTTGCTGCATTATCAGAAGCTCCGTGCTTTGGTGAGACGATAAACTGAGGTCCTATCTGTACCCTGTTCAGCTAGATGTTAAAGATCCAATGTTCCCCAGATAAAATTCATCATTCACTTCAGAACTGTTTGCAGGACGTTCCTGTGGACAAATTGACTGCTGTGATCACCTTCAAAAACAGACGGTCACTACACTTGACGTGAAAGGTGCTGCCATTCAAATGCAAAGATTATTATTATTTAACTCATGTTCAGGTATAAGGTTAGTGTCAGAACAAGGGTTGTGAAACCCGTCTTCACCTCAAAATATGTGCCGAGCTGACAGCAACTTGAAATTCTGGGCATCGGGAATTCAAGGTTAGGAGAAAAGGTGAAAGGAGTCATTATTAATAATAATGCCTGCCGTTGTTCCCGGGAGGTGACCCAGTTGAAGTGTTGAAGGTTTTGACAGGGTTAAAATGGAGGAAAATGATTCTGTACAATTCTGCACCTTTCACATCAGGAGGACATCTGCAAGTGGTCCACACTGCTGCCTGGGCATGGGCCTAGTTCAAGGTCCATCTCAAAACCCACCTCTTTGATCAGGCTTTCAAACATCTGTCCCCTCCCAACGCCTTCAGCTCCCACCCCCCATCCATGAAGAAAACAAGGTCAAAGAGGCAAGACTTCAGGTGGACCTTGAATGAGGTGCTTTTGTTTGCACACTGTTCAGTTTGGAAATGGAGCCATTTGGGGGTTTATTCCTCTGTTATCTTGACTCCAATCTCATGTGGAGTGTGAGCAGGGTCACCCCAGTGGCCAATGCTGGGGATCATTTCCTATTCTTATGCTTGCAGGTACCACAGTGCCAGCCCTGCTGAACAGCAGCTCCAACCAGCTCTACTTGCACTTTTACTCTGACATCAGTGTCTCGGCAGCTGGGTTTCACTTGGAGTACAAAAGTAAGGATTTGCACTGGATGTTAGCAGTTGCCAGGACAGATTGTTAGCGCTCTGTGCCCGGGACAGCTGATGCTGAGAGTACGATAGTACTGATGGGCCTGTAATCCTTCCCAGCCGAGCCATCTGAGAGTGGAGGGCACTTTGCGGAACAGAACTTGGTCACAATTAAAGAGAGAGGAAAGTTTGTGGTGAGCCGGGGAGAGGGGGCGGGGGAAAAGGTGAAAATGGTTTGCGGAAAATCTCAGTTCGCCAGGTAAGAAAGACAGGATTGAGGAATGCTGTTCCCAGGTCCTTCAGTGTTGACCCAGTCCAGGTCCCGAGTCAGATCCACTCGCTGGCTAAAGCCCAACTCTGAAGTTCACGTTCACTGTGGGAGTGACTGTTCTTGTGGAATTTAAATCTTGCTCTTTATTGTCTCACTCTTTACTTCCACCATTTTCGCCCACAAATATAGTCAATTCAGTTTATGCTATACAAATGTAATTTTGTATTGTATACAGTATTCTGTGAAGCACTATAAGATAGCTCAAAGACATGTTAAGGCACTTTATCAAATGCAGGGATTATATATTTACACTTTGTGGATACATGCGTATGTACACCTGTGTATATGTTTGGCTTCTTCCTTTTGCTATGAAGCAGATAGTTCGAAAGATTTCTCCTTTATTTCACGATCCCCAGAAGTGCTGATAGTGTGACTTGCTTGTGACCAGGTGACATTCATGAGCTGGAATTCATGGCAAAGCAGAAGCTGTGGACAGACATGAGCAGATCTTTGTTATATCATCGTGGGTGCACATGGAGTTACATAGCCAGGACAGTAAAGAGGCTGTGTGTCTCGGAAACTTATGCTAAAACCACTTGAGAAGTGTTTGCGTTTGTCAGAACAGAAACATCCTTTGCTATTTGTTCTCTCACTTTCTCTCTCGCTCTCGCTGTCTTGTAGCTGTGGGGTTGACCAGCTGTCCAGAACCATCAATCCCGTCCAATGGCCTGAAGGGCGGAGAGAGATATTTGGTCAATGATGTTGTGTCCTTTCGATGTGAACCAGGTTATGCACTGCAGGTAATCACTGCAATCATTGAGGCTTATTGAGATCTTTGTGTGATCTTAGACCACTGAAGACCACCGAAGACCAACTCTCTCTCCTTTGTGTTTGCAGGGACATTCCCACATTTCCTGCATGCCCGGAACAGTCCGGCGATGGAACTATCCTCCACCTCTATGCATTGGTACGTCGCACATGTCCCCATTTCCTATGTTGTGTATCTTCTCTAAGAAAACGTGATTATCTCTGGCAGCTAGGTTTGACAAGAACAACAAGGTTATGTCCATGTTTCCCATTCACCATAATTTCAGACATGCTGATGGGCTCAGAGCACAATGGCTTGACAAGTAACTTTGCTTTGCAGACCTATTGGAAATATCTGGTGAGCATCCATGTTCATGGGTGTTATACTGAGTACAGGATAGTGTTTCACTCGGTCACAAAACAAACTATTATTGTTAAGATCATTCTGCCATCGCCAATACACACAGGGCAGACCTTTCTCACTGAAAGGTTGGACTCAAAATCATTACTGTGCGAGAAAATCTTTCTGCTTCAATACCTCAGTAGCACTCTCACCACAGATGGTTGGTTGTGAGTTGAAGCAACAGGTCAGGGACTTTGAGCTCACAGTCTGGGCTGACGCTGCATTGTAGTTGGGGAATTGTGGAGTCCTGTAGCTCAGTGGTTAGAGCACTCGCTTTGCAAGTGAGAGACCTGAGTTCAATCCCAGGCAGAGGGCGAAACCTTGGGCAAGTTTCCTTACTCCACACAGAGCCTAATAATAATCCCTCCAAAACCAAAAACAATAATAAATTGGTCATTTTCAATCCATGACTGTTTGTGGGACATTGCTGTGCGCAATTGGCTGCCGCGTTCGCCCACAAATATACAGTCAATTCACTTTACAGTGTGTTCTGTGAAGCACTTTGGGACGTCCTTCCGACGTGAAAAGCGCTATATCAAATGCAAGGATTATTATTATTATTATTTAATTGTTGCATTGTCCGAGGTGTCATCCCTCCGATGAGATGTAAAACCACGTTCCTGTCTGGGCCCTGTTCAGCTGGAAATTAAAGAACCCCCAAAATAATTTTTCCAAGTGTCCAGGCCAACAATCCCCAAATAAAATTGATCATAGAATCATAGAAATTTACAGCGCAGAAGGAGACCGTTCGGCCTAATGATTTGCTGTGTGCAAATTGGCTGCCATGTTTGTCTACAAAATACACACACTACATTCTATGGTAAATTGTGTGAAGCGCTTTAAGAAGTCCTCCTGATGTGAAAGACAGTGTGTCAAATGTATGGATTATTATTATGACCTTGATTGATTGGCCACTCACTCAGTGACTGTTTGTGGGTCACAGTCACTACATAGCATTATAGAATTATACAGCTCAGAAGGAGGCCATTTGGCCCATCGTGTTTGAGCTGCTTTTTGAAAAGAACTTCCAAATCAACCCCACTTTGCACTCTCTCCCCCATAGCTCTGCAAACTTGTCCTCCACAAATAATTATCTACTTCTCTCTTAAAAGTTGTTATGGAATCCCTATATTCCGTGAAGCGCTTTGAGACATCTCAAAGGTGTGATAAGGTGTGGAGTCCTGTAGCTCAATGGTTAGAGCACTCGCTTTGCAAGTGAGAGACCTGAGTTCAATTCCAGGCAGAGGGCGAAACCTTGGGCAAGTTTCCTTACTCCACACAGAGCCTAATAATAATCCCTCCAAAACCAAAAACAATAATAAGTTGGTCATTTTCAATCTATGACTGTTTGTGGGATACTACTGTGCGCAATTGTCTGCCGCGTTCGCCCACAAATATACAGTAAATTCACTTTACAGTATATTCTGTGAAGAGCTTTGGGACGTCGAGAAGACGTGAAATGCGCTATATCAAATGCAAGGATTATTATTATTATTAAGGCGCTATATCAAATACAAAGATTATTATTGATTCGTCTTTTTGGATTGTTATGTTAACTGCAGCACAGTGCGGAGGAACCTCCACTGAGATCACCAATGTGATCCTGAGTCCTGGATTCCCGGGAAACTATCCCAGTAACGTGGATTGCATCTGGCGGATTACACTGCCGGTTGGATATGGTAAGATATAAAAGAGAGCTTTGCGGACGCGATTACAATCTGCTTTCACTGAACAGTAGTACTTTCAACAAAACAACCTGTTTCCTGAATTTTAACAATCCAAAGTTGTTAGTTGTCATGCCTTGTGGCTTTTCAATCTTCAGCTTGGTATCGGGAGCTGGAGCTGAAAAAACACACATTCTCTTTATCTTCTTGATTCATTTTTAGACAATAGATAACTTTCTTTTTGTTTCCCCTTGAGCTGTCTTTGATGGCATGAGAACGAGCAAAACAACCAGAGAGAAATGGTTTCAGACACGAGAGCTCCACTGATCATATGTACAATTGAACAAATGAGAGTCAAGGAGTCAGGTCTCCTGATGATATCTGTCTATGAAGAGGTGATTCGATTATCCAGGGAGGTTAAGACTGATTCATTTCATACGTGACTGTTCACTCAATTCGAAATAAGTTTCAATTGGATAGTAAAATTGGATAACAAATTATCTAAAGATTTTTTTTTGAGGGGTGGGTGATAAATGACAAAACATTGAAAGCACGTTGACTCAGAACCTTGTAGCCTATGAATTGTCTTCAGTGAGAGTTCTTCACACACCTGATCTGTTGGTTCATTGACAACATCACACCCCACCACAGGTGTCTTCCCCCTGAATATAAATCTAAACATGGTGTATCAGCCTCACTCAGTCAGAAGCACTGTTAACTCTGAGTCACAAGGCTGGTTCAAGTCCCACGACAGGGATTTGAACTCAGATAATCTACTCTAGACTGACACTCCAATGGAAGGAGGGGAGACCTGCATGATGAAACATTAAACCAATGTCCCGTGTGTGCCTACTCTTGTGGATTTTAAATATCCTGTGGCGATATTCAAAAGAGAAGGGAGTTTCTCTCTCCCAGTGTCCTGGCCAACAATCCCCCAGATGAAAATGTTGTGGTTGTTTTGCGACATTGCTGCACAAATTGGCTGCTTCATTTACCTACAAGGGACAGTCACTACACTTTACAATAAATCCTGTGAAACACTTTGAGACAACTTAACGATGTGAAAGGCAGTGCATCAAATGTAAGGATTATTATTATATCATTATCAACATGTTACATGTATGGACACACATGTGGTGTCATACATGCATCATTCACTCCTGCATCGGGCAGTGGATGGCTTGTGTGTCCGGTGTGATCTGGCTGATGTAACCGAGGCAACACGAATCTCAGTGTCTGAGTATCTCAGTGATGATGGCAAATCTGATGGTAAAAGCATTGAAAAGCAACGGGCTCAAAAACATCAAATATCACTTTCTTTCCCTATATTCCCTGTGATCCTAACGTTTCTAAGATGTTATCATGCGGAAAGCTTGCTATGTAAACGCAGGTTGCTGTTTAAATACTATTCCCAGAGAAACGAGTTCTAGTCATTTTGTGTGTCTGAGAGTTTCCTTTCCTGTGGTTTTCAGGGGCTTATATCGAATTTCTGAACTTTTCCACGGAGCCCAATCATGATTTTACCGAGATTCGCAATGGACCCCACGACACCAGCTCTGTGATAGGCCGGTTCAGCGGAGCAGAACTCCCACCATCCCTGCTGTCCACATCTCACGAGACAACCATATACTTTCACAGTGACCACTCTGAGAATAAGCCAGGCTTCAAGCTGATGTACCAAGGTAGGAGATCTGAAGAGGAGCGTGCCACATGTGTGAGTAGACTACACAGCAGGCAGCAAGGGAAGATGTGCAAGCATTTCAAAGTGACTTCCTCACTGGAGGCCTATAACCACCTCCTCTTCACTCAGTGTCCAGCCCCACCCTGGACATCACTCCGAGACTATACCCTATGTAAACGCCGCTCTACAAATGCTTGTTGTCGTGTTGCCATTAGTCTCTGAACCTCGGTGGTTGGTGGCACATTTCCTGCACCTATTTTCTCAGCTCTTCAGTTTCCAGTTCATTGTTCAGTGCTTTAAATCGTGTTGGGTTTTTGTCCCTGACCCTGATTCTGACCTGTCACCAAATCTTGTCTTTCAGCTTACGAACTGGACGAATGTCCTGATCCTCAGCCTTTTGCTAATGGCTTTGTGACGGAGGCCGGTTACAATGTGGGGCAGTCCATTTCATTCCAGTGCATGCCGGGCTACCAGCTGATCGGCCACTCAGTCCTCACCTGTCTGCATGGAGTCGACCGAAACTGGGACCATTCTATACCGCGGTGTGAAGGTACAGCTCAGCCACCGAGGTCGGTTCTTACAGCTTAGCACAGCCTTAGCTAGAGATGGGTTTGGTGGGGGGGTGTTGGCTGACAGAGTCGTATTGCCAGCCTTAGAGGCTTTGAATCTTCATTTTTTTTTAAGTTTTTGACAAAAAATCACCACTTGTGTTATTTTAAATTTCAGCGACTATAAAAATGGCCAGCCTCCAGGTCATAAGGTCGTCATGGATATCATTTCTCGCACAATTTAATATGCTGGAGATTGTAAATTATGTGTCGATCTTACAGAATCTGCCCTCGTTGTCTCCAGTAACTCTGCGTTGCCCTTAATCTCTAATCCTGAACTGTGGAAACCTCATTTTGCTGTCATCTATTGCACAACTGTATATTATTAGGTGGTGTCAATTGGTGGCTTAGTTGTTTTCATCTTGGTCCAGTCAGTCTCGCCTCTGAGTCAGATGGTTTTGGGTTCAAGCCTCTCATCAAGTCTTTGATCTCAGTTTTGGCTGATGCTTCAGTGCGGGGGATGCTGGGGGAGTACTGTGTTGCTGGAGGTACCGTCCTTCAGATCACACCTTCAACCCATACACCATCTGTGCCTGTTCAGGTGGACATTAAAGATTCCGTGACACTATTCGAAAAGAGAAGGGAGTTTCTCTCTCCCGGGGCCCAGCCAACAATCCCCAAGATAAAATTGGTCACACACTTACTGCTGTTTGTGGGACATTGCTGTGTGCAAATTGGCTGCCACAATTGCCTACAAATACGCAGTCACTGCACTTCACAGTAAAATCCTGTGGACGTACTAAGGTCCGATATAAAATGCAAGGATAATTATTATTATCTTTCACTTGTGATATTTCGCTCCGAGACACTGCCCAGCGGTAAAGGCGCTGTATATGTGCAAGTTGCTGTTGTTGCAGTAGTTAAGTGAAGCTGCAATAGCAATTACATAGGTTTTGCAACAACAAACCTATTTCTTTTACCATCAGATTTCTAATATAATTAGTTATTTACAGACTTCCATTGCCTTTCCCTAGTGACAGGAAGCTATGTGTGTAGTAGGGTTGTTTAGAACTTTTCCGCTCTTGCTTTATCCTCTTGGCGTTTGGGAGCAATCAGTTATTTTGGCCCGATGCTAATCTGCGGCTCTAAACCAGCTCCTTTTCCTCATTTCAGTTCCCTGCGGAGGCAACATCACGACTTACAATGGCACGGTTTACTCCCCTGACTTTCCCAACGAGTATCCCAACTCACAGGACTGCACCTGGCTGGTGACCGTACCTGTCGGCTACGGAATCCTCCTCAATTTCACTCTGCTGCAGACGGAGCCTGGGAACGACTTCATTACCATATGGTACGTGTTTCTGTTATTAAAACATACGTCAATTCTGGTCACATGTTCCGCCCGCCACCTGTTATCCTTGCTGAAGTACTTCATCACTTCACCTACAAAATATACAGTCCCTACAATTTACAGTATATTCTTTGAAGCGCTTTGAGACGTCTCAAAGAGGTGATAAGGCGCTTTATCAAATGCAAGGATTATTATTATTATATTCAGCTGCAAACTCACATTTGTTGGAACCTTTCCGTCCCAGCGACTGAGATTGCTGAGCACTTAATTTGCTGCCACGTCACCTATAAACACAGTCATTATATTTTACAATATATCATGTGAAGCACTTTGAGAAGTCCTTCTGACATGAAAGGTGCTCTATCAAATGTAAGGATTATCATTATTATTATTTGATGTGAACTCAATTTAATTTGGGATTTCTCTTCACCTCTCTTACCTTCCTACCTAAGGTTGAAACCTGGTTTATTTTCAAACTATGAATAATAACAAATTACATTTGTATAGCGTTTTTCACGTCAGGAGGACGTCCCAAGGCACTGAACATTCTAGGATTTGGACCAGAGTTGGTGGTTGGGATCAGGAGGGGTGGAGAGCAGGTAGGGTGGGGGTAGGAGGGTCAAAGAGAAAGGTGTTGAGATGGTCCTTGAGGCAGGCAAGGGAGGGGATGAGGTGGAGGGACTGTGGGATGGTGTTCCAGAGGGTTGGGACAGAAAGGCTGAAGGCCCAACCACCGATGGCGGGGTGGGCCGGGCATAGGATGTGGAGTAGGCCAGAGTCCACAGAGTGGAGGGAGCAGACAGGCCGGTATGGGATTAGCAGGTCGACTAGGGACCATGAACTGGATCAATTTAAACTAAATCCAGATTAATTAATGAATAAAATTCCTTTATTGTAAATGTTCAGTCATTACGCCCCTAACCTTTGCAATGCCCTGCCCCAATCCCTCTGACTCACCGCCTCTTAATCCATCTTTAGATTCCTCCTTTAACCCTTACCTCTTCGACTGCGCTTATGGTCACCTCCCCCAATTCCCTCTCCCTCGCTCGGTGTCCAACCTAGTCATTGTTCAGCGCTCTGAGTGAAGCGCAACATACAAATGTTCTCGGATCCGCGATTTATGCATCTGACTTTTAATACTCTTCTTTTCCTCATTCAGGGACGGAGCTCAGCAAACTGCGCCTCAGCTGGGGATGTTCAGTGGGACGTCAACAAAGGAATCCGCCTATAGTTCTTCAAATCAGATCCTCATCAAGTTCCACAGCGATGTGGCCAACGGCGGCCTCTTCATGTTAAACTTCTACGGTCAGTGCGACCTGTTCGGTGGTCATCTGAGACATCAAAAGACATGTTGATTCTGGTTAAACCAGGTCTTGCAATAACTGTTATTTTGGATATTTCCATCCAAGCGGTCTGTTCCTTTGACCTTAGTCTATCCAGTTGGTCTCAGGTGCTATCACCCTACCTATCTGGAGTGTGCATGTTCTGATCATTCAAAACTATAAGCAATGTAGTTTACCTACCTCTCCTCCGGCTCTTTGAGACAGGAGTCTGTGTAACTACGGCAAACTGTCCATTTCATTCTTTCTGTAATAAGGCTCCATCCCTCCTTTACACCAGATACAAACGAGCATGTAAGAATGATCTTCCAAAATAAATATTTTCCTTGCAAAGCTCTTCTGCACCTTGTTAATAATAATAATAATATTTGCAGTAGATCTGCCAGCATGTGTCCTCATTGTCACCTTTGCCCAGACCTCGCTCCAAGCGTGAGTTCTGTTTCTTACAAAAGCCCAGTCCGCATCATCAGGCTCAGCCCACTGGAGCCACTCAGAGAAATAATGAGCAGTTAATATGCTCCACAATCTGCTCTTATTATTGATTTGCTTTTTTCATACCTCGACTTGCTCACCTATGCAGCATAGAAATTAGCCAACTAGCAACAAGCTTATGGCTCATTATGGACAGTCAACTAAGGCTTAATTATACAGCAATGACCTCACAGCGCAAGCACCAGCCCACAGCCTGGCTCCAGTAATGAGCTTCGACGATCTCTGTCAGTGGACACCCACCTGTATAGTGCTGTCTCATTCATACCCCCAAACGACTGCCACTGATCATGTTCCTTCTCCTTGCTGTCACTTTACCAGCCGCACCGAGAGAGTGCTGCTCCATCCACACTGATTAAACCAGAGAGTTTTAATTGGAGCCGAGGGAGGAAGGGTGGGAGTGGTGGGGTTGTTCTGTGACGATGAGATCAAATGGGCTGACCAGGCTCAGACCCACTTTGTTACCCTGTGAACAAGGACTGGAGCTGCTGCTAATACCTTTCCTCATGGTGTTTTCCAGCCTATCAACTGAAGAGCTGCCGGCCTCCAGTCTCTGTGCCAAACGCTGAGATCTTCACTGAAGATGAGCAGTTTGAAATCGGTAATGGTTTTTCCCTTGGGGACATGGTGACGAGCGTCCTTTGTTCGACTGAGAGTGAAATTAGGGGACAATCACACGTGTTGCCTAAAGGGCTTCACATACCCAGATTCGCAAAGCCCCACACTGAGCAGCATCCGGGCTACTTAAACCTCCAAAAGGCAACATACTGTAGATGCTGGAAATCTGAAATAAAAACAGACGTCGCTGGGAACACTCAGCAGGTCAGGCAGAATCTATGGTGAAAGGAAAGTGAGTTCATCGACCTGAAACATCAACTCACTTTCCTCTCTCCATAGATGCTACCTGTCCTGACCTGCTGAGTGTTCCCAGCGACTTCCACTAAACTTCCAATGTTGGCTACCTCTTTGGGGGCCTCGTTGTGAAGCCGCCCACTCAGGTGGTCTCCGAACATTCTGGCAGAATTGTCACGGAGGCAGGCAGCCAGAATAGCACACAACTAAAAAAAAATCTCCAGCAGTTTAACCCCAATTTGTCGCGACTCTCCTCTGAAACACCAGCCTTTTTTTTATAATCCAGTGGCTTGTATTTGTGAGTTGGTTCTCGCCCTCTGTTTAATTTCTCTTCTGTTCAAAACAACAACCACAACAACAAATTACATTTGTATAACACCTTTCAACAACAACAACAACAAGATTCCATTTATAAAGCGCCTTTCACGTCAGGAGGACGTCCCAAAGCGCTGGACAATCAGGGATCCACACACAAGCTGATGGTTGGGATCTGAAGGGTTGGAGGCCAGGGAGGGAAAAGGGAAGGAGGGTGACCGAAGGCACGGTAGAAGAGGAGGGTCTTGAGATGGGTCTTGAAGGAGGTGAGGGAGGGGGCGAGGCAGAGGGAATGGTGGGGTGGGTAAGGCGGCAACATTCCCCCACTTCCCTCACCTCCTCCAGACCGGGGTGTTAGTACAGGCCAACATGCAGCTGTGATTTAGCCTCTACCATTCTCCTCTTGTCTCAGGTGATATCATCAAGTACCAGTGTATCCCAGGATTTTTGCTGATTGGAAATGAGATCTTGACCTGTCGGCTCGGGACACACCTGCAGTTTGAGGGTCCGCCCCCCTCTTGTGAAGGTAAACAATGACGTGCAGGATGAAGGCAGATGTTAATAATCATCCAGGCATTTATCACATCAGAGCGTCTTCACACGACTGTGTGTTTTGTGGGTGTCAGTTCCTGTTCAGGTGGGCGTTAAAGATCTTGTAGCACTATTTGAAAGGAGAAAGGAGTTTCTCTCTCACGGTGTCCTGGCCAACAATCCCCCCAAATAAAATTGGTCACTCACTGGCTATTAATGGGCCATTGCTGTGCACAAATTGGCTGAAAGTCACTATCAAATGCAAGGAGTCTTATTTTTATCGCAGATCTAGACTTTGCCAACAATTCCTTCACACTGTCTGCTCCAACTCAATAAATAACAGCACAGTACAAATTCACATAACATCTTGGACATGCTCAACATGCTTCTCAAGATTTTGCTGTAAAGTGCAGTGACTGCATATTCCGTGGGTGAATGTGGCAGCCAATTTGCGCCCAGCGATGTCCCGCAAACATTCATGCAACGAGTGAGTGATTTTATCTGGGGATTGTTGGTCAGAACACCGGGCGGGAGAGAGAAACTTTATGGAGAAGAATACCCCTTTTGAATGCCACTTCCCCACAGGCGGGCCTTGTGATGTGGGTGAAGTTATTTTTCATTTCTTCGCCACTTTTGAATGTAGAACCCCGCGATGTCACCCAGACCCACGGGGACGGTGAAGCGTTTAATTGTCACTGTTCCGTGAGTTTAAACATCTGGAACATCAATATGGAGCACATGTTCCTTTTTTAAAGAAAAAAAATCAAATGTCTTTTTTGTTAATCACTGTCTCCGTTTAAATTAATAGCAGCGAAGGTCTCCCCCCCACCGCCCACCCACCAGAATTCAGGGTGAGCCACAGTAGGTGGTGCTCGTGGGCTGTGTGACTCCAATGGACTCAACAGCCAAACAGCACCACCTGCAGCCAGAGAGGCTGAATGTTTCCTGCATTGGGGTTTGCTGCTTTGTTCTGCACTTTCATTGCTTGTGTGCTGCGTGTGAGTGTCGCGTGTGCTGCGTGTGAGTGTCGCGTGTGCTGCGTGTGAGTGTCGCGTGTGCTGCGTGTGAGTGTCGCGTGTGCTGCGTGTGAGTGTCGCGTGTGCTGCGTGTGAGTGTCGCGTGTGCTGCGTGTGAGTGTCGCGTGTGCTGCGTGTGAGTGTCGCGTGTGCTGCGTGTGAGTGTCGCGTGTGCTGCGTGTGAGTGTCGCGTGTGCTGCGTGTGAGTGTCGCGTGTGCTGCGTGTGAGTGTCGCGTGTGCTGCGTGTGAGTGTCGCGTGTGCTGCGTGTGAGTGTCGCGTGTGGTGCGTGTGAGTGTCGCGTGTGCTGCGTGTGAGTGTCGCGTGTGCTGCGTGTGAGTGTCGCGTGTGCTGCGTGTGAGTGTCGCGTGTGCTGCGTGTGAGTGTCGCGTGTGCTGCGTGTGAGTGTCGCGTGTGCTGCGTGTGAGTGTCGCGTGTGCTGCGTGTGAGTGTCGCGTGTGCTGCGTGTGAGTGTCGCGTGTGCTGCGTGTGAGTGTCGCGTGTGCTGCGTGTGAGTGTCGCGTGTGCTGCGTGTGAGTGTCGCGTGTGCTGCGTGTGAGTGTCGTGTGTGCTACGTGTGAGTGTCGCGTGAGCTGCGTGTGAGTGTCGCGTGAGTGTCGCGTGTGCTGCGTGTGAGTGTCGCGTGTGCGAGTGTCGCGTGTGCTGCGTGTGAGTGTCGCGTGTGCTGCGTGTGAGTGTCGCGTGTGCTGCGTGTTAGTGTCGCGTGTGCTGCGTGTTAGTGTCGCGTGAGTGTCATGTGTGCTGCGTGTGAGTGTCGTGTGTGCTGCGTGTGAGTGTCGTGTGTGCTGCGTGTGAGTGGCTTGCACACTGTGTGTCAATGGCGTGCTATGTAACCACTAAAATTGTCGGTGCTGGGAAGCTGATGGGAGCTGCTGGAGTTGGATGCATTAGAGCTCATTGTGCACTATTTGCCAAGTGTAGAGAATCCTTCGGTCATTTATAATGAACGGCGTCATGTAGCTCAGTGGTTAGAGCACTGCCTCAGCAGCGAGAGACCCGGCGATTCCTTAGGCAAATTTCCTTACTCCACACGCCTGATAATAATCCCTCAAAATAAAAGAACAATATTAATTTGGTCACTCAATCCACGACTGTTTCTGGGACGCTGCTGTGCGCAATTGGCTGCTGCATTTCGCCTGAAAATATCCAGTTGATTCACTTCATATTTTGTGAAGCGCTTTGAGACGTCTCGAAGACGTGATAAGGTGCTATATCAAATGCAAGGATTATTATATATTTATTATAATGGAGAATATTAAACACGTGCGGCAGTTGGCAAATGGTCCTCCGTCTGCTCTGTCTCACCTCTGGGAGAGAGAATCAAATGCAGCCCAGACGTGTGAGGCGAGACCGGCGCTCTCCAGTGTCAGACAGCTTTAAACACATCTGGCCACAGCTTCTCCAGCCCTGCGGAGAGTGGGGCCGAAGGGACCTTCACATGAAGATGCAGAATCCCGATGCAGGTTAAGCTTGTGGCACACGGCACCAGTAAGATCGAGACAGGTGGCGGCTATTCAGCCCAACCAGGCCTGTTCTGCTATTTTATTAGTTCATCAACAACCTGTACTCGTACATTTCAATACAAAGTTACATTTGTGAAGCGCCTCTCACGCTGGGAGGACGTCCCAAGGCACTGAATAGTCAGGGATTAGGACTCGAGCCGGGGTGGGGGTGACCACTAAAATGAAGTGGGGTTGGGGATCAGGGTGGCCGAAGGCACGGTCAAAGAGGGGGAGGGTCTTGAGGGGTGCCTTGAAGGAGACAAGGGAGGGAGCGAGACGAAGGGATTGTGGGATGGAGTTCCTTATACTTATACAGCGGTCTTCAGACAAGATGGAGTTCCGGCGTTCTTTTAATCCCATTTCCTTACCTTTTCCCATTTACCTTTACACTTTCTTTTGGAAGTATCCAGCTCCCTCTGTAACATATACAAACCATTGCAAATCATTGATATGGTCGTCTTCACATCAGTGAGACGTCTCAAAGTGCTTCACACTGCTGGATGGTCACCTGTCCAGCCACAGCAGAGACTGAATCTGCCCATCTCGCAGACGTCATAGTAATAATAATCTTTACATTTGATCTTGTGCTTTATCCCACCACTGAGGTATCTCAAAGTGCTTCACATGTAGTGACTGTATTTGTAGGCGATCCCGGCAGCCAATTTGCACACAGGATTCTCCTACAAATTACTGTTGGGCTGATCATTCAGATTTTCGTCTAAATATCCTTAGTTGATAAAGATAACAATAATAATCCTTGCATTTGAATACAGTGCCTCATCACATCTTCAAGATGTCTTAAAGCGCTTCATGTTTTATATCGAACTTGCCGAGACCTGTCGTGCGTGAGTCTCTCAAGCTGCTTTAGTTGTGGTTGTGGATTTCCACGTCTTAGCACCTGGCTCCTGTTCAAAGCTGTGAGCAAGCTGTAGTGTCAGCAGCTCCCAGTCTAAATTAATTCCAATCATATCATTGGACTGGGAATCAAAGGTTTTTNAGGTGTATTCTTTGCCACTTATTGAGAACCAAATTTTCTGCTTTAAGCAGCTAAAATCTCTGCTTCCTTTTATGTTACTGACAATCCCATAATATACTGGAGGAACACACCTCAGGTAATGGAGAGATGACCGTGCGTTTCTAGGCTCTTAACTTAATTGAAATGATCTGAGAATTAAATTACACCCTCAATCTCGCTGCTGCTGCTTGCCATTTGATTCAGCGTGCGCCTATGTTTAATACCAGGTTAGTCCCCGTCTCTGTGAGCTTTGCTCATCCACACTCATCAGGCAGTGCAATGATCCAGATTATTACAGGGAAAGAGCAGGCAATTGGGATTGGCTTGGGTTCTCCCATGTAGGAGCTCGATAGGCTGAAGGGCCTCCTTCAGTGCTGGAACCTGTAATTTATAATAATAATAATAATCTTTGCATTTGATACAGTGGCTTATCACGTCAGAAAGATGGCTCACAGCACTTGACAATATTCTGTGAAGTGTAGTGACTGCATTTTGTAGGCTAATGCAGCAGCCGATTTGCAAACAGCAATGTCACACAAACTGCCATTAACCGTATGACCACTTTCATTTGGGAAATTGTTGGCCAGGACACCAGGAGAGAGAGACATCCCTTTCGCTTGAATAGTGGCACATGAGATCTTTAATATCCATTTGAATAGGCATAGACTGGACCTCAGTTCAATATCTAATCTAAAGGCCGGCACCTCTGATGATGCAGCACTCGCTGAGCTCTGGGGTGTCAGCCTGGACTGTGAGTTCAAAGTCCCAGACGTGGAGCTTGAATTTACAACTTTCTGACTCTGAGGAAATAGGGCTACTCATGAGCCATCACTCGGGTTTACAGTAGGTCAAGTTTACAGCCTCTCTGGCTCTGTATACTAGAGAAAGCTCTGAGCAAAAGTGTAAAATTTAGATTCTGGAATGTCCTTATTGCACTGACTGATAAAAGACTATTTTAGGCCACATGTTTGGCCGTGCTTGGTGTTTGGGGAGTGTGAGGAAGGAGAGGAGAGACTGTAATCTGTGTGCCTGTTGCTGTGACCCTCAGCGCACTGCCCCATGAACGAGATCCACACGGAGTCCTCAGGGGTGATCCTGAGCCAGGGTTTCCCCGGGAACTACCAGCATTTCCAGACCTGCTCCTGGGTCATCAAAGTGGATTCCGGCCACAACATCACCCTCTTCATCGAGTTCTTCCAGAGTGAGAGGCAGTTTGATGAGCTGGAGATCTTCGATGGTGAGTTACAAGTCAGCTGATCAGTCTCATCACCACCAGCTACACAAGCTACTCTCACCGTGACGGTTACGGTGATTTCAGACACACTGATCAAACATTTCTTTGGTGGGCTGGGGTTTGGTCAGCCGGGTGTCTGCCACATGCAGAAAACCATCACCATGCTTAAGAGTCTCCAAACCAAACTGGGATTTCCATGCATCCCAACTGCACATGGAAATTCCAGATGAAAGATTGTTGTAATGGAATGCGGACTCTCTCCCTGGAGGGAAGCATTCTGTTTACCTAATTCTGGGAAGTATTAGGTGCAGGTTGGCAAGAGCCAAGGCTTGGGGACCCCACAGTGTGCATTGGGGTAACTGCTAAAGTTTAACCAGCTCAAACCACATAGCTTGCTATTGATATTGCTGTCTGGCAAGCTTTCCTGCTGCGTGTCCAGCTAGGACCACGCTACCCATTAGGGCTTTGGCTTGCAGGATTAACAGGTGCTGAATGGGAGGATCCCCTGATTCCCTGAACAAAGTTAATTTACAGGGAGGCTCACACTGAACCCTAGTGAACGATGGTGTTGTCCTCTCCCCCAGGCCCCACCAGCCAAAGCCCTCTGCTGATCGCTCTGAGTGGCAACTATACATCTCCTCTGACCATCGTTAGCTCTCGCAACAAGGTCTACCTTCGCTGGTCGTCAGACCACGCTACCAACCGGAGAGGCTTCAAGATTCACTATTCAGGTTGGTGCCAGTGTGACGTTGTCTGGTGGTCAAGCTGCCGTTTACCATGTCCCTCGGGATGACGTGAGGGGTGCTTTGCACTCAGCCGCTTTAGCTCCAAAACAAGAGGAAAAACAGATTGAATTAAGGAAAGGCATTCACTCACTGACTCTGTTTGGCATCGTGCAAACCCGGAATCTCAGAGGAGGCCAACTCGCTCTGCCCATGTGCAAAACCTCCCAGTGACCAGATCAGCAACACTCTCCACCCTCCCTCCAGGCTCCTCTCCCCCCCACCCCCTCTTCCCCCGATCAGGGTTGTTGCTGTTTAACCTGTCGTGTGTTTTCTCTGTGCTCAGCGCCCTACTGCAGCCCCCCGAGCCCGGCCAGACACGGCTCCATCCACAGCCAGACCGGGGGTCACCCAGGCAGCACTGTGCGGTTCAGCTGTGACCCCGGCTATCGGCTGATCGGTCAGGGTGTGGCCACCTGTACACGATTACCCCAGGGCTGGTACAAGTGGAACACCATCCCCCCACTCTGTCAAGGTAAGAGAATTACCATCCGCCCAGCAAGTCTTCCCCCACCCCTCACGTCTGCCGATCGCACGGTCACATCATCCCGCATGTTACAGCTTAATCCCGTTCAGTTCCGCTTGATCTACCATGTGCATTTTCCAGCTCAGGGGAGGTGGTGAGGGGGCTCTCTGTGGTGATCAGGAGCAATGAATCTCTGGCTGATTATCTCCTCTCTAACCATGAAGCCATTGGGGTAGCTACTGGAGTGTAACCAACTGAAGTTTGAGGTGCAGCTTAACAAAAGTCAAGGCTTGGGGACCCCAGAGTGTGCATTGTGGTAACTGCTGGAGTCTAACTAACCAGCCAAAACCACAGAGCTTGCCATTGATATCATTGTCTGGCAAGCTTTCCCGCTGCTCGTCCAGCTAGGAGCACCCTATCCGGTAAGGCTTTGGCTGGAGGGCCAGCATGAGCTGAGTGGGATGACTCCCTGCTCCCAGTGACTGGTCTGCTTCCAGGTCCTGCCAATGAGCCAGGCACATTGTGACTTTTCATATCAGGCACATTAAACTGGGCGTCTCAAAGTCCCGAATATCAGACTTCCCGTACGTTCAGCCACAGCTTAACAAGGTCAAAACTATTATTCGTGCTAAACTCTGTACCTCAAAACAACCCGGCTCCTATTCCTTGTCCAGCCATTTCCTGCGGCGTTCCCAAGGCCCCCGGGAACGGAACAGTGTTTGGCCGGGAATACACGATGGGGACCAGAGCCATCTATCAGTGCAATGTGGGATTCCAATTACAGTCCGGGGAGCATTCAACATCCGCCTGCCAGGAGAATGGGAAATGGAGCAACAATAACCGCCCTCCGCTGTGTGTGGGTGAGTGATGGTCAGAGATACCTGACCACAGCCTCGGCCTCTCACACACTGTTTGTTTAAACCGCTGTCTCCAGTGACACACCAGCAATGGCAGAGACTGTGTAAGGTGGTCAGAGGGTCATTGCTGCCTCCACTGGGCATTTTGCGTTAAAGCGAGAGCCAGCACAGACACAATAACAATAATAATAATAATCCTTGCATTTGATATTGCGCTTTTCACGTCTTCTCGACGTCTCAAAGCTCTTCACAGAATAGACTGTAAAGTGAATTGACCGTATATTTGTGGGCGAAAAGCGGCAGCTAATTGCACACAGGAGCGTCCCACAAACAGTTGTACATTGAAAATGACCAATTTATTATTGTTTTGTTTTTTGGAGGGATTATTATTAGGTGTGTGGGATAAAGAAACTTACCCAAGGTTCGCCCTGCCTGGAATTGAACGCAGGTGTCTCGCACGATGGGGAGAGAGCAGGTAATGGGGTGAGAGTAGAGAGCTCCAATGGGGGAGTTCACATCATTTCCACTTGTGCAAATGGAATTGCATGAAGGTTGTGTTTCCATTGAAGGACAACTTCCACTGCCCCTGCCTGCAGTCAGCAAAATGTCCGGGAGCAGAAAATGCAACAGAGAGAAAACTGGCCTGGAAATCAAACAGAGCCTCACTAGACTGAACTCTTATTAAAAACGCACTGTCATAATAGTGTGGCCGACAAACACAGAGCTGTGTGTTTTACAAACAGTGACATTTAAACCGGGAAGAGGAGCAATCGGTCAAGTCAGGAGCAAAGATTCGCCCTATTTGCCACAGGTTATTTTGCATTGGGCCAATAGCAGTTTGGAACACAACAGAGAAGGATAGATTTTAATCAGTTAATCACAACAACAGATCAAAACCCCGTGATTGAGTGGGTAATGAAATGATAAGTTATTATGGATTGTGTTGTTACAGCGGTGGTCTGCCCAGATCTCGGCAACATCCCTGTAGAACATGGGAGATGGAAGCTGCTCTATGGAACCACAAATCAATACCAAGCTCAGGTGATGGTCACCTGTGAGCCTGGGTATCACCTGGAGGGCGCCCGGCTCCTTCAGTGCCTGGCCAATTCATCGTGGAGTGCAGAGGAGCACAATCCCAGCTGTAAAAGTAAGTTGACGACAAGTTCAGAAATTGGAATCAACGCTAAAACAAGCTGGCCTCATCTCCCTGGTGTCTGCAAGAGATGGTTTCTTGTCACCTTCCATGGTTTGCTTATTTGTATCAGGTGTCAACCTGGCTCAATCGGTAGCGCCTCTAGCCTTTGAGTCAGAAGGTTGTGGGTTCAAAGCCCCACATCAGCACTTTGAACTTATATAATCTACACCGTCACTCCAATGCAGTGCTTACGGTGACCTCCCCCCATTTCTCCCCAGCTTGGAGTCAAACACTTTGAGACACTACCCCACGTGAAGGGCGCTATATAAATACAAGTTATTGTCAGAACTTCATCCAATAGTTGCTGTATTACTGTAAAACAATTAATTATTCTTGAGTACTTTTAAGTAAAGCTCAACGATAATTAAGTCACTGAGGAAAGTAAGCAATAACTTCTCTTGTGATTCCCATTCTGCTAACTCACATTTTGGAGACAGTGTCATTCTTTTTAAGTGGTTTTCCATTCTTCTATTCTCTCCAGTCATCTCGTGCGGTGAGCTCATGTCCCCGCCGAACGGCAATAAGATCGGAACGTTAACGGTGTACGGCGCAACCGCCATCTTCTCCTGCAACAGCGGATACACAATGGTGGGATCGCGAGTGCGGGAATGCCAGGACAATGGGCTGTGGAGTGGAGTGGAGGTCAGGTGCCTGGGTCAGTGTCTGCAGCTCGGACAGTAATGTGCTTTTTGGTGTCCATCAGGAGGAGCAAGCTGAGGAAGGTTTACGAACCCTTTGAGTTCTGTCTTGAAATTAGTAGAACCCTGTCCTGTGGTCAGCCAGCATCAGTCTGCTTCATGTCTCCTGCCCTATGTGCCCCACCATCAACATGCTGGCTTTCAGCCATTCCTTCCCCTCTTTCTGATCTGAACCTCCATCCCGGAGTCCCTCCGACTCGCTCCCTCCCTCCCCTCACTCAAGGACCACCTGAAGATATACCTCTTTGACTACGCTTTTAGTCATCTTTCTTCACTCGTGCAGGTACTCAGCCAGCAGCGTGAAGCATTTTGAGACATCTTCCTGATGTGAAATATGATGTATAAATGCAAATTGTAACATGGAGCACGTGGGCGGTTTGTTGCTCAAACTAAAAGCAGATCTTTTATCTGTTGTAGCTGGGCACTGTGGCATGCCAAAGTCCATTGTCAACGGACAGATAATTGGTGAAAACTTCAACTACCGCGGCACGGTGGTGTACCAGTGTAATCCAGGCTTCCGCCTGATCGGCACCTCAGTACGAATTTGCCAACAAGATCACAAGTGGTCAGGCCGGTCCCCTGTGTGTGTGTGTAAGTATTGTCTCGGTGTGATAGGCTTGGCTTTGCTTCCTGCTCCATTACATCCTGGTCCTCCTTCTGATTCAACACCGGGATACACACTGCGAGACGACTTTGGGTTCACAGTCTAGGCTCACGCTCCAATACATTGTCAGGTCACTATGAAATTCTGTAAAGCGCTTTCCGACATCTTGGCAACATGATAGGCACTAAATAATAATAATATAGCGTAATATGCTATACATTTCGTATAGCGCCTTTCATCTCAGGGGGAAATTTCAAAGTGCTTCACAGGATTTATCACAAAGTGGAGTGACTCTATTTGTAGGCTAACACAGCAGCCAATTTGTGCAAAGCCACGTCTCACAAACAGCCATGAAACAAATGACCAATTTTATTCAGAGGGATTGTTGGTCAGGATGCTGGGAGAAAATTCCTTCCCTTTTTGAATAATGCCATGGGATCTTTAACATCCACCTGAACAGGTAGACGGGACCTCAGTTTAACATCTCATCTTAATGATGGCACCTTTGACAATGTAACACACGCTCCACACAGCATTGGAGCTAGGCTGACACTCGCAAGGTTGCAAGGATTATTATTATTTAATAAGTGGCCACTGGATATCGATTGGAATTTACCTCTGCTTTACCTGGAGCTCTGAGTGTGTGAGACAAGCTCGCTTTTGATCATAGATGTTTGCAGCAACCCACAGATGTCACAGCAGTCCATTGAGCTGAAGTATTCGGGAACAAAATGTCTGGACACAGACAACTACACAACAGCAGCAGAATATTCCCAATTATTAAAAGGAGAGGGAAAGGTGATCTATACGGCTCATAAAATAATAATAATCCTTGCATTTGATATAGCGCTTTTCACGTCGGAAGGACGTCCCAAAGCGCTTCACAGAACACACTGTAAAGTGAATTGACTGTATATTTGTGGGTGAACGCGGCAGCCAATTGCGCACAGCAATGTCCCACAAACAGTCGTAGATTAAAAATGACCAATTTATTGTTTTTGGTTTTGGAGGGATTATTATTAGGCTCTGTGTTGAGTAAGGAAACTTGCCCAAGGTTTCGCCCTCTGCCTGAAATTGAACTCAGGTCTCTCGCTTGCAAAGCGAGTGCTCTAACCACTGAGCTACAGGACTCCACAAAGAGTCATGAAGATAAGTTCAAGGCTGAAGGTTGCTTTTAATGTCATGTTAGCAGATAATATAATGGCCAGAAAGGTTCCTTCAGAACGAACCTGGGCACATATGTAGTTTGTTTTTAATCTATGGTCAGGTAGGTCACAGTCACCTTGCAATACCAAGAGTCCTTTGTCACACTTGTACTTTTATTACCAATGGCTGAGATACACTGACATTCATCACTGTGTGGAGCGATAGCAGAACCTTAACAAGCCCAATTTACTCTCTCCCTCTCTGCACCCACCCCCCACCAAAAACCACACACCACCTCTAAAACCCTATATAAATTATACCAGGAAGTCATTTGTGTCAGTTCCCAGCTTTCCTATCCTGAGAGTAATGCTTTTTTACGGGATTGAGAACAGATTGTATTGGGTAATTGGCTCTGCACTCACCCCTATCCTTTGCGGTCTCCATCCTAAAGCTGTTTATTTTATATCAAGTGAAATCAGGTGAAAGGCGAAGAGCCAATGTGTGCACAGCGCTGGGGTAGGAGAGTGAAGTACAGAAACTGATAGAACAATTGATTTGGGTTTACAAACCTGACACTTGTGAATGAACGAAGACTGAGAGACAAAGATTTTGTCGGTTTTGAGGTGCTGAGCAGTGCTGGTTGTCATTCTACCCCAGAAATCCTGTAGCTTAGTGGTTAGAGCACTCACCCCCTCACCTCGCAGGAGAGAGAACCTGGATTCCATTCCCGGGCAGGGCCAAATGATAGGTAAGTTTCCTTACTCCAGACGCCTCTGTTTACCTGTTAGTATGGCACCGATCGAGTATCCGCTCAACTGGCACCTTCCTCCTTGTGTTCCTCGCGCCCTCCACTCTACAATCGGAGGTCGCGCATTCAGCCACAACGCCCCCAAACTCTGGAACTCTCTCCCGCAATCCCTCCGCCTTGCCCCCCCTCTCTCCTTCAAGTCCCACCAGAAAACCTTCCTTTTTGATCGTGCTTACGATCACCGCCCCCACCCCGGTTCGGAGTCGGGGTCCATCACTGTTAAGTGCTCTGAGACATTACTCTGCATAGAGGGCGCTACATAAGTGCAAGTTGTTGTAGTATGTAGGAACCCGGTTAATAGTTGATTGGCAGATTGCTCTTCCGGGGGTAATATTTCGTTCAAAATAATAAAACAATAGTAATAATCAATCAATCCACAACTGTTTGTGGGACACTGCTTTGCCCAATTGATTGCGATTCACCCACAAATTACACAGTCAATTCATTTTACAATATATCCTGTGAAGTGCTTTGAAACGTCTCAAAGACATGATAAAGGGCTGTATCAAATGCCAGGATTATTATTATTGTAAATCTCTCACTCTTCAGACTCCAATCCTGTTGCTCTAGCATGTGCTGGGGGTGTGCTCCGTTGTTAAAGACACCGTCCTTTGGATAAACGTTAAATCCAAGTCCCATCTCTGCCTGTTAGGTGGATATTAAAGATCTTGTGCTGCTGTTGGAAAAGAGAAGGTAGTTTCTCTCTCCCAGTGTCCTGGCCAACAATCCCCCAGATAACGTTGGATCTTCACTTCATGGCTGTTTGTGGAACATTGCAGGGCACAGATTGCCGATCGGCTGTCGTGTCTGCCGACAATACACAATCACTACACTTCATAATAGTGCCTTAGGTTTATTATTTGTAGCACTGGTTTGCAGAGTGTGGAGTAGATTTATAATCCATACTTTATAGGCAAGTCAAACGCGGGTGTGCAGATAGTATCTGATGGGCAGACAATGGTTTGAGGAATGCCTCTGTGTCTTAGTGCTGCCGGGATGTTAAAGGTTTCTTTCCCGTTGCCATCACTTGTGCCTCTGGAGCTCCTGAGATATGGCTGTTTTCACATCGGGAACCGATGCAGCCATCTCCTTCCCTGTCACCCGGGAGATTCAGTAACCAGGGCAACAGACAGCAATTCACTGCTGCCTGACACACAACGTGCAGATTGTGGTTATCTCGATCTCAACCAAATCCATGCACAACCCCTGCCTTACACTGCGGTAACACTACATCACCGCTTGGCTAAATCACACTGTTCTCAGTCTCACATGCCTGGGACCTAACTGAGCTACCACTTGAGTTCAGCGTTCAGCTGTAGCCTGACTAAAACTGACACAAAGCGACTTTAGAATAATAATAATAATAATAATCACTGCCTTATCTCATCATAGTCGAACATCTCCACAAAGCATTTCACAGCTGAATTTGTAGACTTTGTAAACTTCAAATACCATAAAGTTCTCCTGGCTTGGTGTGAGGAGATGGCATGTTAGCAGTAGGCAGCCAGATTCCCACCCCTTGAATAAGGTTTAAACACTAACCAGATCTCATCACCAGTTATCACTGCACTTGGGGTTGCACTGAGCTCTGGCTCCCGAGCCACGGGGAGCTGGGAGAACCCTGCAACCCCGCTACCCCAGGCCTCACGTCACCTCACAGCTTGCTGTATCACGACATAGTTAATGTCAGCTCTTGTTCCGTACCCGGGACTGCACACCAAACTGGAGGTAATAATCCACTCCGCGCTGCTGCTGTGCAACTGAGTATAAACCTGTGTTTGTGTTCCGTACACACTGGGAAAGCTGACACCGTATTGTGTGCAGTTGTCAGGGCCCATAACCAGCATTGTATTGGACAGAAATCCAACAACAACTTGCATTTATATAAAAATATTCAAATCCACACTTTATTCACATGTTGCAGGGTCTAGATGCTGTGCTGGTGATTGTGTTTGTACTCTATCGCCTGAGGTGAAGAAAGAGCTTCTTTCCTGGGAGCTTCTAACCTCTCCCGGAAGCGTAGTCTGGTACAAATGTTGCACCTTTCCATACAGTTTAAACCGAGGTCCCAGCTGTGCCTATTCAGGTGGGCGTTAAAGATCCTGTGGCACCAGCAATAACAACTTGCACTTATTTATATGGTGCCCTTCACGCTGTGTGGCACCTGATAGTGGCATTATTTCAAAAGAGGAAGGTGTTTCTCCCGGTGTCCTGGGCCAGCAATCTCCCAGATAAAGTCCTGTGAGGTGTTTTGTGGAGGTCTCTCGATGTGAAAGGCGCTGTATTGAATGCGAGTATAATTGTGATGGAGAGAAACAAAGGGATCAGAACAGGGGAGTTTCACGGGAGAAATGTGACCGAATAAAGAGTTGTGCTTTTCCCCCTTTAGCTATCACTTGTGGTCACCCTGGCAACCCATCGAATGGCAAGACACAAGGGAGCCAATTCAACCTGAACGACGTGGTGAGCTTCACATGTATCATGGGCTACACGCTGTACGGTGCTGTCAGGGCTCAATGTCAATCCAACGGGCAGTGGAGTAACTTGCTGCCAACATGTAAAGGTAAGAATAGCGGCTGACGATGGGGAAGGAGGGGATCCCGGCATTGCAGATACGAAGGACCCCTTTGATTGAACAACGTCTCTTGTCTCGCTGCAGTGGTTAATTGTTCAGACCCCCTGCACATTGAAAATGGGGTTCGCAGAGTGCAGCTGAACATTGCCCAGCGGTTTCGGTACGCCAGCAGTGTGTCGTATGAATGCAGCCCGGGCTATTACCTGCTGGGCTCCAACGTGCTCACCTGTCAAGGCGATGGTTCCTGGGACCGATCTCTCCCACGGTGCCTTTGTAAGTAACTGCACGCTCTTAAAATATCCCCAAACTGATGGTGATCGGCTGCTAACTGCCCCACCTCTCGTTCTGTGTGTACCATGTTCCGTGTTGTGTTGTGCTCATGTAGAACACTCGCAGCTGTGCGGATGGTTTGTCTTGTTATCCACGTGAGGTGTCAGCCTGGTAGCACTCTCTCTCGTCCCCAGTTATGGTTTCAAGCTCCCATTGGTACTTTGAACTCAGATAATGCAGGCTGACGCTCCAATGCAGTGCTGGGGGTGTTAACTTTGGATAAGATGTTAAGGCAAGGTCCTGTTTACCTGTTCAGGTGGGTGTTAAAGATCCTGCGGCAATATTCACAAAGGAGAAGGGAATTTCTCTCCCACCGTGCTCTGGCTAACAATCCCCCAGATAAAAATTGGTCACTCACTTCATGGCAATTATTATTACTGTGACAAAGTCTTACAGGTGTCCTTGAAAGACTCGTCAAGCTCTCACTTGTGATTTTGAGCAACAGAAATATTCTGGCTGCGACACTCACTCAGTCCACGATAACACCTGTCATTGGGAAAAATAACTTTTCAAAAACAGAACTAGGTTGCACCTTCAGGGATTCCAGTGTGATGTATTTTGAAGGATAATATGGGTTACAGTGTGTTTCAAGGGTAGAGCTAGTTGATGTTAATTGTCTCGTGACTGAGGTTCTGTACCGCATGGTCCATCCTACATACCCTATACTATACTCACTGCTTGTTTTCTCTTGTCCTAAATTTTCTTTTTACTATTTTCACATCATCTCCTTCCAGTGGTGACCTGTGGTCATCCCGGAGTCCCCCCCAATGCAGAGATGTCTGGCAATCAGTACACAGCTGGCTCCACGGTCCGGTATCACTGTAACAGGCGGAATCTAATCGGGAACAGCACGCGGATGTGCCAGCTGGACGGACGTTGGAGTGGGTCACAGCCTCACTGTTCAGGTACAGTTAGAGCCCAATATCAAGAAGTGTGTGTTGTATCAGGTCATCCGAAGGACGTCAGCTCTGACAATCACCCTGCACTGGAGTATCAGCCCAGACCATGAGCTGGAGGCTTGGCGATGGGCTTGACCTAGTCCTGAGATGGCTCTTGCTAAACACAGAACAAGAGAGAGGAGAAACTGATCATGTTAACACAGTTTGGATTGGGACGAAAGAGCACGATATTCAAACGCAACTGAATAAGTCCTGCTGAGAACAACACTGTTATTAATCAATATACGGAAAACAGACCTGCTGATCTCCAGGATCACTTAAGTATTAAAATATGACCATGTTTGATACTAATACTTTACTTTCTGTAACGTAAAACAACAACAATAACTTGCACTTACACAGCGCCCCTTACACAGGGCAGCGTCCCAGAGCACTTGACAGTGGCACAGCTCAACACCAAGCCGGCGGGAGTGGAAGGTGACTAGGCGCGATCAAATAAGGTCTTCAGGCGCGACCTGAAAGTAGGGAAGGAAGGGGCAAGGCGGAGGGATAGAGGAAGAGTGTTTCAGAGTTTCGGGGTGTAGTGGATGAAAGAGCGGCCATCAATGGTGGAGCGGAGGGCATGAAGGACATGCAGAAGGCCAGTGTCCATTCAAGCGGAGGCAGAAGGCAGTGGGATGGTGGGTAAGCAGGTCGGAGAGAGAGGGAGGTGCCAGGGCAGGAAAGGAATTGAAAATGAGTAAACGTTTGGTGGTGTTTGTTCTTGAATGTTCCGTTGGGATCAAAGGTCAGAGATGGACCTGACTGGGCAGCACAGGGGCATGAATGGTGAATGTGTCGGCCTGGCTCAGTGGTAACACTTTCGCCTTTCTCAGCCAGAAGGTTATGGGTTCAAACCCATGTCAGGACTTTGAGCTCACACAGTCTGGGCTGACACTGCAGTGCAGTGATGGGGTATGTACTGTATTGTTAGAGGTGCCGTCCTTCAGATGAGACATTAATCCGAGGTCCTGTCTGCCGATTCAGGTGGACGTTAAAGAACCCAGAGCATGATTTGAAACGAGAAAAGAGTTAATTCAGTGTCCTGGCCATCAGTTCTCCAGATGAAATTGGTCACTCACTTCATGGCTGTTTGTGGGATGTTGCTGTGTGCAAATTGGCTGTTGAGTTTGCCGACAAAAAGAGACTCTGCGCTACACGTCTCGTCCTTCGAGATGTCTTGACAATATGGTTATTATGTGAATGCAATGTTCCCAGGGAATATTCACAGGTTCAGAACAAGGTGGTTACATCCTCTGAAGCATAGCTTCCTATAATTATTGAGTTTGGATAAATAAATAATGCCAGCCATCCTGAAAAGTGCTACACCAAATGCAAAGATCATTATTAAGAATAACTTCAGTTAATATTTTGCTTGGTGTTTGGAGATTAGATTATTATTGGGTTGTTGTGTGTCTAGGGCAGGCTGTTATGCAGCGAGTGACATTGAGGTCAGAACACAAACTCCCAACAGTCGTAACCTCCGCTCTGTGAAGTGTACTGTCAACATCACCCTAGAATTTGGACCACAACGTGACAGAGGGACCCACAATATGTTTCCATCACTTTTCCCTGTTTTGCTTTCTTTCCTGGAACCAACCCAAACCAGAGAGTGCAAAAGTTTGACATTAATTGAGTCCTAAAAGAGCTTTGATTTTAGAAAATCCTTTGGAGGACGTGGCAGTTTCCCGGCCACTGCAGCAAGTGATATGAAGGAAGTTCCTGCGTTTGTCTCCAGAGAGAAACCCTTTTAATTAAGCACCATTTGTGTATAGAATCTGAATGTGTATAGAATCTCTAATGTATTGATGAGGCTGAGCTCTGTCCAACCTAATGACTAACACTGTGAGCGCCAGCCTCTGTGCTGTCTCCTCTAGCTTCCTGCAGCCTCCATGCCTGTAGGCTGACTCTGCCTCGCTGATCGCTTTGCCTCCAGTCTTGGTATGCACATTTTGGCTGCCGCCCTCTACCTGAACTGCCCCTCCTAAAATGCCCCCACTTCCACTGCTCACCCTTCGCTACTCTTGCTCAGTTCTTCTCTCCCACTGCCCTCCCTGTCTTCACTCCCTCCTGAACCCTCCCATCAACTCCTTCTGCTCCAGCCTGGGTGTCCTCCGCCGTGCTCATCACAGCGAGGGTTGACGCAGAGCAGCCACCCCGACTGCCCCATCCCCCACTCTCTCCGAAAGGCCCCCCCCCCTTCCCCTGTCTTCCAAAGGTAAATTGCTCTTTTCCTCCACATCCTTCCCAGCTCTCCTCCCCCTTTTACTCGACAGTTATTCTCCCCCCACAATCTACACCCCATCCTCCTGAAATCCCTCCACTTCCCCCTCCCCCATCAGCACCCCATCAACATTGCCCTCCAAAATGTCCACCCCATCTCTGACAAAGCTCTTACCATCCACAACCTCATCCTGGATGAGCACATTGATATTCTCGAGCTCACATAAACCTGGCTGTTACCCCCTCACACCCACCGTTGACATCCCCACCTCATCAAAGTCACATCCACCCAGACTGCACCTTCCATCAGACCCTTCCCACCCCAACCAACGTGGTGGCGAGGTGGCCCTCAACTCCCAGACCTGTCTCAGTCAATCTCCCTATTCCTCTGGCTCCCACCCTTAAGCGCTCCAAGACACTACCCCAATTGAAGGGCACTGTGTAAACGCATGTTGTTGAATGAGCTGCACTGGAATGTTGACACTTATCATCAGCTCAGCTGAAAGCAAAGCTAGTACAGTGTGGTGATGGAGGTGTGCGCGGGGCCAAGGTTGAAGCCCTTGAGATGCAGACGGATGATCTCCTGTGTATCAGAAAGACCTGAGGAGTAAATTGAACTGTTTGGGGGTATTTGTTGGGGTATTTGTTTTCCGCCAGTGGTTGTCATAGCTCTCTGGGGGCCTCTGGTGGCAGAAGCTCACAATTGGGAAGCTTACATTGGGAACAGAATGAAACAGAAAAAACAACAGCCAACCATCACGTCAGAGCAATTCCTGATCCATTCCCTCTTATCTCGCAACGTTGCCACTCTGGCAGAAAAGCGGCTGCTCTGAATTATTTTTTTCGAGGTTATCTCCACGCTCGGCAGCCGTAATCTATCCACACTTTCTGTTGCTGTTGAGAAAAGTTTAACATGAAAATTCGCACTCAATGTGGCAGCTTTAATCTCCTCCAGATGACAGATAGCACGGCACTGTGCAACCAGGAAATAATGCATAAAGTGGCATCATCTTTAAACATATGTTCACTTCTTACAGAGGACTTTTAATTCACTGAAGGAATGTTTGAGTCACCAGAAGGAATAGCAACAGACAGATATCACAGTAGTTGTTTACCATAATGCTGTCTGCAAAGATATATTTTACCAATGTTGTGTGCCTGCACAACATCAATAATGTATAATGTATCAGCACAGGGATTTGGGTCCTTATATTGTGAAAGAAGCTGCTTTTTTTTTGGTTTAACTCTGAGACTACAGGCAAGTCTACAGATATAGCTCGATTTCAAGATCCTCTCATTTGTTTTCAAATTCCTTCGTGCCCCCGCAATTCCCTACCTATCCGACTTGCTTACCCCCCCCAGCAAACCCCCTCCCCCTCCCGCTCCCTCCACCTGCTGCCTCCGCTCAGCAGGCTCTGGTCTCCTCGTCCCCTCTGCTCTACCATCGGTGTTCGTGCCTTCAGCCACTACGCCCCGAACCTCTGGAACTCCCTCAATACCTCCGCCTTGAATTGAACACCTTCAATTCCTGCCTAAAGACCTTCCTTTTTGATTGTGCCTCCCTGTTTCGGGGTCAGACTCCGCCACTGTCAAGCACTACCCCACGTGAAGGGTGCTATATAAATGCAAGTTGTTATTGCTGTTGTTGTTTTTAGTTCTCTTTCACTCTCTCTCTCTCTCATTCTCTCTCTCTCTCTCTTTATGGGCCAACTCGCTTCCTTCCAGTGACCATCGTCCACTTTGGAAGGTGGGAGAAAAGTTTTGCTTAAGTGTGAACTTGTATCGGAAGGCTCAATCAACCAGTCTGAAAGCTAATGGGAAGGTTAGAGGTTGTTAGACTGACTGACAGCTGTGCTATCCCCACAATCTCAAACACAATTTTCAAGCACAGAGTCCGAAATGGAAGCCTCCAATGTGAATGCTCATTGGTACTCTCATACCGAGAGATGGATCATTGCCCTGATGCGTATACGTCATTGCCATGTTTTGTTTTTGTCAGCTCTGGGACACTACCCTGCAGGAGGGGCACTACATAAAATGCAAGTTGTTGTTATTACATGTCTGAGACATTCGTGAGCTTTGGGACATCCTTCTGACGTGAAAGGCATGATATAAACATCAATTGTATTGTAAATTGTATTGTAATCACCATGCTTAAGAGTATCTAAATCAAACAGAGTTTTCCACTTACCCTTGGAAGTTTCCATGTGTCTGGAATGGAGTTGCGCCTTCTCTCCTCGGAGGGTCGCACCCTACTCACCTAATTCCAGAGAGTATTGGGCTCAGGTTGGCAATAGCCAAGGCTTGGGGGAATCCCAGAGAAGATGGAGTTTGCTGTTGGTAAATGTGAGCTAATGAATATTGGAACAAAAAAGTGAAAGCCTATGAAGAGAACATAGAGGTGTGGATTCTCACAGTGTCTGTGTTTCTTTGTGTTCTGATATAAAAGGACCATCCATCTGAGAAACGCCGTCAGTGAGGTTTGCTTCTTTGCTCTACAGGTGACAGTCATGGACTTTGCGGAGACCCAGGAATCCCGGCACGTGGCATTCGGCTGGGGGAGAATTTCCGAGTGAAGAACGTGATTCGATTTACCTGTGAAGCTGGCTATGCACTGCGCGGATCACCAGAGCGGGTCTGTCAGCCCAATAGCACCTGGAGCGGAATCCAGCCAGAGTGTCAAGGTACTCGATTCACCGGGTGTCAAAGCAGCACAGCGAAAGATAACGAGGCTCTTAATTATCCCGTGCTTTTCCAAAGATAAATAATACAGTTAATAAATAACCAATGCGCCTTGGGACGTCCTCAGTAACCGGTGGGTATTTCACTGATTAATGAATGAGGGGGATTCTGGCCCTGGAATACTCATCATTATGTCCTTCACATTCTCGCTCTCGTTAAAGATCGCTAGAGGCAAAGCTGCCCCCAAACTTGCTGCACTTTGACGAATAAGTATTACTTAAGCTGTGATGTGCTGGTTTTATGAACAATATGGGCAGGGGGAATTATCTGAGCAAATAGTGGGGGAAGTTTCCTTGTAAACTGAGTCCCATGGGTTAGATACTTTGACCAATCTAACTCAGTAAGAAATGGTAGGAAAGCAGTTACCAGTGACTCCTTTCACAGTGATAAATATTTAATGACCTTTATGAAGCTTTACCTGGCCTTACTTCTAATGGTCTGAATATCTGGAATCCCGTAGCTCAGTGGTTAGAGCACTCGCTTTGCAAGCGAGAGACCTGAGTTCAATTCCAGGCAGAGGGCGAAACCTTGGGCAAGTTTCCTTACTCCACACAGAGCCTAATAATAATCCTCCAAAACCACAAACAATAATAAATTGGTCATTTTCAATCTACGACTGTTTGTGGGACATTGCTGTGCGCAATTGGCTGCCGCGTTCGCCCACAAATCTACAGTCAATTCACTTTACAGTGTGTTCTGTGAAGCGCTTTGGGACGTCCTCCCGACGTGAAAAGCGCTATATCAAATGCAAGGATTATTATTATCTTAAGTATATACTGTAATTGGCTTCAACACTTCTGATATTAAATGTATTTATTGGTGGATGGGACATCAATGTTAATGTGCTTATAATAAGGTATAAATCTATGAAGTCGGCCTGTGGGAGGGAATTTTGATCCAGTCGACTGAAGGTCGTCTAAAAACCTACCTCATTGACTGATGTTCAGCCAAATACTGCCTATCTCACTCCAGCTCCCACTCCGTCTCTGTAAAGCGCTTTGAGACTTTTGCCTACTTCAAAGTGCTTTGAGACATCCTCTTGATATGAAAGGCACAGTATAAATGTACGATGTATTGCATTAAAATATGCTCCATAAGTGCAAATTCCTGTTATTCAATACAGGAGCAACTTCAATACCCCAACTTTGTGGCAAACCCATAACAAGTGCCGCTTCCTAGAGAAGATCACCTAACAGTGCACAGTGCACACTGCTCTCAGTCTCTGTAGAGAGAGCACCCATCCTTCCAGCCCAGAGAGTCTGATCTGCTCCACTCTGAGTAAAGAGTATTCGCTGTGAGTGTGGAACACTTCATTTACCACAGTTGTTATGGGGCGGAGGGTTCTGAGAGCAAAGTTTGATCTTCCTCACACAATGTCACACAAGATCACAAGATCGGTTTGGATGAAGAAGACCCTTCGGCCCATCTAATCTCATCCCCCTGATCACCCCCCATCACAGCAACAAGCCTCTTTGTCAATTGAGTCGTTATTTGCCTTTCCTGGTTAGAAACAAGCAGTTAACGACTTGTACGTTCCTGTAAACTGTGACAAACGACTCTGAAAGGTACTGAGATCTATCTAGGGATCCAGTGAATAAGAGACTGATCGAGTGGTACCATCCGTTAGATCACTCCAACTCTGTTCAGTTTTTATTACCACATTTTTTTTTTAAAAAATTCTTTTTAGAAAGTTCCCCTTTTTGTCAGTGATGGTTTTCATCGACAAAGGTGCAAAGGAAGTAGCAGCGCAGGACACAGGTCGAAGCTCTTGAAAGAAAGAAATCTCAGCCATTAAGTTTGTAGTACATCAAACTTTAAAAAAAGCCTTGAATTTAATTTATACTCAACTGAATTGTTCTGGCTGGTATTCCGGATTCTTCGTTTCCTGCTGCGTGCGTCCGGCAACAAGTAACAAACAAACAATTTCCTCAACTTTATGTTGCGCCTGGGTCAAGGGGAAAGCCCACATGGAGCACTTTCAGTAAAAAAATGAATAGACATTGTATAATTATAGCAGAAAATTAATATTAAGGAAAATACGTTACACCTAATGACCTACTCAGATGCTCCTCGTGAAACCTTCTGAACATGACTCTGAATCTCTTGTCAGCTGAGGTCAATTAACTCAGGCCGTGCCAGGGTTTGAACCTTCCGTCGGTAGAGACAAGTACTGGGCCCGGCTCCAGAAATCTCGTCCTCCATTAAATGATGATAAATTCTGTTACGAAGAAAATTACTCAGTTAGTCTTGAATCATAGATTTGAAAATGATGAGTTATCTGCCCCAACGCAGTCTGTGTTGTTCTTGTTCCATCTGCCAGATGCAAGTTGGTGATGAACCTCAGGGGTCCTGTCTAGCTGCATGATCTACCCGTATCCACCATGTCAACTCATTAGTGCTGCACTGGGAAGGCACATACTTGAGTTTTTACTTGGCAGCAGCAATCTGGAGATTTGTTGAGGAGCTCTGAGAGATTGGTGATGACTTTTATATGCAAATAGTCAGGAAAATGTGTCAAAAAGAACTCTGCCGTCACACGGAGAGTCTTTAGAGCTTTGTTTGAGATGTGATGGCCCTTTTTATTTCTGTTGGTGGCCCTGAAGTGAGATACTTAGAAGTAAAGACCCAACTGTGATCTTCCCATTTCCTGGCACAAACTGGATTTCACACTGGTTCCTGGCATCTGTGATTTTTCAGGCAAGTTATTGATCAAAAGCTGCTTTATTTTCCTTCAGTCTCTCCCCTCCATACAACCCACACACTGCTCCCTGATCACAAGATCCACCAACTGTTGGCGACTTTGGAGGAGTGCATACAAAATCATGGAGGAGTGTGTCTCTCCTCTTCAGGAATACTCCAGTGCTCTAGGAATTCTCAGGCACAAACTGGAATCTTGCCACTTGCCAGGATGTTTTGTTGTTTAATAATCATGACCTGCAGCTTGGCTCACAGCTAAGGTTTTCTTGACGGGAGCCAGGAAATGCTGGTTAACAATACACCCTCTGAGCAAAACCTCCTTTTACCAACGTGCAGAAGTTGGGATGAACCAAAGGACAAGAGCATTCTCTCTTCCGGGCATAAGAGTTTAGAGATCTGCAGTGAGTCCACACAATCTCAATCAACTTCCTCTTGTAAGATTGTTTCAACTTGTCCAGAATAGCAAAACCAGAGGACACGGCCTGCAATTGTAGGGGTAAATTCAAAACAAATCTACGCAAGCACTATTTCAGTGAGTGAATAGGGAACCTGTGGAACAGCTCCCTAGGGAGACGGTTGAAGCAGGAAGTGTTGATTCCTTCAAACACAGATTAGATAGTTTTCTTTTAAGAAATAACATGATGGGATATAGCACATAGGGAGTTTGGGACATATATGCAAGCGACCGCCAGGAAGGAGGAAGGTGAACCAGATGGACGTTGGTCTTCTTTTTGGCTAGCATTTCTTATCTTCTTATGATGGGAGTAGTCACAGAGGGAACATCATAGAGATGTACAAGATTGTAAATGACATTTAAAAAGTAAACTCGCAAAAATACTTTTGGATGCAGCGAGACTTCAGAACAAGAGGACACAGGTTCAGTGTTGCAAAGCAGTGAGACCCAAAAGTTTTTCTTTACCCAAAGACTGGATTTATCTTAATGACTGGTGACCAAGAAGAGTGGTCGAGGCAATCACACTGGGACTCATTTAAAAAACAGCTTGATTCTGTGATGAGATGACGGTTGGGAGAGTGTTCTCCCTACACACTACACAGTAAATACACAGTCACTACACTTCAAAGTAAATACACAGTCGCTACACTTCATGGTAAATCCTGTGAGGCTCTTTGAGGTGTCCTTACAACTTTAAAGCTGTTGTGTGAAGTGTAAGGATGAGTCTGATGTTCAGGGGCAGCAGAGGGAATGGGTCTTGTCATTATTCAGAGTGTAGTGTGCCAATCCGTGGGAGCCAGTTACACACAAAATTGAGCTGGTTCGAGATTCTCGCTGGTTGGAATTAATGTATTTCCGGTTACTGGAAGCAACTTCCATCTGATCCCAAAAGTTGCTTGTGAAGTCCTGCAGCTCAGTGAGTGCTCTGCGCTGAATGGAGTTCTGTGGTGTAGTAGTTAGAGCGCTCGTCTCGCAAGCGAGAGCACCTGGTTCGATTCCCGGGCAGTGCGAAACGTTAGGCAACTTTTTTTTTACTCCACGCACCTCTGTTTATCTAGCAGTAAGTAGGTAGTTCTTAGCAATTGGTTAGTCGATTGGCGGATTGGGGGTAATAATCTCTTCACAAAAATAAATAAAAAATGAAAATCATTTGGTCACTCAATCCACGACTGTTTGTGGGACGCTGCTGTGCGCAATTGGCTGCCGTGTTTCGCCCACAAAATATACAGGTGATTCACTTCACAGTGTATCCTGTGAAGCGATTGAGACGTCTCGCAGACATAATAAGGGCACGGTGTCAAACGTAAGGATTATTATTATTATTATGAATGGCGTTGTGTCAGGTGCAGGTTAGACTCCGTCTGGTGCAGAGCCGTGGGTTGTGCCGTATGGTGCTGGATTCCCTGTTACCACCTGTAATGGCTGCCTCTCTGTTCCCCACGGCAGCCGTGTCCTGTGGGAACCCAGGAACCCCGCGCAACGCCCGGATCCTGGTCAGCACCGGCTTGGTCTTCTCCAGCTCCATCACCTACGCCTGCCGCCAGGGCTTCTACTCTCCGGGTTTGCTGACCAGACACTGCACCGTCAACGGCACATGGACCAATGCCCCTCCAGAATGCAAAGGTCAGTTTGTCTGTTCCCACCGCCGGAGTTCCCGTTGGGTCAGGGATGGCGAGAGTGCAGCAGATACCTGACTGGGAGACCCGAGTTCAATGCCAGTCTCTAGCGTCACACTCTCTCTCTCTGTCTTCCACTCACAAACACACAGTCACTACACCTCACAATATGTCGTGTGAGGCGCTTTGAGACATCCTCTTGACGTGACAGTCGCTGAATTAGATGTAAAGCTTATTTATTTGCTTGCTGGCGTATTCTGCTGTCAGAGATTACATCAACGTTGGCTGCTGGTGTGTTTGGGAGGGTCACGGTGTGAGTGCTTTGTCAGCCGGTTCCCACTGAGGATGGACAGAGAAGGAGCGAGGAGAGATGTCTGAGAACATCACTGACAAAGTCAAATTGCTGAGAAAATAGCTTTGAGATGATGGATCGCCGTTGATCTGAAGTCCTTAACTCTTTTATCCCTGCCATTCCTCCTCTGAGGAGCAACCTGTCCCCCAATGAATGTGATGTGTCTCCTTGTCAGTGCGACAGGAATCCACGTGGGCTTTTGTCTCTAGCTTTCTTGCTCCATCACTGAGTGCAATCTGTGAAATCTCTGCTCCTCTGTCTTGTTGTTTTACAGTCATTAATTGTGGTGACCCTGGGTTACCAGCTAACGGGGTCAGACTGGGCGCTGACTTCAACTACAACAGCACGGTGGTCTTCCAGTGCTCGCCTGGCTTCACCATGGACCCCAAGAGACATTCCTCGCTCACCTGCACTAAAGATCGAGTGTGGAACGGGAGCCGACCGATCTGCAGACGTGAGTCGCACACTTGTGTTACAACGTCCACCTGGAAGCCACCCATTCACGTTTTTTGTTCCCCGGCTCTGATCACGTTTACATTCATTCTTTATCCGTTTACCGGCCACCGTTAAATTTGTTTGTTGAAAAGTTTTGTTCAGCCAATCTGACCCCACTCTCTGGAACCCCCTTCACTTCCTGCCTTCAAAACCCATCTTAAGACTAGACTTTTGGCCAACTTCCTTCCTCACACTCCGCCCCCTCCCCCACACCAGGCTCAGGCTCCCAGGCACCTGTGTGAAGCACTTTGACACGATTCATAGGATATAGTACTCTCCACCCAGCACTGCACTGGTGAGTCAGCCTAGATACTGAAATGGGGCTTGAACCCATAACCTTCTGACTCAGAGGCGAGTGTGTAACCAACTGGACCAGGCTATGACCTGTGTTAATTATCACCAGTGTTGATTAGCACATCACAGGTTGTAGCTGTGCCTCCATGCTGTGCAGATATAGTTGTTTGTTTGCAAACCACTTAAACAGAACCGGACGGGTCAATGCAAGATCGTCCCTTAATACAGTTCGGAACCTTCAGAGGTCAACGAAATGCAATTGAGACTCTTTGATATTCTCGCTCTCTTTCTCTCAAGGCCTGAATGTTTGGAAGGATTGAAACACCAAAGCATTGCAGCGCCTCAACGACTTGTTTTGTCTTTGCAGCTATCACATGTCAGTCTCCTCCCGAAATCCTGAACGGAATTGTGATGGGATCTGACTTCAGCTGGGGAATGAGCATCAGCTTCGTCTGCTCGGAGGGTTACCAGCTGTCACTGCCAGCTGTTCTCACCTGCGCAGGGAACGGCACCTGGACTGGGGAGATCCCACAGTGCTTCCGTAAGTCCGCCCACGCACTCGGAGCCACGCTGCGAGCAGCACTGGCACTCCAACTGGGGGAAGGTAATGTGAGAGAAACCGAGGGAGGTCGCTGCACTCCACAGGTGAAGTGTCCCAGTTTTCAAGACGCAGAAAGAATGACTTGAGATGGAAAACTTTTCCACTTCAGTTTGTTTCATGTCATGGGGTGATTACGCGCACTCACACACACACACACACACACATCAGTGCGCACATACCAGTGCAGAGCACAAACACACACGTGTACAGGCATGTATACATGCACACACACATAGACCAGGGCTCGCGCACACATGCATATAGACACCAGCACATGCTCCCACACATAAACACATGCACACACACACTGGACACATACACCAGCATGCACACAAATGAGCACATGCACAAGCGGCACACACACCACCACGCACGCACACATACACACACACACACACAAATACACAATGCTGGCTGTTCTTTGCTGAGTGTTTGGTCCCTTTTTAAACTCTGTCTTAATTTGAAAACACTTTTAAGGACTTAAAAATAACAATGTCTTTAAGACCGACAAAATGGTGCATTACTCAACCCAGATGTGCCTAACCATTGAGCGGAATTGCGTACAACGTCTGAACATTTAAATAATTGATGTCTATTGAAGCTCTCTCTCTCTCTCCCTTGGTCCCTTGCTCGATCTCTCTCTCGCTCTCTCTCCCACCCTCCCTCCCTCTCTGTTGTTATAGCTGTGTTCTGCGGAGACCCTGGGACTCCGGCTTATGGGAGACGTGAAGACCGAGGATTCACCTATAAATCGGTGATCTTATTCAGCTGTTCCACCCCGTTCGTATTAGTGGGCTCGTCCAGAAGATTTTGTCAGGCAGACGGTATCTGGAGTGGAATCCAACCAAGCTGTATTGGTAACGGAAGTCAAATCTTCATTTATAAAAATAATAATTAATAATAAATTATACTATAATAGTAAATAATCATACTACTTACATTTCATATAGCATGAATTCCTGTGAATTGTAGTGACTGTTTTCTTGGGTATATGCATCAGCCACAGCACACAGCCGGGTTTGTAAGACTTTGCTGACGTGAATGGCCGCCAATTCTATTTGGAGGATTGTTGGCCGGGACACGAGAGATACTTACCTCTTCGAATCTGTGTGGGGTCTGAACGGACTAGACAGGACCCGGCTTTAATGTTTCACTTGAAAGACGGCACATCTAATAACACAATGTTCCACCCACTACTGCACTGGGGAGTCAGCTTGGACTGGGAGCTCATGTGGTGCTTGAACCAAACATCATGACTGGGCCAAGAGCAAAGAAGTGCAGGGTTGGAACTAGTTAAACAGAGTTTCACTCTGAGCATCCGTCTGCCTGTTCAGGTGAACGTTAAAGATGTCATGGCAGCATCAGTCATGGACATCAGTGACCTGGCCAACAATCCCCCAGTTAAATTGATCATTCACATAGCAGCTTGAGGGACATTGCTCTGCGCAAATTGACTGCCTCGTTCGCTCACAAATACAATCCTAAAGTTTACAACAATTTTCTGTGAAGCTTTCTGCGACATTATGATGCCATAGTTAGGATGCTTAGGTTGCCATAGTTTTATTCCTCACAACTCTTATGGCCTTAAAGGGAACAATAAACGTCTATGTATTTTCCAAGCTGAGTATTGAAAATGAATGAGTGTTATACTCACATTGCGTTCCTTTTTCAATCCTTTGTTGAATTCATCTCAAGCATCAACATGATTTGTTTCTTGTTCCTCCAAAGATTCGACCCACACGACGTGCGTTGATCCTGGCGTGCCCAGTTTCGGGTTGCAGAACAACTCCCAAGGCTATCAGGTACAGAGACATTGATTCAGTCCACTCTGCCCCCTGTTAGAACTGTGAGCACATCTCAAGCCAGCAACGAGGCTGGCAACATGAGGTCTGGCCAACTACTGAGCGCACCATTTATCTCTGGAAGGCCTGAAATTCCACCTGGTCTCAGCCTGTCAGCCCATTCTGTCTTAAGCACAAACTCTGGGGAACATCCTTCAATTCAGCCTAAATTCGAAAATCGGTTTCTTTTTACGAACTGAAAAGAAACTGGCAGCCAAATTAAGACTGAATTTAAGAATGTTCTGCTGTTCCACACCATCTTCTGTTTGAGGCCACAGGAGGAGACCTGGTCTGAATATCGAATTCCCGCAGTTTGTGAAAAAGGACCAGCTACAGAGATATCAGGATTTACCATGATTCTGACAAATGGAGTTTCAGGTTCAGACTAAGAGGGAATATTTGAGACTGAATGTTGTACATTGCTCTGACATTCACCATGGGATTGCAGTAACAAGGTCCTGTCTGTGATGAAAAATCTGGCTAAAGCTGGTTCTGTCTTTCAACTGAACGCCGAGTCTAAAGGGATATCCATCTGCTCTCTCTCTCTCTTTCTTTCTCTCTCGCTCCGAGACAGGTGGGAAGTACAGTGGGCTACAAGTGCCAGAAAGGTTATCTTCTTCAAGGTTCAACCACACGCACGTGTCTTGCCAATCTAACCTGGAATGGCATTCAGCCAGAATGTACCCGTGAGTCTATTTCAGACCCTCTGCTAGTCACTGACTCTGTGCCATTTTCACCGTCTTGTCACAGCAGGGAGACTGTTCCTGCTGATCTTCCTCCCCTCCAACCATGGGCGAGGTTTCCCATCCCTCGTCCAGCTGGGACCACCCTACCTGTCAGGACTTTGGTTTGCAGGGTTTGGCTTTGTGCCCTCTGTGACCTCGCCTGCCAGTGGGGATTCGCTCAATACAGTCGTGCCTGGCCATGCCCCTGCCTCCCTCTCCCCCGCCCTCGCCCCTGCACCCGACAACACCCGGGATTTCAGTCCAGGGATTCCTACAAAGAAAAATGTATTTGCCTTTCAGCACATCACTGCCGGCAGCCAGAGAGCCCCCCACATGTGAACGTTGGATCGATTGATTTGCCGCCACTGGGCTACACTCTGCTATACACCTGCCAGCCTGGCTTCTACCTCAGCGGAGGCTCTGAGCACAGGACCTGCAGGCCAGACGGGAGCTGGTCTGGAAAGCAGCCTGTGTGCTACGGTGAGGAGGGGGGCGGGGGGTGGGGAGGGAGGGGTTACGGGGGGGGCTTTGTGATTGTGTCGCTGGGAGAAATTCCCTTCTCTTAAATAGTGCCACAGTGATCTTTCACATCTACCTGAACATCTGCGGATGGAATCTCAGTTTAACGTCTCATCCGAAGGACAGCCCCAGCAACAACTAAACACTCCCTCAGCATTGAATTGAAGCGTCACTTTAGCCTATGTGATTCCAAATCCTGAAGTGGGGCTTGAACCCACAATCTTCTAACTCAGAGGCAAGAGTGCTACTACTGGGCCAGGCTGACACACAGTAGAAACAGGAGGAGGCCACTTAGCCCTCAAAGCCCATTCCTATGAGCTTTCACTCACATTCCTATGGCCTATGTGGGCTGAATAAATAATAAATAAATGGATTAGATTGAGGCAGATTTAAACCCTGCCTTATCTCCAAATCCATCAATAACCCTCCTCTCTCAATAATAATAATAATAAACGTTCAGATTAACCACCCACTTTCTCCCCCTCAGCACCTACTGTCAAAAGAACATTATTTACGTGTCAAAAAAGTAGTGAATTGTAAAAAAAATCAAAAATGTCACCATTCATCATGACTCTGACTGAATGGTGTGTTGATGATGGGACATCACGTGTAAGTGGCTTATTCTACACAGTCACTACACTAAACAGAAAAATCTTGTGGCAGTTCTTCAAAATGTATTGATGAACATGATAAAGTGCTGTTTCAAATGCAAGGATTATTATGATTATTATTTTGCTCAGAAAATGAACTTTGAAAGGTTCGGAGTAAATCCTCCATTACTGGGATTTACCTCTGCATTAGCACGTATTTGGTTTATACAATGTATTTGCCTTTGTTTCTTGCTTTCCTTTTTTTGGCAGTGGAATATTTTGTCTCAGTTATACTCTTTGTGATGAATTGGTGGCAACAGAGCCCATTAGTTAGGACCTGGTGCAGATGGGGTAAAACTGCAGAAATAAATTACTTGTATTTATGGAGTGGAATTGGACTTGCCTTGATCTCAGATATCATTAGCCTGGTTACTCGGCTCAGTCTGCTTCTCAGTGGCCCTGAATTTACAGCCCAAACCGCCAACGATTCAGTGCAAATTGACACAGACTTGACTCTCCCCCTCGCTTCGCCCCATTCTCACCCCGTCAGTCCTCAAGCCCCCTTCCCCTCATCACCCACTCCCCCCTTTGTCCCTCCCCCACGTCCATGCCGTGCTTTCCCATCAGCACTGTGCTGTACTCTCTGTGCCGTGCTTTCAGGCACATTAGGAAGAAGGCAATGAAATGGGTGACAAAGAGTCATTACAAGAGCACTCACTGTGCTGTGATCGCTTACAAATCTGCAGTGGTGTAAACCACACAAGATGAGATCCTCAGAGTTAACGTCCCTGTTAAAAGTTCCACATTTTCTGTGGTTAAATAGCCATTACATTGATGTTCCAATTGGGTCAGTGTCAGCACATTTTCCCCAGGAAGATGCTGTCTATTCCATTGATTCTGAGCCACAGTGAGCCTGAAGTGCATTACATTGAGCCATAGGTAGGAGCTTAAAAGGACGCTTGATAGTTCGTTCTTCCTAAAAAAAAGCAATTTCAACAGCTAATCTCAATGTTTAGGTTATTTTCTCTGCTGTTGTTTACCCATTAGCCAAGTATTCATTCCCTGGTGTCCACTAAAGCTACAAAGTCCTCCCCTTCACCCTGGATTATGATTATAAACCACAAGACAGTGAATGGCACACAGAATATAAAATAATGACATAATAAAATAATTAGAACAACAATGACATCAAAAGGTAACATCACAATAATCTGGGGCTCACAAGTGCACACAGATAGAACAGTAATCTGCAATAAACTATATACTGTATCACCAGAAAAAACAATTAGACTACACATGAGCTATTATTGATGTGGCCATTTGAAGTGACTACAATGCATGAAATAAGGAAATGGAGAAGATCAGGAAGTATGTTGACCTAAAATTGAAGGCGGACCATGTGGCAGTGCAAGACAAGCAAATATTTCTCTAATCATGGGTTATAGCAATTGTTAGGACTGTGTGGAATGGAATAGACAGCATCTTCCTGGGGAAAATGTGCTGACACTGACCCAATTGGAACATCAATAAGACAATTCAGAAATGGCTATACAAGATTACAAGGTACCCAGTACACAGTATGTCACCTCCTGCAGAAAGTCATTATTTGGGGAAGTTCAAATATACTAAGAAAAGTAACATCCACCAAAGTGTAACGTGGCAGTGTTACTCTGGCTGACCCGTCACTGAAAATCACTTAGAAGCTACCTCTATGCAGTGATCTAAACTGTAATAACATCGTAATAATATCGTCCTTACATTTGATATATAGCCCTTTCATATCAGGAGGATGTCTCAAAATGCTTCACAGGACACACCATAAAGAGGAGTGACTGTGTTTTGTCCCGCTCTGTGTTTCCTTCTGTCTATGTTATGCCTTTTGAGGCTGGCTCTCCGATAACTACTCCGCCACCCGCATACTTACCAGCACTAAACTCCGTACCCCAATCAGACCAGGTCTAGCCAGGCTCCACTGGCTCCCAGCCCTGAATGAGTTGGTTTCAAGATCCTCACACTTATTTTTAAATCCCTTCATGCCCTGGCACCTCCCTACCTCTCCGCCTCTCCGACCTGCTTACCTCCCAACCCATAACTCGCTGCCTCCACTAGGCCAGTTTCGGCCTTCTGCACGTTGCCATGCCCTCTGTTCCACCATTGGTGGCTGCGCTTTCAGCCACTACACCCCGAAACTCTGGAACACCGTTCCTCTACCCCTCCGCCTTTCCTCTTCCTTCCCCACTTCCAGGAAGTGCCTGAAGACCTGCCTATTTGACAAAGGCTACGGTCACCTCCCTCTCCCCCCGGCTCAGAGTCGTGCTCCGCCACTGTCAAGGGCTCTGGGATGCTACCCTGTGTGAGGGCACTACATAAATGCAAGTTGTTGTAATTAGAATAGCCAACTACTCTCCTCTTCATCTGAATTATTAGGATTAGGTTGGTTAACCTACTGTACTGCACCACACCACATGTGTCAGCATGACTCAGTTGGTAGCAATCTTGCCTCTGAGTCGGAATATTGTAGGTTCAAGCCCCACTTCAGGACTTTGAATTCATATAGTCGAAGCTGACACTCCAATGCAGGTCTGGGGCTGTGTTGCTCTATCGGTGATGCCGTCTTTGGTATGAGAGATTAAACTGAGGCCCCGTCTGCTCGTTCAGGTGGACGTGAAAGATCCCATGGCACTCTTCAAAAAGAGAAGGGAATTTTTTCCTCTGTCCTGGCCAACCAACCCCAAAATAATAAATGATCACTCGCTTCATTGTCGTGCGCAGATGGACCTCTGAGTTGCTATGGTTACTACAAAATGCACAGTCTCTACACTTCAATGTGAATCCCATGAAGCGCTTTGGAGTATCTCGATAACGTGACAAGGCACTGTATCAAATGCAAGGGATTCTTATTATTGCCTGACTTTGTCAGTCTCACTACTTCTCTGATGTATTGAGCGTAACATTTCAGAGCAGTGGGACTCCAGTTGAAAAGTGATTCTCTGCCAGATTTTCCTCTTTCCCCGAATGCACCTGCACACTTTGGTACCTCACGTCCTTTAAGGCAGACAATCACAGTCTCGCTACCAGCTGTCCATTGTCATTGATGGAGTGTATCCAATGCTACCCTGACGTCTCTCTCTTGTAAGAAGACTTATTGATTCCTCCTTGCATTTGTTTAGCGGACACGAGACCCAGCGGGAAACCTGCAGGAACATCCAAGGAAATATCAAGTCCTAAACTTTTGGGTGAGTCCTCAGCTAAGGTGTGTGGCAGCGGCTTGAAATTCCACATCAGCTAATTTTTCCATTAAGCGTTATATAGGGTTCCTTTTGTGATGTGTGTCTATATAATGGGAAAGTCCATCAGTGGCCGAGAGAGACAAAGGCTCAATTAACACTGAATGGAATGTTTACCCAAATGTCTTTAAAAGAACTGCAAGAAAAAACTGCTTCCAATCCAAAGCCTGAATTTAATCTTGTTTCGCAAAATTCCGTGATGGAATCTTAAATGTGAAGACATTAGGGCTAAGGTCATGAAGAATTTGGGGTATTCAGTCTCCAACATTTAAAGTTTAGTGACCAGTGCTTCTCTGTGATTTCTATCCCTGCTGCAGTGCCCGCTGATGTCTTTGCTCAGAAATCGCTGTGGAAAGGCTCGTATGAATACCTTGGGAAGAAGCAGCCAGTCATGTTGACTGTTAACAGCTTTAACCTGTCCACTAGTAATGTCAGAGCCACACTTCTGGATCAGAGTGGTGTGGAACTGAGATTGACGGGTCAGTAAACCTCAAATCCAGGGGGGTGCAAGTAAAACCTATGTGGATCTCCTGTGATATGCCCGTCACTCATTCAACATCACACACGCCAACACTGAACAACACACACCAACACTGAACAATACACCAATACTGAACAACACACACCAACACTGAACAACACACACGCACCAACACTGAACAACACACACCAACACTGAACAATACACCAATACTGAACAACACACACCAACACTGAACAACACACACGTAAATGTGCTACCCCTAGAAACCAATATTTAAGAATTCTGATGATGAAACATCCAGACACCAATTATACCGAACAAGACGTGTAACATTTATACAGTACCTTTTACATCGAGCAATAGTTCAAAGAGCTTGACAATGCTGACTGGGCACCTGAGCTAGGGGTGGGAGCCGAGGGGGATGGGGAGGGGCAAGGTAAACAAAAGCTCAGTCAGAGAGGTAAATTTTGGAGTCAAACCTTTGATATAGAGGCTGTGAGTGAGTGTGGTCCCAATCTCAAGTGATGGCGCTGTCGTACATGCACCAGTGTAGGCGTCTTAACAGGGTTTGGCCTTTTAGAGTGAGACACTGATTTTCTTACAAATCTCTCAGGATTTTACAAGAAGCAAGAACACCATCTCCTCCTGGAACTTTATCAGATCCGAGGTCCGGTGGAAATGTTTGTCCACAAGTTTAAAAATGACAACTTGGCTCTGGATGGATATGTAAGTACCAAAGGGATGTGTCACTCATGTCACTCTTTAAATGTCAAGGTTGAAATATTGCCCTAAGGCTGAATTGATGGCTGAGATATTTGGGATAGAAAAATACAAAAGTGTTACTGAGTTGCTGACAGTTTGTCAGCACAGAGGTGAAGAGCAGAGCTGCAGGCGAAGAATTCAACTGCAAGTGTAGTGTTGATACAAAGAGGAGTTTCACTTTCTGGGAAAACTTATATGTCAGACTATTTGAATAGATCTGTACAAATCCTCACTCAACCATCCTAGAGATCCATATCCTTTACCCGATGTGACGTATGATCCAACAGACTTCCTATCAGAGGTTCCAAGGTCAGATGAATTCAAGGTCCAAGGCTTCGGGGGATTTGCGATGAAATCAGTTGATGGGAGAGTTATGCGGAGAACAAACACCGACACTCAAGTATTCAATGTAAAACAGTTCACTGCAAGTTTTCACAAGATGACAAAGCTTTATACCAAAATAGTTGGAGAGCAGTGCCCATTGTCGGATCTCTTAAGTAAACTTAAATTTGTGAGGAGATTCCAAGAAACAGCAAAAAGTGTAACAACAACAACTTGGATTTATATAGTGCCCTCACACCGGACGGCGTCTCAGAGCGCTTTCCAGTAACGGATCCCGGGACCGAGCCAGGGGAGGGGGAGGAGCCAGGGGAGGGGGAGGAGCCAGGGGATGGGGAGGAGCCAGGGGAGGGGGAGGAGCCCGGGGAGGGGGAGGAGCCCGGGGGAGGGGGGGTGAAGGTGACCAAAGGCGCAGTTGAAAAGAAAGGTCTTCAGCAGAGACCTGAAAATGGGAAGGGAGGGAGAGAGGCGAAGGGAGTGAGGAAGGGCGTTCCGGAGCCTCGGGGCATAGTGGCTGAAGGCACGGCCGCCGAGGGTGGAGCAGAGGACTCGGGCACGAGGAGGAGGCCAGACAACAACAACAACAAGATTGCATTTATAAAGCGCCTTTCACGTCGGGAGGACATCCCAAGGCGCTGGACAGTTGGGTCGGGACCCGAGCAGGGGGGAAATGGTCAGGGGGACGGAAGGGAGGGAGCGAGGAGGGGGTAGAGAGTCGAGAGGGGAGCTGAAGGCTGAAGGTCAAAGAGAAAGGTCTTGAGACCGGCCTTGAAGGAGGAAAGGGAGGAAACGGCGAAGGCACTGGGGATAGAGTTCCAGAGCCTCGGGGCTGAGAGGCTGAAGGCCCGGCCACCGATGGTAGGGCGGTTAGGGCGGGGGATGTGGAGCAGACCGGAGCCAGAGGAACCGAGTCTGGCGATGTTCCGGAGGTGGTGGAAGGCAGTGCCAGCTGTGGCACGGATGTGGGGAAGAAAGAACAGCTCAGGGTCGAACAGAACCCCGAGGTTCCTGATGGCTTTGAGAGGTGGAGAGTGCGGCGTTGGATGCTGATGGTGTCAGTGCCTGAGGTGCGGAGGCACGTTGAGCTAAAGAAAGTTGTCTCTCGTCCAGGACTCGATGTCAGACAGGCAGCTGTCAGGACATCGGGGGTCGTGGAGTTGAGGGTAGAGGAGGAAAGGTAGAGTTGGGTGTCATCCGCATACATGTGGAAGTTAACCCCATGTCTGCAGATGATGTCACCACAGGGGGAGCATATAGAAGGTGAAGAGGAGGGGACCGACGACAGAGCCCTGAGGGACACCGCACGAGACAGTGCGGGAGGTGGAGGAAAAACAGTTTGCAGAGGCAAAATGAAGACGGTGGGAGAGGTACGACCTAAACCACTCAAGGACAGGGCCTTGAAGGTTGAGGTGGGAGGACAAGCGGTGGAGGACGATAGAGTGGTCGACCGTATCGAATGCGGCCGATAGAGGAGGACGAGGAGGCAGATGGTCAAGATGTCATTGGTGACCTTGACCAGGGCGGTTTTCGTGCTATGGGCAGCACGGAAACCCGACTGGAGGGGTTCAAAAAGTGAGTGGGTGGAGAGGAAAGAGCGCAGCTGGGAGGCGACAACTCTTTCGAGAACCTTGGACAGGAAGGGGAGGTTGGAGGTGGGCCGGTAGCTTGTTAGCTGCGACACATCAAGGGAGGGTTTTTTCAAGGTGGGAGTGATGGTGGCAGTTTTGAAGGGAATGGGAACAGAGCCAGAGGAGAGGGACAAGTTGATGGTATCTGTGAGAAGTGGGGCAAGGAGGTGGAGCTGGGAGATAAGGAGTAACCTGGAGGAATGAAGGCAATGGGTACTGTTTTGAGGAGAGAGGAGGTCAGAGAGGTTGGGGGGTGCAGAGGAGTGCAGGGCCTTGAATACAAGCGTGAGGATCTTGAAGTTGATCCTCTCTGGAATAGGCAGCCAGTGCAGTCTGGCCAGGACTGGGGGGATCGGGGAGTGGGGTTTGGGGGTGGGGGTGGGGGGAGGGCCAGGACTGGGGGGATCGGGGAGCGGAGTTTGGTGCGGGTGAGAATGTGGGCGGCAGAGTTCTGAATGATCTGGATTTTATGGATGGTAGTGGAGGGGATGCCGGCGAGGAGGGCGTTAGAGTAGTCCAGCCGAGAGGTGACAAAAGCATGGACCAGGGTTTCAGCTGCTTTTGGAGAGAGGTATTGGTGGAGACGGGTGATGCGTCGGAGGTGGAAGAAGACGGTGCTGGTGAGGGACCGGATGTGGGGGAGGAAGGATAATTGGGGGTCGAACCTGAAGTCTAGGTTGCGTACAGTTTCGGAGAGTTTTAGGGGGAGGTCGGGTAGGTGGAGGTGAGAGCTGTGAGATTTTAAACGTTGATGAGGGCCAAAAAGTATGGCTTCCGTCTTGTCAACACAAACAATGAACTTGCTTCCATACTTAACTTGATCAGCAAAACTCTGCAGCCCAATGGTAAGCTCAGCCACACAAATTCAGACAGTCTTAGGTTTGATTCCTGGCCTACCTTGCCTTGGGTCGTCTCAAACCAATGATGCTGAGTGAGTGAGAGAGAGGCAGAGACAGAGAGGAAGAAAAAATATCAGCCGGTGATCCTGCTTCTGATTGCTTCCCTGCAGGAAAGTGTGTTTGTAGGAACACAGGGTAAATATAAGCCAGGGTCAGGCTCAGGTGGGATGCCCCATGGTCGAACAGCCAGATGATGGGCACTCACTGCCCAGGCTGCCATGTGAGGAATGTCAGTAAAGGAAGGTTCCCATGGGTATCCAAGGGAAGGAGGCAAAAGTTACCAAGTTAACTAAATGTGGCTTCACTGTGCTGTATGTATGCTGTATAGCGAAGGCTGACTGAGGATTTTTGTTCAGGTCTCAGCGGAACCGACTGGTAATACGTTTGTCTACCAGGGATTCGTACAAGGCAAGGACTTCGGGCAATTCAATCTCCAGCGAATCGGTAATGTCTTTCTTCTCCCATTTGACAAATTGGTGTTGATTTTATAGCTTCTGAATTTCATTGCTGGGAGAAGGGTTTTGTACCTGACGTGCCCTGGTGGGGACCTGCGTGGAGACATGTGCATAGACGAGAAGGAATGAAATGTTCTTGAGGTCCATCAGGTTTGCTCCTATGAGAATTCACCCCCACCCAATATTCCCCTACACCTCTCTCTCCCAGTCCACCCATCCTCAGAGAGCCAACAAACCAGAGAACCTGAAAACATTACCAATACTGGGGAAAAGATTTACCTGAAAGGTAAATGTTTCCCTTTCCTCTCTCCACCTCCTCCCCACCCACCCCCAACCTTCTCCCAGTCCCCTGGCTTCTTCCCTCCCCACTCCCAAAGTCCCTGAGGACAATTTTGCCCACAAATATACGGTCAATTCACTTTACAGTATATTCTGTGAAGCACTTTGAGACGTCTAAAAGATGTGAAAAGTGTTATATCAAATGCAAGGATTATTATTATTATAATCAAGTGTGTTCCAAAGAGAAAACCAAGCCACTAATGTGAGAGCATTCCTCAACAATCCTCTTGCCCTGTTACACTGCTGGTGATACCACATCAGAGAGTAGAGGCCAAGATGAACAGTTCCACAAGTGTTGGATGCTGCGGTTTTCTTTTCGATGTTAGGAAGTGTGGACGGCACAGCTGTACCACTGCAGACCTAAAAGCAACAACAACAACAAAATTATATTTATAGAGTGCCTTTCACGTTGGGAGGATGTCCCAATGGTATTTCAGAATGTAATCCTGTAATCCAGCAGGATCTGTTTCAAAACCCTTAAGGGTTATAATCCTTTGGGCTTTCCTAACAAGCCATCTCAATAGCTTGTCAGGAAAGCTAACAGCAAAGCTAACAGCAGGTCAATGTGTCAGTGAAATAATCCCAGTGGGAAATCCCAATTACAAAGACTTGGTCTCTTGAGGCTTTGGAGATACTCCACACACACCTCTCTTCCCTTCTCCTCATCATTCTTCCACTGTCTTTTCTTCCTCCTCGTTCTTCTCCTGTTAAATACCTCACTATTTAGACCACGTTCCTTTTTAAATTATAATAATAAAATAATCCTTATATTTATATAGTCCCCTTCATATAGGATAAAATCTCAGAGCACTGAAAAGAGCAGACTCACTGTAAAGTACAGGACTGTGTTTTTGGAGAGGAACACAGCAGTCGATCTGTGCACAGCAATGTTCCACAAATAGCCATGACATCAATAACCATTTTTTTCTGGGAGATTGTTGGCCAGGATACCGGGAACAATTTCCTTTGCTTTCTTGAACATTGCTATGGGATCTTTTAACATCCACCTAGACAGACAGACAGACAGACAGACAGACAGACAGACAGACAGACAGACAGACAGACAGACAGACAGACAGACAGACAGACAGACAGACAGACAGACAGACAGACAGACCAGACAGACAGACAGACAGACAGACAGACAGACAGACAGACAGACAGACAGACAGACAGACAGACAGACAGACAGACAGACAGACAGACAAGACAGACAGACAGACAGACAGACAGACAGACAGACAGACAGACAGACAGACAGACAGACAGACAGACAGACAGACAGACAGACAGACAGACAGACAGACAGACAGACAGACAGACAGACAGACAGACAGACAGACAGACAGACAGACAGACAGACAGACAAAGACAGACAGACAGACAGACAGACAGACAGACAGACAGACAGACAGACAGACAGACAGACAGACAGACAGACAGACAGACAGACAGACAGACAGACAGACAGACAGACAGACAGACCGACAGACAGACAGACAGACAGACAGACAGACAGACAGACAGACAGACAGACAGACAGACAGACAGACAGACAGACAGACAGACAGACAGACAGACAGACAGACAGACAGACAGACAGACACACAAGACAGACAGACAGACCAGACAGACAGACACACAGACAGACACACAAGACAGCCAGCCAGACAGACAGACAGACAGACAGACAGACAGACAGACAGACAGACAGACAGACAGACAGACAGACAGACAGACAGACAGACAGACAGACAGACAGACAGACAGACAGACAGACAGACAGACAGACAGACAGACAGACAGACAGACAGACAGACAGACAGACAGACAGACAGACAGACAGACAGACAGACAGACAGACAGACAGACAGACAGACAGACAGACAGACAGACAGACAGACAGACAGACAGACAGACAGACAGACAGACAGACAGACAGACAGACAGACAGGACAGACAGACAGACAGACAGACAGACAGACAGACAGACAGAAACAGACAGACAGACAGACAGACAGACAGAGACAGACAGACAGACAGACAGACAGACAGACAGACAGACAGACAGACAGACAGACAGACAGACAGACAGACAGACAGACAGACAGACAGACACCTCATTTGCTTGTGACTTGTCTTTACAGATCGGCATTTGCTGGAGGCCGGCACTGACTCCATTGGGCTCCGCTTGAGCACCAGCAGCAGCTCTGTGGCTGTCGCTATCCTTGTACCTTTCTTTGCTCTGATCACAGCTGGCTTCATCTTATATCTCTACAAGCACAGGTGAACATCGTCTGAGAGACTGAGCACATGTCCTTTTAGGCATGCCTGTTTCAGTGGGTTACACGGGGGGTGATGACCTCTGGTTGGTTGGACTCCCCTACCCATTAGGGCTTTGGCTTGCAGGGTTAAGGGGAGCTGAGTGGGAAGAGTCCCTGATCCCAGTGACTAATCTGCCCTTTCAATTCCTTCTGATGGCCCAGAAGAGCTCGTGTGCGTCAGCAATGCCCTGCAGTACAGCGGACCCACCTGCCTCAGACACTGGAATAGAGACCGTTATAATGTCACCTGGGGAGAGGAGAGGCTTAACCCACAATGAAAGCGACCTTAAGCACTGTTTGAATGGAAGTGGGACAGTCACTGGTGAGCTTGGTTAACAGTCACGTGCAAACACCGATTCACAGATAGCCCATGTGAACATGGGAATCTGGGAATGAGCAGGACTTGAACACCAAGCAAGGAATGCAGCAAGCCCCACAATGCGAAAACCTCTTCCTGTTATTAACTACTACAACAACAATTACCCTCTGAGTAAAGAAAAACGTCCTGGTGTCTGTCCTGAAATTCCCCTTTGCAGCTCTAAACCTGTGTCCTCTTGTTCTACTGTTATCATTCCTCCTAATGTATTGATCTAGGTTTACTTTTCAATCCTATTTAAAATGGTATCCACCTCTATGGGGTCCCCTCTGAGAGAGATTAGACTGCAAAAAAATAACTCTCGGGCATGTATAAATGGCTGCTGGTGCCCTTAAGGTGTTCTGTTGGCCTCTCTTTGCTTTGTGTCTCATCAGAAGCCATTAAAATACTCATCATCTTGGGCTTAAAATGTAAAATGGTGCAGGATTCAGGAAACAAACATCTTGAATTTAATCTTCAGAGTCCAGTGTGGGTTTCAACAACAACAACAGCAAAACTACATTTGTACAGTGCCTTTCATGTCGGGAGGAAGTTCCAAGACGCTGGACAGACAGAGTTTTGGACTCAATGGGCCAAAATGGCCTCCTCCTGTGCTGTAAATTTCGATGATTCACTACCAAAAAAGAACTATGTAAAATCGGCTTCCAAATGTGAAACAAATTTAAGCTGCTTTTTTATTCCTAAATCCTACACAATCTGGAATATTAAGACAATGATTTAAAGCTTGAAAGCTTGAGAAATTCTGTGTCTCAGATTTCAAGCTTATTTATTCTCATTTGTATCCACCAACAGTAATGTTTCAGCTTCAACTCTTTGAAGCAGCAATAATAGATAATCTTGCATTTCATCATAAATAATGGGGTCAGAAAGACTTCACAATGTCATCGTTTTCTGTAATCTTTACGATTTCGGTTTGGATCCATGTGTCTCTGTGACCAGTTGTCTTTGACATTCTGCAGTGTAGAGGTACAAAAATTCTCAAAGCGTTGAAAGGCTGTCATGGGAGTGCAGTACATCCAGAACTCAGTCTGAAACAGTTTGCTACGAAGAGTTGAGTTTGTGCGTTGCTTGCATAAAAGTGAGTCATGGATCGTATGTTTTTTGTGGGTAAAAAGCCCATTCATAAAAAGCCCAAAAAGGTTCCAAGATGGAAGTTTACATCTTCTGTTCTGTGCTGACCAAACAGGTCTCAGTCCAGCAGTGGTGGGGACACATACAATTGGTCACAGCACTCCTTGCCAAGAGAATGGCAAAGATCAGTGTAGGTTTCTTGCTGGACAGGGTAAATGTGGAGTGAGGCTGGGATCAGTGGAGCGAGGTTATCTGGGCTCACGCGTGGAAAATCTTTGTGGAGTGCTCGGCAGAGAGAATATACTGAGTGCTGGGCTCCTGTTGATGTAGCATCATAGAATATTACTGCATAGAAGGAGGCCATTCGACCAATTGTGCCTGTGCTGGCTCGTTGGAAGAGCTATCCAATCAGTCCCGCTCCCCTGCTCTTTCCCCATATCCTTGCAATTTTTTCCTCTTCAAGTACCTGTCTAATCCCCTTTTGAAAGTTGTTATTGAATCTGTTTCCACCCCCATCAGGCAGTGCATTCCAGACCGTAACAACTCTCTGTGTAAAAGATTTCTGCTCATCTCCCCTCTGGTTCTTTTGTCAATTATCTTCAATGAATCTATGTCCCCTGGTTTCCGATCCACCTGCCAGTGGAAACAGTTTCTCTCTATCTACTCTATCAAAACCCTGTAGACATTGATCACACAATATAGCAAGGGATTTGACAGATGCAGCCTGTTACCTGAGTCTTCGTGGTGAGGGTGATTTAGAAGGAATCTTATCCGTTTGTTTTAGTTGGTGACCAACTGGGTGATTGCAGTAAATGTTTCAGAGTGACACAGTGCGATGGAGTTGATGCCTCCGTTTTTTCAGAACATTTCAATGCTGGGAATATGGGCTGAAGTAAGTCAAGGGTCATTTAGGGTGAACCCCATTTGCAATGTTACCAATATCCAATCTTTGTTTCAAAGGAATCTGACCTCAGGCAACATGGAAGGTGTTATTTTTTCTCAGCTGTCCTTCAGTCCAGATTTTGGTATTCAAACCAGAGACTATCGCAGGATGTTCTGTTCATTCAGCCCCACTAGCCCGCTCCCCACAGAGCCCTCCTCAATCCATACCTCCCCAATCCCACCTCCCTGCCATAGTCCCTTTATATTTCTACTCCACAACTATCTATTCATCTCTCTCCGAAATCCCTCAATTGATCTATATCTGTACAATCATACAATACAATTTATATTGATACAGAGACTTTCACATCTCAAAGTCCCTTATAAGCTGGCGGTGGGAGCAGAGTGTGGGGTGGCAGTGAGGAAGGGAAAGATGGCCAAAAGCACCATGAAATGCATGATCAAACGCAGTGCAGCATTGACCCAATTGAAACTGGATTACAATAGAGGTAAAATCAGAGTGGATCTCATTACAAGAAGATGTAAGCCACACATCTTGCATAAACATTGTGGGTATGTTTGTTCGGTTGATAATCTCCCTGCTGACTGACTACCTACCCCCTTCAGCTCGATTCATTGTCTCAGCTGAGATGTTGATGTAATATCAAATGTTATCTTATTAACAAGCTGCAAAGGCAAGACATTACCTGTAATGGCATTGCTATCACTTCCTTGGATTAGTTCAGTGTGAGTCCAATTAATCCTGTTGCACAAATGAGCTGTCTGTCCTTTACTTTAATTGTATTGTGTTATGTCTGGGTGAAATCTGCTTATATCCTGGGCCCACTGTACAGTGTGTGAAGAGAAGAGGTAGAGCTGTGTGTTAGTAGAAGTGACAGCTGCAAATTTGGACAAGATGAGATATTATGCATGGTGGGAGTGAAGCAGAGACATCGGAATTGTATCAATGGGAACAAGTAGAAAATGGTTTGATCACCAGAGTGACTGTTCTACCAACTGTGGTGAACAGGATTTTTAGTCAGCCAAGAAAACCCATCAACATGCTCAAGAGTATCCAAAGCAGATTCCATGTATCCCAGCCACAGGGAAATTCTCATGTATTGAGCAGCAGAACCCTGTTTCTACACGTATCAGATGAAAAACAGCTAAATCCTGATCACTGCATTTTAATTTTTTTGGACGGATTAAATCTATGCAGATTAATGGCAAATGGCAACGCAGAACTTCAACATCTTAGTATCGCAGCCTTTGTTTTAGGTTATTTCTGAACCAAAGAGAGTGAGAGAGCGCACGTCTTATGTTACACGTGAGAGTTCTGGAGTCTCATAGGGTAGTGGCTTGCGCACTTGCCTCTTAAGCAAGAGGACCCGGGTTTGATTCCCAAGTGGGGCGAAACCTTAGGCAAATTTCCTTACTCATCTGTTACGCTAGACGTTAATTGGAACCCATTTTTCAATTGATTGGCGGATCGCTTTTCAGGGGTAATAATCCACCAAAAAAAATTGGTCACTCAAAATCATTATTATTATTGTCTTGGTGACTGCTGGTGAATGGCTTCTCTCTGTGTCTAGTGATGTTCGGGCTGAGGAGACGGAGTCTGTGCCACCCCCTGGGGGTTCCCTGACAGCATCACCTCCACCACCAACCCCCGGTCATGCCCCCCGCCCACACACTGCCTGGACCTGCAGAGGGTAAGTGCTCTTCTCCTGCTACACCACAGGTAATCCAGGGCACACTCACTACACACACTCACTCACTCACACTCCCTCAAACTCTCTCACACTCACATTCACTGTACCTTCCCAGCCCAGGGTGCACTCCTTCACACTTACTCACACTCACTTATACTTACTCACATTTATATACACACACACACTCATATATACACACTCATAGAACCAGCCCAGCGCACACTCAGTCATTCACAATCACACTCACACAGAAACACACACTCATAGTATCTGCACTCCCACTCAATCAGTCTCACGCATTTATTCATACAGACACACACATTCAGTCACTCCTCTCAGTGATGCCAGGCTTACGCCACTGTGTGCCCCCAGTGCCCTCCCGCACCCCGAACACTGCCCCACACGTATCTTCCCACAATTACCCAGCCCTGGGGCATCATCACCCACCACACATCCAGTAGCTTCAACTAATGAGGGAAGACGCTGTCTAACATGTGCCATTTCTTAACAAGATTTCTTAATAAGAAATCCCAGCAGGATCCCTGTCCCGGTGGAACTCTGTTTCCCGTGGCTCAGTCACACACCTCCAGTCACACCCCTGAATTGCCATTCGTGTAACTTGAATTGCCTGTTACCGAATCCCGGTAACAAACCTCGCAGTTTAGCCACCAAAACATTTCTTATTTCTGGAAAGTTTCGATCCTGAGAATGCTTTAGTGCCCACAGAGGCACACACTGGCCTGAATACCTGCTGTAGGGGCTGGGGGATACTTTATTCACTCATTAATCGCATAAAGTGACACCTTTTTGTGAAATAAAGCAGGCCCCGGGCTGAAATGTACACAAGCTCCCATCGTAGGTAGTTTTGCTGCTGTTTGGGGGGGGGGGGGGGTGTTGGGATGGACGGGGTTTGTGGGGGAAGTCAGCCTCTGATGAGCACTTGCAATTGAATTCACATTGGTACAAGACCACGATCAGTGAACAGGGAAACAAGAATTGGAATCCTAGAGTCATAGAATTATACAGCACAGATGGAGGCCATTCGGCCCATTGTGACTGTGTCGGCTCTTTGAAAAGAGCTTCCAAATCAATCCCACTCCCCCGCTCTCTCCCCATAGCCCTGCAAACTTGTCCTCCCCAACGTCAACGATGTACAACATCAAGTAGCATTAAGTACAACATCAACAACAAATTGCATTTACAGAGCGCCTTTCACGTCGGGAGAAGCCAGCACCTCAGTTGGCATCTTGGAGCATCAATATCTGGGGGTGAATAGGACTTTGGTCTGTTAGAACTCTGTACAACGGGAATAGATGGAATTTGTTATCATGCACTGGAGTTCTATCCAGTGAGGGTGGTTGCAGGGGATTTATGCTTCGATGTGGTTTGCCGTGTCCTGGTTTAGGGTGGGATAGAAAGTGTTTTTATTTAGAGTGGGAAGTGTATCTGCTGCACTGGACTGTGACGCAGTGTAGTCAGATGGGAGATAGCTTTCCTGAAGCGGCTTTTACCTGTTTTGTCTGGCATCGACTGTTTTGGGCACAAAGTTGAACTTTGTGTGGCTTTAACCAGTGCTGTGGACGTCTTTCAGGAAAAGGCCCAAAGTCCCATTTAACGGCTTCGCCGGTCACGAGAACACTAATGGCCGAGCTACGTTCGAGAACCCGATGTACGACCGAAACATCCAACCGTCTGACATCGTATCAAACAAGATCGAGGTGACCGTGAGCACTGTGTGCACAGCAGTATAGCACTCACTCTGCAAAGACATTGGTGAGTAGCAGATGTGAGCATGTGTATGTGTGTGTGTCATGTCTGCACTCATTACATCAGTGTAGTGTGTCCACGTGTTTCATGCCAGCTTAAGTCACTCAGGCCCAGGTACGTTCACCTGCTCATATCAGTAGAGTCCCAGAAGAGAGGGGGTTACACACACTTACACAGGGTTGAAAATGACATTCATAAAATGGTTGAGCTTGCTTCGATATCAGGGCTGAACGACAAGTTAATTACAGCTTTAATTGCTCCCGACTGTTCAGAATTCATTCCATCCCATCATTTCTTTCCCTTGTTGTTCCCTTTTCTTGAACATCTTCTCTCACTGACAGAATGCTAAAGTCCTGAAGCACTTCATCAGATCCTATTTAACCCCTGCTCTTCAAACATGAAGTGACTGTGGAGAAGCTACTCGGCTCGCTGCCTGCTTCGTTACTTCGATTCCCGGGATGTTTCCGGGATGAAAATCCCGGAATGACTGCAGTTACTCTGTCGTCGTGGTAACAGACTGAGGTGCTCTAACTACATCGGTGATGCTGAACTGAGCACATCACTGACTGTGAACCTCCAGGAGCAGAGCATCTCCAAGTTACCAGTGCCTAAAACGCACACTGACAAAGGTCAAATAAAATGCTGATGTCTCCACTCAGCCAAGGATCGATTTGGTTCATCCGTCGCAAGAAACAAACGACTGTAGGCAGTCAGAACAAGAGACAATCTGAGCCCCTTCTCACCCCACTCTGCCCCATGTGCACAGGCTTAAAGGCTGATTCAAGGAAGGCAAGATGGCTAGTTACAACCTAGTGTTTATTTGGGGGGAGTAAGAGAAGAGGGGATGTTTGAAAATCTTTGCCTTAAGAGATTTCTCTGGTGGGATGGGGGCTGCTGGCTTTCCTGACACTTTTCAGAGACCCCAAGGTGAGTGGGCACAGGTGTGATAAACAATTTGAGACACCATGAAGTGTTTCTTGTCACAGAGAGGGGACTCAGCAGCAGGCTATGGGGGGGTGGGGGGGAGACCAGGAAACGACACTGGGCATGATCCAGTGACGGCTTCACAGTGGCTCTTGTGAACACTGCAGGCTCTCAGAACATCAAAGGTTTTGTTTTCATTCTTCCAGCCAACTCTGCCTAATTTTCAATCTGGAATCCACGCCCCCCCTCCCGCCCCACCACACCACATTTAGACAGTTACTACACTGCACAGTAAATCCTGTGAGGCACTTTGAGACATCCTCCTAATGTGAAGGTGCTGTAACAAAGGATTATTATATTATTATAATCTCTCCTTTGCAGCAGTCTCCTTTCTTTTCTTCAGCAATGTTCTTTTTGTCTTTGAGCGCCTTTGTTAATGATGGCTCCTAATCCAACAGCCAAGTTTCTGAGGCCAGCGTTCCATTAGCCAAACGCTATCGATGAAATCAACAACTTCAGAGCAGCGGGGAGTCAGTGAAGGAGGTGGCAAGTATAAAAGGCAGAGCGTTTGCATGTGAGCCACAGAACTCGCGAGAGACTTTGCTTTCCTCATTTGGGATGAAATGCTTATCATTTAATAGCACTTTACCTTTTGTAAAAAAAATCCTGTAATCCTTCCCTTCCACACCCCACCGCCCCCCCCCCCCACACCACCACCCCCCCACACACTCCCACACCCCCAAACATCCGTCCTATTGTTTTCAGTAAAACAGAAAAAAAGGAGTGTTTTGATATTGGCAATTAGAACGGTGGTGACCACGACAAAGGTACCTACTGAGACGAGCTTCAAACAGGCGATTAGATTATATGAGCTCTCAGGGGTAGCTGTCAAAGCTTATTTCTCTTCTGATGTCCTTTCAGGTTACTTTGCTCATTTACAAAAAACCTTGTAGGAAAAATGCTTCAGCTTCATCAGAAGAGCAGTGAGAGAGAGTTTTAAGTTTTCATTATTTTCTTTTCTTTTTTGTTCGTGGGATAGTTGAAAGATACTGAGAAATGGTGGCAGTCAGCAATCACAGAAGAAAGCTATGTATTTATATCTGTGTATATTCTGCACAGTGTGTGCAAAGAGTAACCCCTTGAGTCCTAACTGAATTTTATGGTTTATGAGGTAAGATGCCACTTACTCTTTGTCTTCCCAACTGTGTGTTCCTTTCTCAGAATCTTCCAACTTGCGTTGTCTTTTTACGGAAAAATAAACTTCTATAGCTGTTTGTATTAGTGCAGCTCACTCACTCGTTCTCTCATTCGCTCCCTCCCTCATTCTCGCTCTCTCATTCTCTCGCTCTCTCATTTTCTCACTCTTGTTCTCTCATTCTTTCACTCACTCGCTCCCTCATTCTCGCCCTCTCACTCACTCACTCACTCACTCACTCACTCACTCACTCACTCACTCACTCACTCACTCACTCCCTCTTTCTCTCCCCCCCCCCCATTCTCTAGTACTTTCATTCTCACTCTGTCCTCTGATTGATTAAGCAGATATCTTATGAAGGCTTTTTGTTAAATACACAACATTGAGTATCCATGGATTGGTGCTTTCCTCCAATGCCTTAATAATTGACCTGAATGTGTCAGATCTGTGACTAGACATGTAAAGTAGGAGTTCTAGTTGATGGATAGGTTTTCAGTTCCAAGATCTAAATATCCACAGGCATGAGTTCTCTGATGAGCTAACTTTTCCCCAACTCAACTTTCTGCCAAGTTTCTAAAAATAATTGAGCTGAGGAGGACCTTCTGGGACGTGCTGGCCTGTAAAATGCTGGAGTGTTAAATTTCTATATTTATTTACATGAAATATATATTGTATAGCCTCCCTGTGAATAGTCAATACTCAGCAGTCTGCTCCACGTCGCCCGCCTGACCCGCTCACCATCAGCAGCTGGGCCTTCAGCCTTTCTGCACCCACCCTATGGAACTCCATCCCAGATTCCCTTCACCTCGCTCCCTCCCTTACCTCCTTCAGGTGTGTCTCAAAGCCCTCTTCGGCCACCCTCCTACCCTCCCTACCCTCCACCCACCCCAATCCCAACTCCAGCTCAGGTCCAAATCCCTGACTGTCCAGCGCCTTAGGATGTCCTTCCGACGTGAAAGGCACTATACAAATATTTTGTTGTTGTTGAAGCCCATTTGGAGATTCAAACCTTATATTTTCCATTTCTACATCTCTACATTGTTGATCTTAACAGAATTTTGTTTTGAAAGATGAGTTTGTTACAAACTTGGAGTTCAAACCATACAAGCAACATGGGAATAGGGGTCGGCTAGTCAGCCCCTCGAGCCTGTTCCACCTTCTATTTGATCATGACTGATCTGTACCTCAACTCCATTTGCTTGCCTTATCTCCATATCCCCACGATCCCCTAATCTAATAAATATTTATCGACCTGAGTCTTGAAAATTCCATTTGACCCAGTGTCCACAGCCTTTTAGGGGAGAGAGTTCCAGATTTCCACTACTCTTTACGTGAAAAAATGCTTCCTGGTTCACTCCTAACCGGCCTAGCTCTAATTTTAAGATCATGCCCACTTGTTCTGGATTCACCCATCAGAGGAAATAGTTTCTCTGTATCTAACTATCAAATCCCTTTATAATTTTAAACACCTTGATTAGATCACGCATCGGACTTCTGAACTCCAGCAAATACAAACCAAGTTTATCCTCACAATATAAAGCTTTGAGCCCCAGTGTCACCCAGGAAAATTAGTGTTGTACCACTTCCAAGACTGATATATCCTTCCTGTGGTGAGGTGTCCAAACCTGAACGCAGTGCTCCAGGTGGGATCTGACCAACTCTCTGTACATGAAGCATCACTTCCTTGCTTTTGTATTCCAACCTCCTTGAGATAAAGGCCCACACCCCATTAGCCTTTTTAGTTTTTTTCTATAAACCATGTTTGCCATATTTATTAACAACTCCTAATTCCATTAGATTTCCCGCAGGTTTTGTTTCCAGATATGAGAAACCTGGGGTTATATTCCTCAGAGCAGAGAAGATTAAGAGGCCATTAGATTGAAGTGTGTAAATGGACATCTCTTCCCTCGCAAGAGGGATCACTACAAGGAGCAGATACTTAAACTCAAGACCCAAGACAGTTAGATCTGAGGGTCAGGAAGCATTTCCTCACACACACAGGGTTGCAAAGATGTGGAACGCTCAGCCCCCAAAAAAAGGATTGAAAAAAGTAAACTCAGAACAAAACTGTGCACCAAGGATAGGAAGACAGTAGAACAAGAGGAACAGGTTTAGATCTGCAAAGGACATTTTCAGGACAGACACTAGGAAGTTTTTGTTTACCTCAAGGGCAATTAACGATTGGAATAGGTTAGAACAGGTAGAAATTAAAAGCCTAGAAAAGGCCATTCGGCCCATCATGTCTGTGTCGGCTCTTTTTAAGAGGAATCTTTTGAGTCCCATTTACCTACCCTTTTCACATAGTGTAATTGGCTCCTTTTTTTTAGGGAAAAAAGGTTATGAAAGTTCATATGGATTCTCCCTCAACTACTGTTCCCGGCAGGGCATTCCTGAAAACATTCTCCTAACCTCTCCGTTTTTCCAAATACTAACTATCTTGGAGTCCTGTAGCTCAGTGGTTAGAGCACTCGCTTTGCAAGTGAGAGACCTGAGTTCAATTCCAGGCAGAGGGCGAAACCTTGGGCAAGTTTCCTTACTCCACACAGAGCCTAATAATAATCCCTCCAAAACAAAACAATAATAAATTGGTCATTTTCAATCTACGACTGTTTGTGGGACATTGCTGTGCGCAATTGGCTGCCGCGTTCGCCCACAAATGTACAGTCAATTCACTTTACAGTGTGTTCTGTGAAGCGCTTTGGGACGTCCTCCCGACGTGAAAAGCGCTATATCAAATGCAAGGATTATTATTATTATTATCTTATATCAACGCTCTCTAGTCACTGACTCACCAACCAGTGAAAATTATTTCTCGCTATTGACTCTATCAAAACCCCTCGATCAGGTCACCCCACAACCTGTTTTGTTCCAGCAGAAAAAGTCTCCTCCCATCGGCCAAACCACTCATTCCCGATATCACCCGAGTAAATCTCCTCCCCACCCCATTTAAAGTAGAGTAACCAATACTTGATACAATATTCTAACTGTAGTCTAACTCACGATTTATATGTTACCTTTTTGGTTGTCAGGAAGGGTGGTTGAAGCCAGGTCACTGGATTCATTTAAAAAGTAGTTTGGTGCTGTGATAAGCGGAGGAGGCTGTGGGGGGGGAGAATGGCAGTGTGGGGGATTCTGGTGGGATGAGATCTGTTGGGCTGAGAGGCCTTCTTCATCCAGAGCGATCTTGTGAACAGCATTTACTTATTGACTCATTGGGGGAAACTTTTCTAATCAGCTCAAGAACATGTGCGTGGAAGAGGCACCGGGTTTGCAAGCCAGAGATCAA